ATTCAACATTAATATTACGAAATGCCTGTCCGAAAATGAGCGTCTGCGAGCCATTGGTATGCTTGAAGCAGGATCGAGTCAATGTGAGGTTGCAAAGGACAATTTATCGTCCACAGAAACACCATTTGGTGTTTATGGCAACGTTGGCAACAGACAAATGCAGTCAGAGACCATCCTCGGAGTGGCAGGCCACGCGTAACCAATAATCGACAAGACAACTGGATTCGAACACCACACCTACGAAATCGATTCCAGCCAGCAACAGTGACTGCAAGAAGCATCCCTGGCCTTCGACGAATATATTCACAACCCGTACGTCGTCGCCTCAGATATGCAGGGATTTTCGCCAGAAGACCCACCAGACGTCCCAGTTTGACAGGAAACCACCGTCAAGCACGTCTACAGTGGTGCAGACAGCGTCTACGCTGGACGACCATGCACTGGGGACACAGCAAGACAGAGTGTGAAAGTGGTAGAGGGAAATCTCAATAGACAGCGCTACCGCGACGAGATCATCGGCCCTGTTGTTCTACCGTTTTTGCGTCGTCATGGCCCAGGAATGACAACGCCCGGCCTCATATTGCTCGACCTGTTCAACAGTCTCTTCAACAAAACAACGTGAATGTCATCCCCTAGCCGGCTCGCTCCCCCGATCTCTCACCAATCGAGCACATGTGGGATGAGATGGATCGGGCGTTCGGAACGTTCGGGTAGCCTAGTGGCTAAAGCGTTCGCTCGTCTCGCCGAAGCCTCGGGTTCGATTCCCGACTTGGGTACAATGTGTGAAGCCTATTTCTGGTGACCCCCGCCACGATATTGCTGGAATATTGCTAAAAGCGGCGTAAAACCACACTCACTCACTCACTCACTCTTAAACGTCCTGCACGAGTCATAACGTGAACTGTCTTCCTAAGTTGAATGGCGACATGCCTTCCCTGGGTCCTCACTCTCTGCCAAACAAGTTCTTTCAGTCATGAAAAAACATAAATAAAAAAAGAAGTAAATATCCCAATTCACCACTAGACTGATTATGTATAGTAACTTTCATCAAGGCATATTTAACGGTTGAGGAGTTCTGCTCGGGAGACGAGCACTAGTCTCGTTTTCAGTGTAAGTCCAACATGTCTTCACGAAAAATATTATCGAAAGAAAAATCCCAAATCATCAAAAGGCATCAGTTCACTACGAGAATGATATGTATAGCAAGTTTCAACAAGAACTATTCAACGGTTTAGGAATTCTCCTCCTGAAACGTGAAACGGACGTCTGTCGGACGGACGGACAGACAGATGGACGGTCGGACGGACAAGCTGATGGCTATATCCCCTCGTTTTCAAACCGGAATATAAAAAGTGGAAGATGTAAGGAATAGATTCACAGGGTTCCTTGCATTTCTGGGTTGTGTTTTTATGCAAATGAATCGGAATTTCTGGTGGGATTGGCAAAGTCAAAACAATGAGATTTGCCCAAGAAATTCAACTTAAGCTTCAGGTATATCGATGATCTGATATCGTCAAATATCCAATTCCCGTCCCCCGATTTACCCACATGAACTAGAAATAAAGGAGACCCGTTGGACAGCCTCGTCTGTTTCATATTTGTATCTATGCAACCAAGAAAATCTCCGCAAGACTGCATGACAAGAGGGATGACTTCAACTTTACAGTGGTCAATTTTCCTTTATGTCGAGCACTATTCCAGCAGGTTTTTACAAGTGAACAATTGACTGGTTTTTGCATGTATTTGTAACGGATGCCACCCCACCACTGGGGCACAAGACGCGAACACAGGGTATCAACACTGTTTGATGGTAATTCATAAACATATGCTCAAGATATTGTTAGAACCGTACAACCGACTCTGCTTTTGGCAGAAATATCGTATGAATATGGCAAAGGTTTTTGTTTCATTTATTTCTATGCTTACAGCTAGAACTTGGATTGTTTGACAGGGAAGATTATATCAGTACTTCAGCAATTCAACATGGAGAAAGATGAAAACTGGTCAGTAAACACTGATTGCCTCTTCAAGCATACTGTGTAAAATGGTCCAAGCATACTGTGTAAAATGGTCCATAGAAATCATACCTTTTTGTCATGTTGCAGCATAGGGAACCTTCAAAAAGCATTTACAGAAAATGCCAATATGTATTCCATCTATTATATACAACACCATACAACTGCAAACGCCAGAAAATGAGCAGATTTGAAGATTCAAATGGTTGGCGAGTTATAAATACAGATTCCTGTATCCTAGATGCAACATGGAACCACATTCAATGGACAGATTTCCAAATCACATTTATACAAGGGTCTAGGTTCAATTGTACATCTGGTCCAAAATGGATTTCTGAGAAACAAGGGTGCTACAACTGTGGTTGTGCCTATGTGGCTTTCTTGATCATATTGATAGACCACGATCGTTTTGTTGCAGGCATGCTACAACGTTAAAGCAGGACAACTCTTGAATGTGGAAACAAAGTTTAGCGGATAAGTTCTGGCGATTAGAATTAATCAAATTTGATGTTGACGTTCCAGATATGTTCGGTCTGTGCATCTGGGAAGCGAAAGGTTCCTTTGTTCATACGGATTTGATCAGTTTAGCTGGACAAATGCCAGAAATAGTGTAAAATCTACCATTGTTGATTAGTACAAGAGAAAACATACACATTTATGGATACAAACTTCTGGTTTATTTTGCATAGCGACGTTTCGATGTAGATTCTTAAACCGTTATGAAGCTGGAGTGATGACAGCCAAGTGATGATAGGTAATTGTGCAGGAAATGTGATAAGCAGCAGATTAACCTTGGCAACAGCAGGTAAAAGATAACAAGTAGCATATAGATAATTGGATGAAGCCAAATGAACGGTATGAATAACAAATAGCACACAGGTGATGAAGCACACGAGTAATGAAGTCAGATGTACAGTAAGGATAAGGATTAAAAGGATTAAACAGTTGTGACAACCTTATTAGATCCGAATTAAAATAGTCTATTGATTTTTAGATCTTCATAGGCAGATGTGTGGTAATACCCTTGATCTCTGTTGATCAAAGGTTTGTGACGGCGGATTTCTATTACTTCCGAGAGTTTTCCTTTGGTGAAGTCCTGATGTTTTTTTTTGAAGAGGCATTGGACTTTTGTCAAACTGAATTTGATGGGTAGAGAATTTGTGCTAGTGGTCTGAGAGAGCTTGGAGGATGGATCTAAGGGATGGTGAGACAGTAAACAGGTAGTTCAAGAAAACTTCTCACGTCTCCTTTCAAAAGAGGTAAGAAATCACCGTCGGTTGTCGAATATATCTATTTCATAAATTACATTAGGTAGCAGGTTTACCAGATCCATGAGATCTCATGCCACATGTCAGAGCAGGTGGTTCGTGTTGATGAAACTAGAAACTTTAAGAAAGTCTCTATCAGACTTAAGCTTTCTGACTGTCTATTTTGATACTGACATATTCTTTTTTTCTGAACCAGGCTGAGATTTAGGAAATCTTGCCTCGCATTCGAAATCCTGGCATTAAGTATTGAGAATACTCATTAGTGAAGAAGTCGGCATTGCAGCGTTTTTACTTTCAGTACAGTCATACCCAGAGGGTATCCTACCAATACCTTCTGTGGACATTCATTACAGATATGTGGAATACTAGCATTCTCTATGCATTTGTAGAAGTAGATGGCATCTATGTATTATTCTACATACCCCGCCAGTGACACATATAACGAATGAATCACTAGGAGTTTATAAACTATTTTCGGTGATATAAACTGCCGATCAAAAGAAAGTATACATTGTTACATTGTGAATAGGTTTTAATACCTTTGCTAAAGGAAACATGTTGAAAACGATTGTCCGTGCATTTTGAGAAAAAATCGTGAATTTGGCATAAAACGCGCTGTTGGATGATAGCACCTGATGAAGTGGTTGAATCCCAAAACATCACAGCTCATAAAAGCACACGAGAAAATTGCCAAGGTTATCTGAAGAACAGAGCGCGAAAGAGGGCTTTCAATGGCGCTGTTTGGTGTAAATCGTATGACCACGTGTAGCCACCCCATGTTGGACCGGAATCGGCGTTCTTTAATTAATCAGCGTTGACGGGACTAAGACGCCGATGGATTTCGAGCCCAGAGAACCTAAATGAAAGCCCAGCGTGACAGGCGTGGATGTAATTCTGCAGCAAACTGTCCTTCCGTTTCTCAGAAGACGGCTACAAGGGATACTGTCCCAACATGGAGATGTGACGTCATAAGAAGGCTTACGTCATCGATATGGCGACGTGTCCAGGCCTCTGTGTGTGTGTGTGTGTGTGTGTGTGTGTGTGTGTGTGTGTGTGTATGTGTGTGTATGTGTGTGTAGGGGGTGGGGGATAGGTGAATGTCTGTATGATGTGTGCGTGTGTGCGTGTGGCTGCTTGTACTAGTCCGGACTGATGCCGATTTATAGTGCTAGCACACTGAGATACCATGCCGCAGTTTAACATGAATACCCTACTCAGACACAGTATACTGACTCAGAGCCGACCAGTCCTTGTTTTAGCCCCTTAATGCCTAGCGCCAGACAGGGTAACAACAAGTACCAACTTTAAACGTCTTTTGGTATGACGCGGCCGGTCAGGTTCTCGAACGAGTTGTGATACATTGTCACGCGGCAGTGTACATGCACATCGTTTTCAGTTCGTTTACGGCTGAGTACAGTGTCTTTGGCGAAATCCGTCGGCGTTTGCCTAATAAGCGAATTCTTAAGTATCGGGCTGACACTCAACTTACAAGGAGTGTGGTATGTCTCTTGAGCAATTCTAACTTGGACTTTAATCCTTTGTACAATGATAATAGCTCGTGTATCGTGTAATCGTGTACAAATAATTAATTATTGTAGATTAAAAAGTCGATTGTTAATAACCTATCTACAACGTGTGCGTGCGCAGTGATATGGTATCCATGACGCTATGTACACAAATCTATCTTCCTGGTAGTCCACCATTAGTTCCTCTATACTGCATTGCAGGTAGGTGTAGTTAACAAATAAATAGAAACGACTCACCTTTGCCGTGGTTAATCGTCAGAGACTCGACAGTAGGCTGGTTGGTAGTGCCATGGAGAGAACGTTCAACTTACTGATTCTATCATGTCTTTGGTTGCAAGGTGGGCATACATAATTACAAATCTTACTAAACTTGAAATCAGAAGTAACAGTATTTTAATGAAAACATTATTCAAACATGCGATAATGCCTATAATTGTCTAGTGATGTATTATTGTGTGGAATTGGAAACACTCGTTTTGGGCACAACTATCGCTTCATAAACCAGTTGCAATAATAATGCATTCAAGTCATTTGGAAATTTGTCTTGATTCACTCCGCTCATCACAGCGCCAGTTCAGGGTAGTCACGTTCTTTACTTCTTGCTTTCAGTTTGTTTGTTTGTTTGTTGTTTAACGTTTTCTACCCCGGATCTTTCCGGGCCTTCTTGCTTTCAGCGTGTGTAGGTCTCCAGTTTTGTAAACAGTACGTCTCCGACAGTAGCTCTTACAGCACCTACTACTGCGAATATTACTGCTGCGGCTCACTGTATAGTAACGACTGCTGCCACGACGACCCAGATAGTTCAAGGTAAGTCACATGTATGTACACACAATTTAGCCATGAGGCCACAGAATATCAATATCCAAGTGAAACGCTGCCATTATAGCATCTTTTTGTGTGGAGCCAAGTTGTACTGTGTTTATATCACCTCTTTGTGTGTGGTGCCTAGTTTTGCTGTCATTAAATCACCTCTTTGTGTGTGGCGTGTAGTTGCGCTGCCATCATATCACCTCATTTTGTGTTTGAATCACCTCTTTTTGTGTGGCTTCTAGTTGTGCTGTCATTATATCACCTCTTTTTGTGTTTAAATCACCTTTTTTTGTGTGGTTTCTAGTTGTGCTGTCATTATATCACCTCTTTTTGTGTTTAAATCACCATTGTATGTGGTGCCTAGCTCTGCTGTCATCATATCACCTCTTTTTGTGTGGTGCCTAGTTGTGCTGTCATTATCTCCCTTTTTTGTATTTAAATCCCCTCTTTTTGTGTGGTGCCTAGTTGTGCTGTCATTATCTCCCCTCTTTTTGTGTTTAAATCACCTATTTTGGGGTGGTTTCTAGTTGTGCTGTCATTAGATCACATCTTTTTGTGTTTAAATCACCTATTTTTATGTGGTGCCTAGCTCTGCTGCCATTATATCACCCCTTTTTTGTATTTAAATCCCCTCTTGTTGTGTGGCTTCTAGTTGTGCTGTCATCATATCACCTCTTTTTGTGTTTAAATCACCTCTTTTTGTGGTGCCTAACTCTGCTGTCATTATATCACCTCTTTTTGTGTTTAAATCACCTATTTTTGGGTGGTGCCTAGTTGTGCTGTCATTACATCCCCTCTTTTTGTGTGGCTTCTAGTTGTGCTGCCATCATATCACATCTTTTTGTATGGTGCCTAGTTGTTTCGTCATTATATCACCTCTTTTGTGTGGAGCCAAGTTGTGCTGTGTTTAATTCACCTCTTTGTGTGTGGTGCCTAGTTTTGCTGTCATTAAATCACCTCTTTTTGTGTGGCTTCTAGTTGTGCTGTCATTATATCACCTCTTTTTGTGTTTAAATCACCTCTTTTTGTGTGGTGCTTAGTTCTGCTGTCATTATCTCCCCTCTTTTTGTGTTTAAATCACCTATTTTTGGGTGGTGCCTAGTTGTGCTGTCATTATATCACCTCTTTTGCGTGGCGCCTAGTTGTGCTGTCATTACATCCCCTCTTTTTGTGTGGCTTCTAGTTGTGCTGTCATCATATCACCTCTTTCTGTATGGTGCCTAGTTGTTTCGTCATTATATCGTCTCTTTTGTGTGGAGCCAAGTTGTGCTGTGTTTATATCACCTCTTTGTGTGTGGTGCCTAGTTTTGCTGTCATTAAATCCCCTCTTTTTGTGTGGCTTCTAGTTGTGCTGTCATTATATCACCTCTTTTTGTATTTAAATCACCTATTTTTGTGTGGTGCCTAGTTGTTTCGTCATTGTTTCACCTCTTTTTCTGTGGCGCCTTGTTGTGCTGTCATTATATCACCTCTTTTTCTGTGGCGCCTTATTGTGCTGTCATTACATCACCTCTTTTAGTGAGGCGCCTAGTTGTGCTGTCATTACATCACCTCTTTTTGTGTGGGGCCTAGTTGTTTCGTCATTATTTCACCTCTTTTTGTATGGCGCCTTGTTGTGCTGTCATTATATCACCTCTTTTTGTGTGGCGCCTTGTTGTGCTGTCATTACATCACCTCTTTTTCTGTGGCGCCTTATTGTGCTGTCATTACATCACCTCTTTTAGTGAGGCGCCTAGTTGTGCTGTCATTATATCACCTCTTTTTGCGTGGCGCCTTGTTGTGCTGTCATTACATCACCTCTTTTTCTGTGGCGCCTTATTGTGCTGTCATTACATCACCTCTTTTAGTGTGGCGCCTAGTTGTGCTGTCATTACATCACCTCTTTTTGTGTGGTGCCAAGTTGTTCCGTCATTATATCACCTCTTTTTGCGTGGCGCCTTGTTGTGCTGTCATTATATCACCTCTTTTTCTGTGGCGCCTTATTGTGCTGTCATTACATCACCTCTTTTAGTGTGGCGCCTAGTTGTGCTGTCATTACATCTCCTCATTTTGCGTGGCTTCTAGTTGTGCTGTCATTATATCACCTCTTTTTGTGTGGCGCCTTGTTGTGCTGTCATTACATCACCTCTTTTAGTGTGGCGCCTAGTTGTGCTGTCATTACATCACCTCTTTTTGTGTGGTGCCAAGTTGTTTCATCATTATATCACCTCTTTTTGCGTGGCTTCTAGTTGTGCTGTCATTACATCCCCTCTTTTTGCGTGGCTTCTAGTTGTGCTGTCATTACATCACCTCTTTTAGTATGGCGCCTAGTTGTGCTGTCATTACATCACCTCTTTTTGTGTGGTGCCAAGTTGTTTCGTCATTATATCACCTCTTTGTGTGTGGCGCCTTGTTGTGCTGTCATTATATCACCTCTTTTGCGTGGCGCCTAGTTGTGCTGTCATTACATCCCCTCTTTTTGTGTGGCTTCTAGTTGTGCTGTCATTATATCCCCTCTTTTTGTGTGGCTTCTAGTTGTGCTGTCATTACATCCCCTCTTTTTGTGTGGCTTCTAGTTGTGCTATCATTATATCCCCTCTTTTTGTGTGGCTTCTAGTTGTGCTGTCATTATATCCCCTCTTTTTGTGTTGTGCCTAGTTGTTTCGTCAGTATATCACCTCTTTGTGTGTGGCGCCTTGTTGTGCTGTCATTATATCACCTCTTTTGCGTGGCGCCTAGTTGTGCTGTCATTATATCACATCTTTTTGTGTTGTGCCTAGTTGTTTCGTCAGTATATCACCTCTTTTTGGGTGGTGCCTAGTTGTTTCGTCATTATATCCCCTCTTTTTGTGTGGTGCCTAGTTGTTTCGTCATTATATCACCTCTTTTGCGTGGCGCCTTGTGCTGTCATCACATCACCCCTTTTTGTGTGGTGCCTAGTTGTTTCGTCATTATATCACCTATTTTGTGTGGCGCCTAGTTGTGCTGTCATCACATCACCCCTTTTTGTGTGGTGCCTAGTTGTGCTGTCATCACATCACCTCTTTTTATGTGACGCCTTATTGTGCTGTCATCATTTCACCCCCTTTTGTGTGGCGCTTAGTTACATTATTTATCATTGTCTCTAATATTTCTGTGTAGATTATGTTAATAATATAAGGTGGTTAAACTATACATATCACTGAACACAAAGTTGCAATACTCTTTTTGCAAATTTTCAGGGATCCATTGTAAACTTTTCACCACTGTTTTGCCCTTTACACCCAATGGAATTTATTTCGAGACAGATTATTCTCTGGCGTTGACTTTTAATATTTAACATATTCCCTTTTAGCTCCTCGTCTATCCACAATGCCTTCAATACTGGAAGGATTGTCCTGTATTCACTCGGTGGCATCGTACCATTTTCTCTCTTAATTTGTTCCTGCATAGTAGTCTGCGTCAAGAAAAAAACCAGGGTACAGCCAATGACTCTGAATACCGTCACAACAGGTATGTCTATTCGTTATATCCTATATCAATAACGTATGTAGGCAATTACTTCAGGTATGTGGAATGCTGCCATTCTATATGCATTTGTATATGAGCGCCACCTATCGAGGGTAGCCGTCAATAAAGCCCTGCTTAATTAAATTTTATATTTTCGAGGATTCCGACAGCACACTGGGCCACATACCGGACCCTGTGCATCAACTACCAGTGTGTCACTGGTATAGCACTATTACCTCTCTGGCTGGATTGTTTCATAAAAAAAACCCATCTTAATCTCCAAATTAATCTCCTGACTGTCCCTGTGGTACAGCAGTTGCGTGGAACCTGCTACCATTTGAATGCATAACCTGTCCTGGCTATTCTTTGTTCAAAGTAATTCTCAAAAGACTTTCAAGAAATTTTCCAGGGTGCGCTTGGAGCATGTCACAGTGCATGGATATTAGGGACTATTATTATTTACCTCATCATTATATTGGTTTGTAAGTCATAGAGAATATCCTTGCAATTAAATGAGTATTTCGCTCTCTCTGGAGGAGGAAATTGGCGTCCACGAGGCACTCGTCACGTCGGTCATTTTGGTCCCTACACTAGTTTTATCAAACATTGTATATGTACATACAACTACATAACAAATACTTGATAAATGTTTACTGGATGTTGATATTAACCTAGGGCCGAGAAGTTTAGATGAAACTGATGTTATTCGTTTTAAGAAGAAACTTTTACAGGAGCTTCGTTATATGAAGAACTGCGATAAGACGTGAAGGACACTAACTCTGAAACCCAGTACTACCGGGACACACTACTGACACCCTTGCTGTCCCGTTTGAAAGGCATGTGGCTCGACATTATGTCTTTAAGGGCGACGTTCGCACCGAGCACGAATCATCCATGCTTACCTCCAGCAGCACAACATCCAGAGAAAGCCAGCACTGAACCCTGACGTTTCCCCCATTTAACACGTTTGGGACATGATAGGGAGACATGTGCCTCGACGTCATCGGCCGCCGACCACGTTGGCTGAACTTGGACAGGCGCTGCAAGAGCGGTGGGACAAACTCCATCAGATTTCCTTTGGGGGTACTCATACACATGCATCATAGAGTGAATATGAGTGTATAAAAAATCATGGCAGTATTACGCACTACTGATCCAAAAGAGTTTGAAATTTGCAACCTTAACCGTATTGTCCTCCTTGATTGCTGGCGGTCATAACATACGCTGTCATATTTCACTACTGGTTGTAGTGTGTTCCCAATTCGTTCATCACTATCATACCATTATACATGAGCATTATTTACCTGAATCAAAGGACAATTCTGAAAATTTCTGTTCGACATGGCAAGACACAATACAAGATTATTGGCATGCATGACGCGGGGATGTCGTGTCGCAATATCGGTGCAAACCACATAGTTATTTAGATAGATAACTATTTTTTTCGGTATTTTAGGCCAAATGGCCCATTGTACTGTTGACATTTTCAGTTTCGTGTGTTTAGTCAGGTAAAAAACATGATATATAAAAACTATATGACAAGGAATATTTGTTTCAACATTATGGCTAATGAACGTATAACAGCAGTGTTGTTGGATTTTATAAGACTGATCATTAACATTTTGTTTTTATGCCTATTGTTAAACATAGGAATATACTTTTCTCTAAGATGTTCGTACTTATCACATACTAATGAAACACACTCATCCTCAATTTCTCCTAACTGGCAGTTTTTACAGATACCCATTTCAACGTCCCTTTTTTCACATCTACGTCTCAAATGTACACTGAAACTGTGATATGACACTGAATTTACATAATGCCCTTACACGCGATGGTCAGATGTTCATTTCTCACAGTGTTTATAACAATGATGATACAACTGTAAGATAGTGAGATACAGCGATCAGCATGTCACCCCGTCCGTCTTTTTTTCATTTCCGAAGCAGAACTCTTAAATATTTTAATTATTGAAACTTCCTATATAGATCAGTCTAGTGGTGTACTGGTGCTTTTTGGTGATTTTCAAACATTGGAATATACTGAACAGTATTATGTTTTTGTTCACTGAACTGAAGGTATTCAGTATCTTTTGTCCGGAAAACACTGTGTGGCTCACCTGTTTAAGAGAAAAAAAAATGTCTTGAAGCTCAGACTGAATATATATTCTGTCTCAAACACGAACCCCAGCCTTAAACCCCAGGGTATTAAATGGTCGATCCCTTCCACCTGGGTGCTCTTTCCAACAGCAAAGCGTGGAGCACGTTGTGTGACGAGGTACATCAGGCAGATTGAAAGTAGAATAGAGCTGTTCCATTTCTATGAAAGCATGTGTAGATGACTCTTGCTTAAGTGCCGAGGATACAAGGTCACCCCCGAAACCACATTTCCTCCTTCAACATTGGCCAAAACATACTGGGTAGCTCTAATCTACGTCCTCCACTTTCTGTTCCAGGCAAGCTGACTTCCATTCCGCCATACCCAGGGACTACCGTGCCACCATCGACCCTGACACCACCCGCATGTACATCCGCACAGTCCACACTGCCAGGGACAGTTCATGCCTAGATGAGACTTGTCTCCAGACCATCCGCACTGCTTCTTCAGCGCTGGGGCCAGATTTTCCACCGCCATGCCCAGGGACTACCGTGCCAACATCAACCCTGACACCACCCGCAGGTACACCCGCACAGTGCACACTGCCTAGATGACTTGTCTCCAGACCGTCTGTACTGCTTCTTCAGCGCTGGTGCCAGATTTGATCAGCGATCCTCTTGTATTGTGAATGTGTCCTTTGTTGAGTTGTGTTTCGGTTGTTTTATTCGACACATGATCCCATGACATGATACCCGTGAGGACATTCTCACACGGCCCATTTTATATAAAACTCATTTACAGGAACCTAAAAATATTATGAGCTTCATAGGTGTAACATATTGATTGGAATTTGTTCCTTCATACATAACCAATACAATGCAATGGCTATTGGTTAAGTGGCCATAATGGCGGGCCCTTATCACACACAACCCGGCAACTTCAATAACGGGTGGACAATGCAGATAGGAGACAAATTCGGATTCTTAACTACTTCACAGTATTTACATTTATTGTATACTTGAGTGTGAGCTTTCTGATGTTTTAGAAAAGGTATTTTTTCATTGGAGTAAACATAACACTTGACATTTCAATGAAAAGAAAACATAACACTTTGACGGAACTATTGTCATACAAGCGTTTATCGTAATTGTCTCGCCCGTAGAAAAACTGTTGACTTCCTTTTTAGATAAGTCCCAAAATGATTGGGCAAAATAATTACAAATGGTCATTAATAAAGTTAATACCGATTTGTTATTCTCGTGAAAATGTTTCGTTATAAACTGTTAATGTCTCATTTATCTCAATCAGAAAGCGCAAGTTTTGTAATTTGACCACTTGGTATTCTTTCACTTCCAACAGCGATTTCGTAGATTTGAAGAATATATTTTGTTGAATTTGATTTTGTATAAAATAATAATATCCAAAATGTATGATAAAGAAATTTATTTTCCTCAAATATTTTTTGTTACATTTTTAAACTATTATTTGTAAGTCGCAATTTCAAGGGGTGGTGCAACGTTCTTGCGTGTTAGGTAGGGAGAATTAACATTTCAAGGTTTTACACTTGTAATGAAATAATTTAATTTAATGCCTGGGAGACGCTACACAATTGAAATGAACCAGGTGTGATAAATACATGTCTCTTGGTATTGTTACGTATCGATTCCTAATTTGAAACAATCTATTAACCCAGAAATATGTGGTATACAATCAACAAATGTATTACAAGATTAACTAGGTTTACAAATAAATACAAATTACTGCAAAGCAATTACAAAGGCACTGCACAATGGAGTGATTGTCCAATATTCAATGCCAGTGGTCAGTATCAAGTACTGAAATTCGGTGGGGATAGCAAAAGTCAATGATTATGATATATTCACCCATTCAAGCTGCCGAGAAAGGCCAAGGCAGGGGACCCAGAGTGATTCACACGAAAGCTGGTCTCGATGTAATGAAATGTGTGAGAGAGATACGAGAGGCACGTTCTTGTCACCTCTTATAGGTTGCTACTAGAAATTTCTACGCAGTGCCATCACAACATCGAATTTTCCACACGTTACTACATTCATGACAACTAATAATTGTCCAAATTCAATGCAATGAGCTTCTACCGAATCTCAACAGAAACAATGTAATACAGTTCCATTCATGGTTTAACAAATATAATACACCGACATATAACAGTATAATGTCTACATAAAATGTGTCGTGTTTTATTAGCCAGCATATGTGATAATGCAGCTCATTTGTATTCCATGCAACAGTAATAACAAGTGTGTAACTCGAGACTGATGTCCCCATAGTCTCTTGACAAACCAACACCATGACAGCCTGCCACATACATAACATCGGCCCCTTGTAAATAGATTAGCGGAGGTATCAGATTAAGGGCGAATTCATTTGCGCAAAGCGCAGTCATTTGAACTTGCATTGTGGAAGAGAGGCATTATGTAAGGCTTGACATGGTACAGTTTGACGACAACCAAGATAACAACAGTAACACATGGCAATGGTGAGTTACCCCCCATCTTCCTGACCTCCCCAAGCTCCTTCCCAGCGTGTGACACTTTCGTCACATGCTTTCGCTGTGAGGAGCTTGTGGCCTCCCACATTGACAATATCTCTTTCAAGGCGCATAGCAAAGTACGTGGGGCATCTTTCAGTTTCTAACCAATTGTTTATTGGGGTTTCCTCCATGAACTTGTAAGGAAATGAATACTTTAGGTGCTTGCGTAACTATTGACAAAAGAAAACGTTTGATGCATTGTATCAACAAGGCGGCAAACTCTTTGTTCCTCAGATTAAATTTACAATAAAATAATTTCCCCAAATATTTAACCAACACTGGCATGTTTATAACAATGTGAAAGTTTTTGTTTCCTGTTTCACACCTTATGCAGTTGATTAAACATATACAAATGCATGCACTTTGTATTCAGTTTTCCGTCAGTCCCTTCGCCTTCTAAGAAAAAATGTCTCCCTCTCATAACTGCGGTTAACTTTCTAACAAATGTCATGTATTTCAGGGTTTGATATAACTTAAACTGATCTAACGAAATTTTTGAGAATGTTAAGAACTACCAGTGAGTGCGTGGGTTTAACGCCGCTTTGAACAATATTCCAGTTATATCAAGGCATGTCAGCTTAATGTGGGAGGAAAGCCCGAAGTCATTCAGGTCTCCGAAGTCATTCACTTCGGTGAAACCCACGAGCACGGGTATGGTGCTGACAAACCTTGAAACATAATCGGGGCGAACCGGGATTCGAACCCACAATCATAGGTTTCTGGCGTGCCCAAGGGACGCAATTTTACACAGCGAATTGCGGCGCCTTAGGCGACTGGGCCACCCGTGCCTCCTTATGAACTACTGGACCAAGTGAAGGGATAGCGTAGGCGGTATGTCTTGTATCAGTTGCAGTAGCAGATCCTAAACCTACCACACTAGTATAGTCCCACAGAACAGATATCTGTAGCCAACCGCCATACGTTGCGTCCAATCCGACATGGGGTTGTAAGGTTGAATTTTACATGAATACCACACTCAGACTCACTATACTATGAGCCACCTAGTCCCTATTTTATGCCATTAATGCCGAGCGGCAGGCAGGGTAACAACAAGTACCATTTGTTATTTCCTTTTGGGATGACGCGTCGGGGATCGAACCCCGACCTTCCGCTCACCGGACAGACGATCTGTCTACTAGACCACTTGGTGTTGAATGATGTCACTTCCTGTTGGGGAAAAAGACATGATGTCATTTTCAGTACATTTGTAAGAAAGTTGACCCTGATCCTTGATTTCAGCCAATCACATGCTCTTTTCCTCCGTCGGGATCCCGGGTTAGAATTGGTTGTCAACACCTATTATGGTGGCCGTAAGAGGTAAGAAAGTAAATCGGGAGGACGGTATCTGTCACTCGGGACGCAAGTGAGGCTGCCAAATGCAGTAGCCGAGCAAGCTAGTCACTACGGGTACATAAGATAGGATGAAGATGGCATTTCATGTCAATCTTCATCTTCTAATTTACACAGAGAATCGCGGTGATACACTTGCATATTCCTTGTCACTCTGCAATCTCTCGACCAATGAAGTCGCGTTGATCTATGTCGATCTGAGATTGACGTCACTTTGTGATGACATCATTGATGACCAGAGAGGCAACCGAGCATTTTACCAGCATGACGAGTAAGTGTTGATGGGACCTGACTGAATCTCGCGACATACTCGTATTTAAAAACAACACAAAAACAAAATTCGTTACCATGTTTATTGTTACTAAAGGCGACAAAACATTTCCACAATCTTAAGACATTTCTCGTTGTTCAAATGGACGATCCCGACTTTATCAAAAGCATGTGTTTATGAATCACAATCAAATAGGTGTGTTTGTGTTCATTTGTTTGTTTTTATCTCAATCACTAATTTGTCTGGAATACACTGGAATACTTAGAGGCCGTTGTCATAAATATGGAATAATGCTGAGCGAGGCCTAAAGCAAACCAAACCTTTGTCTTAAACTAAAAATACTTACTTACATGTAGGTTGTTACAGGTAAATGACTTCGGAAAGTAGGAGAAACAAGGATAATAAACATATAAATCATGTAACATAATATTCAAACATTCTATCATAATGAAATGCATAAGGATTTCATAACATAAATGCAAATATCAAGCTGGTGAGCGCGTTATTTCGTTTGTTCATTAATTGAATTTGTTCATTATTCCGGCCGTCATATTTCCAAAATACTGCCAGACTTAACAAAACCATACTTCGCTATACCCCACTTCCAAATAAGCAGATCTGGGTCCACTTGCATAACGCGATCTTAGCGCTAAGATGATCATAACTCCCATACTTTAACATAGGCTTACGATAATCTAAGCGCTAAGATCGCTTTGTGCAAGTGGGCCCTGGTATCGAAAGCATGCCATATTCTCTTTCGAAACCAGGGCCCACTTGCACAAAGCGATCTTAGTGCTAAGTTGATCGTAACTCCCATACTTTAACATAGGCTTACGATAATCTAAGCGCTAAGATCGCTTTGTGCAAGTGGGCCCTGGTATCGAAAGCATGCCATATTCCCTTTCGAAACATTGCTGAGGTAGTCGTAAAGCACACCAACCCAAAGTTTTATCTAAACTTCTGGGACCCGTTCCACAAATCGATCTTAGTGCTAAGTTGGTCGTAACTCCCATACTTTATCATAGGCTTACGACCAACGTAGCACTAAGATCGCTCTGTGGAACGGGACCCTGAAATATATTTACGTAAGTGTTTTCTTCAGGAAAATGACTTCAAAGCTGAGGAGGGTCACGGACAATAAACATACCATAAGTGCACATATCAAACCAGCGAGTGAGATACAACTTAACAACGGAATATATTTGCCACATGGAGTCGAAAACAAATTATACATGTATGAAAAACATGTGCATCCAAAATGTAAGGTAAATATCTCATATCAAATATACATCTAGACAGATGAAAAGACAACATATTCGCACACGTGAGGACATTTTGAGTGATGAGAAAGCAAAATATTTTCGAGGCTTATCTTTTACAGCAAGTGTGTCATAATCATTCAGGAATGTAGGTAAGTCTGTGTGAACAGAACTAATCATCAACTCAACTGAATTATTATGGACATGGAAATGACAAATTCGGGTAATGTATTGAAAACAACTGAAAAATACTTTCCTCGTATTTTGATATAGCAATAACACAATCTCTCTAGCTATGTTGTCTTCTTTTTGAACAACTACTAATTAAACTGCAATTAAATATTGTGGAATCCAATGTTGAGCACGTTACGCAGACATTCCCGCCACTTACATGTACATGATGGAAGAGAAAACAATTTGTATTTTGTACACTAATATGGTTAACCGACAGGATATGTTCTTATTGCGTTTAAACACTAACTGAATCCAACTATAAAAAAGGAATTTTTCCTACATATTCTTAGGTTTGGTCGTGCAGCCTAGTGGCTAAGGGGTTTACTTTTCACGTGAACGACCTGAAGGAGTAATGTGTGAAGCTGTCACAAAACCTGAAAACCTGAATAAACTCAATTTATTTAACTAAAAGCAATTCTTACTTATTACACACTTCCAAATGAGCATCCCTGATATCCAAAGGTTCTATATTATTTTACATGTTCCCCTTCATTTTATCCGATACTATCCAAGTACCTCCCTTCATCCGAGCTGCTACTCTCTCCCAGCCATTTCCCCCTTCATCCGAGCTGCTACTCTCTCCCATTCCCCCCTTCATCGAAGTTGCTACTCTCTCCTATTCCCCTTCATCACAGCTGCTACTCTCACCTATTCCCCCCTTCATCGAAATTGCTACTCTCTCCCACCCCCCACCCCCTTCATCGAAGCTGCTACTCTCTCCCATTCCCCCCTTCATCGAAGCTACTACTCTCTCCTATTCCCCTCTTCATCGAAATTGCTACTCTCTCCCATTTCCCCCTTCATCGAAGCTACTACTCTCTCCCCCCCCCCCCCTTCATCGAAGTTGCTACTCTCTCCTATTCCCCTTCATCACAGCTGTTACTATCACCTATTCCCCCCTTCATCGAAATTGCTACTCTCTCCTATTCCCCCCTTCATCGAAGCTGCTACTCTCTCCCACTCCCCCCTTCATCGAAGCTGCTACTCTCTCCTATTCCCCCCTTCATCAAAGCTGCTACTCTCTCCTAATCCCCCCTTCATCAAAGCTGCTACACTCTCCCACTTCCCCATTCATCTGATCTGCTACTCTCTCCCAGTGTCCACCTTCATCCGAGCTGCTACTCTCCCAGTTCCCCCTCCTACGAGCGGCTACTCTCTCCCAGTTCTCCCCTTCATCCGAGCGGCTACTCTCACCCAGTTCTCCCCTTCATTTGAGCGGCTACTCTCTCCCATTTCCCCTTCATCAAAGCTGCTACTCTCTCCCATTTCCCTCTTCATCAAAGCTGCTACTCTCTCCCAGTCCCCCTCCTTCATCCGAGCGGCCACTCTTTCCCATTCCCCCCATCATCCGAGCTGCTACTCTCTCCCAGAAGAGTACCCTTGCTTCTACATCTTCATCGTCTGCTGGCCAAAGGATGTACATGTACGTCTTGGGATCCAACAACAGCCGGATACTGCTTGACACAAACCTACTTGAGATCTCTTCTTTTAGTATCACAATCAGAGATTCTGGGCCGTTTACCAATGATTTTCTATGGGCATAATTGGTGGAAAACTGACACCATTCACTCTGGATCGAGTTTTGAGACAGGACAATGAGAACCTTCCTGCTATCCTCAACAATCGCCCCTCCAACGTCAAAGTCTCTCTCATGTACACAGAGAGCAAGGCCATGTTTCTCCTCCAAGTTTGGAAGCACCTCCTTAATGATCCATGGCGTGTCATCTGTAGAGTACACCACATAGCCATCGTAGGTGAGATGTTGTTCGTCGACTATTCGGTCATCATGACGTTGAAGCAAGTACATGTAGCACCGGTTGTTGAATAGTTTAAGATATACCAGATTGTGCAGCATCAGAGGAATAGCGTCAGGAACAGACACGAGTTTACAGTCACCCAAAGCTAGGCCTCCTAATCCACGAAGATCCTTGAACAGCCGCATGAAGAAACTTTCATTTACGCCATACATATCACTGAAAGATAGGTGAAGGCTCTTTAAGCCTGTGGAGCCACTGAATGAGTCTGCGTCAACGTTATTGTCACTGTACGTAAAATGACTGCCCTCCATGGTGAGTCGTTTGATGTTGCTGTTATTGAATGCATGATTCTTGATGTACATTTTGGAACCTTTAAGATTTTTTAGTATGATGGTTTTGAGTCTGGGTAATTCTGAAAAGGTGTTAGTTTCAATTCCTTCTATGGGATTAGCATTGAGTCCTAAAATATTGATGTGTGGTAAACATTTGAACATGTGTGGTCTTGTTTCAGTCAAGAACGCATCTTGGTTATATTCCTCCAGATGGTTTCTCTCCAGGACAAGATACTTAAGGACGTTATTCTTCATCCCATGAAACATGTTCAGTGGCACATGCTTTAACTTCATACCTGATAAAGTCAGGCTTTGGAGAGGAATATTATCAAGACCTCGAAAAGCCGTCGCCGGATCTATCGGAGTAAGAAGATCATTTCCTGTGAGATCCAGGTGTTTGAGCTCACGGAGTTCAGCTAAAGCATCATCAGAAATGTTCTGTATTTTGTTCCAAGCAAGAGACAGGAAATGCAGGTTTATATTGGGGATGTTGGCGAACGTATCATTCGAGATCCAATGCAAGTTATTATCTGTGAAGTTCAGCTAGGTAATGTTGTCCCACAATGTAGGAATGTACGTCAAATGACCAAACCGACAGTTGGCCAGCGGCCCCGAACACATGCAGATGGTCAGATAGCAGAATGACCAATCTTTCCCCTTTGTGCTTGAGTCGGATCTGCTAGGTAGGACACTGATCCCGTCACTGGACGTCAATACACAGAGACAGGTCGTCGCACAGAACGACAAGAGCAGCGTTGTAGCGGTACATCCCATACTGGAATCTGTGGATGTGAATAAAAGCAGGATCAACAATTGATGTGATCACATGACATGACACGCGGTGACTATAACTTCCACGTAAGTCAGATATATACAGGTGGAGCAGCAGAGGCCTTACGACTGGCGTAGCTTTTGAAATACCTGTGATGTTTTTAGACAGCCGATAGGCTCTGACTTTATATTCGTCCGAGGATGAACGTCGATATATGTTCGGTTGAACAGAGAGAGGCAATACTTCGGCCATGCTCTTTGTTTTCTGATCCAAGGGAGATAACTCCTTCATACATAATCACCATATAAAAGTGCAATGTAAAACACTAAACTACCCAATTAGCATAACCACATTGTCACATGTGGTTAGAATTGATGCTCCATCACTATGGTTAATTCAAAAAAATGATTGCGTATTAAGAAAATGCTACTTTTTTACCCCTTAGCAGGTTAGGTGTTTACGTGTGTGTTCCGACACGAAACTATCGGGAAGTATTTGTCCCCACAGACTATTTTACATTGCTAATTGTTTTTCCCCATCAAGTGGGGTTATACATGGATACGTCCCGTGATTACCACACGAGAAAATGTGGTTATGATGGTTGGGGACCACCCTCAATAGCTGACACCTGCTGCTCCACTTCATAGAAAGTGAAACTGAAACAATATTCGTTCTAGTCATGCCTGTTCAGCTATCCCACACATGTCAGACTCTGGTTGGTGTTTCATACTCATGTTAGTGGTACTGCAGCTGGTAAGAAGGTTCCACGCAAACAATCTTCATGTTTGTTTGTTTGTTTGTTTGTTGTTTAACTCCGCACTGAGCAATATTACAGCTATATGACGGCGGTCTGTAAATAATCGAGTCTGGACCAGACAATCCAGTGACTGACATTATGAGCATCGATCCACGCAATTGGGATCAATGACATGCATCAACCAAGTCAGCGAGCCTGACCACCCGATCCCGTTAGTCTCCTTTTACAACAAGCATAGTCGCCATTTACGGCAAGTATGGGTTGCTGAAGACCTATTCTACCCCAGATCCTCACAGGTCTAAACACATTTCAAATGAAGACAGATTAGTTGATTCTATCACAGTGAACTGAACAAGGCCCACGAGAGCCTCATAACTACGACCTAGGTAAGCACAAAGGCATCGTACGCCCGTCGTTAAAAAAAACCCTTTGAAAGATCACAGTGTGGTTATGATTAAGACGTCCTTATTCGATGTAACCTCAACGGATTTGATTCAAATTTCATCCCGGAAGAGTCAAGTGCTAAAAATTAATAAAATAAGGTATATAATGATAACTTAAAGTATGACAAACCTGTTGAAGTTTCATGATAGTCTATTACACACGTGGATGTAAAAGGAATCCCTTGTCATGTTTGTTTGGTAAATGATAACATCATGTGATATGACAATTGCAATGATGTCTTTGAGAAAAGGCGACAGATACTTGACTTGGCCTAGATCGCCTAGTTCGGTTAAGGTTCCCCTTTAGAACCCATCGTTTTTTAGGAGGTTGTTTTTCGACATGAAGTCATTCTGAAACGGCCACATATTTAAGAGGCGACGTAGGACATAACGTCTTGGCGCTAAGGGTCTGGCGAAAAACGATTCATGTTTCAACAGCTTGTTCGCTCTTAGCGCCAAAGTGAGTGAATATGGTTTTACGCTGCTTTTAGCAATATTCCAGCAATGTCACGGCGGGGGACACCAGAAATACCCATGTCGGGAATCGAACCCGGTTCTTCGGCGTGACGAGCGAAAAATTAAAAAAAGTATCAAAGGTAATTTTCATGTTTACTGTCAACGTGTTCCGTTATTGTAGGAAACTATAATGCCAACTATCACATATAATCAGGGATACAATGTCTTATATAAACATTTTTAAATGGAACCTAAAACTAGTCACAACTATTAATCTGCTCTCCCTGCAGACGCTCCACTAGACCACAGAAGCGGTCGCTATAGGTCCTTGTACGAGTAGTGATAAATGGCCACACGATAGTGTAGCATACAATCAGTGTGACGGGTATGCATAGTGTGTTTTTCAAATAGTAATCCGGCGGCTGCCTATTTAATCGATTCTGAAGTAGAGGGCTGGCCCATAACTTATGAGCAATGTGTTATATGTCCCAGACACTATCCTAACTGGACTTTATTCCTTTTTGCGATAAGAGTCTCCATGTAGCTGCAAATGAAATAACTCATATGAGATTAAACTCAATTTGTTGATAACCTACAACGTGTGTGCGCACAGTGATATGAGATCCCCCAAACAACGCTGTGTACACAAATATATATACATGTACTTCGTGGTGGTCCACAATTGGTTCATGTTCACTGCATTCTGGGTATGTTTGTTACAACAAATATACAGAAACGACTCACGATTGTCTGTGCGGGACGTTTTAGACTCGACAGTGGAGAGAGAAAGTTCATCTTATTGATTGTAGCATTGCTTTGGATGAAAGGTGAGCAAACAACATTACACATCTGAGTAAACTTGAAATTAGAAGTTAATGCAATTTTACTGTGATCATTATTCAAATAAGTTACTTGTGATTATTTAGCATCATTGTATACAATTAGAAACAATTGTATTGGGTTCGGTTGTCACCAACTTTGGAACGGATGCTTCACACACCAGTAAGAATACCAATAGCATTCCGAGTATCATTATCACAGCGCCAGTTCGTGTCATCACAGTGATAACATTTTACGACTTCAGTCAGAAGTACATGATTATAACCTCTGTAGATATATAGCTGTATTTCATCAGCTCTGTAAACAGTAAACCTTTACGAAGTAGCTTTACACTGCCTATCACTGCGCTCACTGGTGCTGCGGTTCACTGTACATAATTGTTTTTTTGTTGTGTAACGCCGCACACAGCAATAGTCCAGCTATATGACGGCGGTCTGTAAATAATCGAGTCTGGACCAGACAATCCAGTGATTGACATTATGAGCATCGATCCACGCAATTGGGACCCATGACATGCATCAACCAAGTCAGCGAGCCTGACCACCCGATCTCGTTAGTCGCCTCTTACGAAAAGCATAGTCGCCTTTTACGGCAAGCATGGGTTCTACGCCGGATCACGGCTCTCATTGTACAGTAATGCCACTGGACATGGAGCCCTTCGAGCCTTTTGATAAGGCACAGGAGGTAAGGCATACATGTGCACAGAATAACAATATATTAGTTACACTTTTTATATCTTGGCCCTCGCATTTTGCATCACGTCTAGGATACCTGCCAGCTCCTAGTCATATTTTCACTCATCACACCTCGTGTACCTTCTAGTCGCGTCACTTCCTCCTGTGTAACTACTAATCATGTCTTCATTACATCATCTGTTTTTGTGTAGTTCCTTATCATGTCGCCATTATACCACAGCGTCTGTAGATCCCAATCACGCTGTTATTGTCCCAGGAATGTTGAACCACAATAAATACAATCATAGTGGAAAATAATAAAACAAAACCAATAAAAACGGCAACTCTCAGAATCTGATTCTGAACTCGATTCACTTGACAATGAAATAGTGTCCAGGTTATTGTATTTCGAGAGAGATAATTGACCTCGGCTTCTTGTCATGGAAGCTGAATATATAAGTGTGACCGTACTCTAGCTTCGTATTCATGTCCTTGGGTAAAAAGGTAAACCTTGTGAGTTAAAGGATGCTAAGATCTGGAGCTCTATTGATTGTATGTAACAGGAGAACACACGCCATCAATTTGATGGCAAGAAATAAGTTTGATGATATAGATGTTAGATGTTATTCTCACAAGACCCTTAGTATAAGCATGGTGCGTGAGTGAGTAGGGTTTAACGCCGCTTTTAACAGTATTCACGGCGTGTCAGCTTCATGTGGGAGGAAAGCCCGAAGTGATGCAGGATTCAGACGTTTACCACTTCGGTGAATCCCACGAGCGCTGGTATGGTGCTGACAAACCTAGAAACATAATCGGGGCGAACGGGGATTCGAACCCACAATCATAGGTTTCTGGCGTGCCCTAGGGACACAACTCTGCACAGCGAATCGTGGCGCCTTAGACGACTTGGCCACCCGTGTCGTCAGTATAAGCAAGGGCATAATCTGAACCGTGACCGCAGTCTTGCTGAAGAAACCATCGACGAAATTGTATCAGAACTTCCGAGTCAAGGTGTTACTGAAGCCAAACGATTCACATATATATCGCAAAAAATGGATACGTGTTTCTACTTATATTTTGAATTTCGATACAGCTCTACCACGTTCAATTATTGTTGGTTATTTCGCCATGCATGTGGACCTCTACATCCCACGGCCAACACGCTGTTGTGTATGTCAGACATTTGGACACGGGCAGACTTCTGGCAGAGGTAAAGCTACTTGCTTCTAATCTGGTGAAATTGATTTTGGTAGAAATACTTGTACGAAGCCTCTGACCTGATTCAACTTCCATGGTGATCATATGACATCTGCAACTGACTTAATTGAAGTGCCAGAAATTTAGCAAAATGTGAGCAAAATATGTGAGCAAAATATCGGCTACACCGACGCCATGATTCAAGCTAACTTAGTCGGGCCTGCAAACACAACAGGGCATTCCTATGCATCTGCAGTTTAAAGAGAAACGACTGTTAAACAGCGTCAGGTCCCTGTCAGACAGATCTGTCATGGGCAGTAGGAGACACACCAACAAGTTTCTGAAATTGTTGCTAACCAACATGATATAAGCATAGTCACAGCTCCAACCCCAGCAGCCACAGCCAAATCCACATCACCATCAACAGAAACAACCCCTTAAACTTTGCATCCAGTAATGTTGACATTTTCGAAAAGAAAATTTAAACTGAATTACTGTCAAAGACATTCCAAGATCCCGTGCAACACTACAAGTATGGATCACTCGTATATAGATATGGAAATGCCCCCTCAAATGAGCACTTCTGGTCGTACCAGTAGCCACTGTCCTCAAAAGAAAGTCAGGAGTCTATCCCCATTATTCCACCTTAATGAGTAACACCAATTATATAATTCAGTGGCATTGCAGTCCAAGGACAATTTGTAATGAGTTACACTTATTAATACAAGAAAATAAGCCGTTAGCAATCTGTCTCCAGGAGACCTTAAACATACAGAAACTTTTGACCTAACCCAGTACAACTGCCAATTTGAAGAGGTCAGTTTAAGACAATGTCGCATGGGCCAGAGCAGATATACACATGTATATGTTTGAAGGGTGAGGATGCTCCGTCTTGTGTCCCATGCGATGAAAGAATCACGGTCAAGCATGTCCTGCTCGTCTTTGTTGTTTTCTGTTTCTGTGTAAAATAGTCAAGGATCTTTTAAATAATGTGTATTCTCATTTAAAATTGTGCCTTTTAAGCAAATAGATCCAATAAATAAATTTTGTTGTACAAAGTATTTTATAAATCGGTAGTTTATAAGTATAAACTGAGATTGTTTATGGCTGTGCCTTCAGCGGGGGATGAAGTAACATAAAATATTTGTCCCCCTAAGAGGGTACGCAAGGCCACCTCATCCAAAGTTATATTCATATCTACCTGTAGTTTAACTGCAGAACACTTGTTTACTGTTAATCTCTGGCTAACTTGCAACAATCGCAAGTAAGGGAGGGAAAGGTGTAAAGCCTGCTTTGGAACCATGGAGGTAGGGAAGGTACAATAAGTGCCAAATGATACTTAGTGTGGTGACCTTACTTTTCTTGCTAGCGATCTGTTTCGTCATTTGTATATTGTATATCTAAACGTCAGATATTTTAATATTCTACAAATTGGTTTATGTCAATTTGTGTTATATTGCTAGTTATTATACTGTCCTTCGATGACATTTTAAGTAGTGACACATTATACGTTTCCGGTTCTTCTGCTCATGACACAAAAGAATAATTTTGTAACATATACTGGTGTCCAAAACAAAACTCTACCAAAAATAGATGACAGTAATTCCTTTATAATTTGGAGAATGGAAATGAAATATTGCGCAAATAAATATTGCCCAAATGTATCAAAATATATCCGATGACTTAAAGCTGCCGAAAGTGTGAATTACCAAAGTAAAACGTGCATTTTGCAATTGCAACAATGAAGTATGCACACGTAGCACGAAATTAACGTGCTAAAGTGGTATATAACATCAGCTGACACCACCCGTTAGGATCGCTTTAACCGAAAGCACACATGAAAAATGCCTTTTTTCTGTCAGCAGCACAGGGGGAGATAGGCATTGGCATGACCCAGCTTGGTGCCACGCATGGCCACATTGAAATAACGTTCGGTTGTACCAGTGCCATCACAGTCAGGCTGATGGATCGTTTACGGCCGACTGGGCAGACAAGTGACAGGCAGCGAGTGACCACGCCCATTCAAGACCGTCACTTCTCAATCTCCAAAACGGCTCCCTCCTAGTCCTGCACCATGACCGTGGAATATATTTAATTTATGAAAAAAACCATCTAGAAATGCATACAAAAGCAAGTCTAGCCAGCTCAAGCTAGCTCTATTCCACACCTGAAATCAGCATAGGGAATGTTTTTTTATCTTTAGAGTCAAGAAGGATATTGTGTAATATAAGATTTCAGAGACTAAATGTTAGTCTAGCTCCCTCCCTGCGACGACATCTGCATGGATCAACTCGTGTTATTCCAGGACAAGCCGAATAGCGACTCGTGCCCCTCTCATGGTCATTTTTGCGACCGGGTTCCATCTTAGCGCAAACGGGCATACCTAAAACAATTGTCAACTCGTTGCGTAATGCTTCACATATATTTCCCCATATATTATATATATTTCAGATGCAATTTAAAGCATATCGGGACGTGCGGGATTATACAGTATGATTGAACATATTTTTGTTTGTCTTGGGTATATTTTTAGATGCAAGATATATGTAAAATCAAAAATTATTTCTGAGGGATTCTTTGACGAAGAACTTGAAATCATACGCGCATTCTGATTGGTTTGTCGTATTTTCGCACATAACATTCATCGATAGGGGGACGAGTCTTCTTGCAGGTTATGGAAAGGGGCGAGTGGTGACGAATGCTGCATGGCTGGCACTCTGACGATTGAGGGTACATAGTATCCGGGCCCGAGGACCCTACCGTGGCGTATCGAAAATGCAACAACACCGATGTGACAGATTGAGATGGGCCAGGGGGGGTTCTCCACAGGCAAGTGCCGATCTGGGAGCGAGTTTTATTCTGTGGTGAGAACAGGTTTTGCCTGTTTAGAGATCATGGTCTGCAGCGTGTGTACAGGCGTCAATGTGAAGTCCAAGTGTATGGAGGAGGTGGTGTCATGGTCTGTGGAGGAATCTGTAGGGACTTATAAACAAGGTTGGTTATCATTGGAGGCAACCTTTATGCACGGAGGTATTGAGATAAGTTCTGCAACCCGTCTTCTGTCATGTCTCCACCGACAGCCACATGGTATACTCTTCCAGCGTGACAACCCTTGACCCAGTACCGCAAGGCTGACACAGGACTTCCTCAACAACATGAAGTCCTGTTTTGTCACGGCCCTCATGTTCTCCTAACATCAACGCCATCGAGCATTTGTGGCATCACCTTATAAGGCAACCCAGAAGGCGATCGGTACCACCAGTCAACTGTAAGGACATAGAGTGATCTCTTGTTTTTTGAATGGCAACATATTCCAGTTCATGTCATCCGGCTCTTGACGTCATCGGTGCGGCGACATATTGTGGCATGCATTGATGCACATTTGGTTATGTTCCTCGAACAGTTTCTGATTTTGCAAAACCACCACTCTCATTAATGTATATATTTTGAACAGGCAACATGTCTTGGTCTTTCTTCAGTAGTTTATTCAATTATTTATATTGTTCCTTTTGGACGTCAGTTTACGTTATTTCCTTGTAGGTCCTCGTCCAGCAGTGCGCCATGGGTATCGGAACGCTTATTGGGTGGTCATTATTCGGCGTTGCAGTGTGTCTAAGCTTACTTTCTGCCTGCGTGAGGGCCTGCGTTAAAGCAAATGTCAGGGTGGAGTCACACCCAGGGAATCTGGATACTGTCACACCAGGTATGTGTATTAATCATACCAATACCTTCTGTAGCCAATCACTACAGCTATGTGGAATGATGCCATTATATATGCATTTGAAGGTCGATCACATATATGTATTATTCTACACAACATATGTACATGAACTTTGATTTAGGTAACATTAAATACCACCCAGCACTGATACGACACTACCACCAGCCAATTATGAAACTCGTTTGTAATTTTGTAATTCTACGAGTATAATGTGTGTCAGTAAAAAAAACACATTTCAAATACGAATGTGAGGTGGTAGGGTAATCAAGTGGTTAGGTCCAGTTATTTGATATATTCCTGTTTAGTGGACAAGCTGGATGTTATGATAATAATGTCTTGTCGGGTCCCAAAAAGCATCGTTTGTCTTGAAGCTCTGACTGAAAATATATTCTTTCTCAAACATAAATCCCCAGTCTATTACATAGATGTTCCCTTAAAACATAACCCGGGACTTTCTTCCCAACAGAAAAGTATGCAGCACGTTCTATAACGAGGTATAACAGTCACTGTAAAAATATAGATTGTCCACATCTATGAAAGCATGTATAGATGACATTTGTTGTTTAAATGACACAAGTCCCACAAGAGTATAAAATGACATATCTAAAACCTCATCTCCGCCTTTATCACTGGCCAATACATACTAGGTAACTCTTATCTACGTCCTTCATTTTCTGTCAAAGACAACCCGACGTCCCCGCCGCCGTACCCAGGGACTACCGTGCCAACATCAATCTCGACATCACCAGCAGGGACACAGGCACCGTCCTCATAGCCTGGTACAGACAAGACCAGTCACTAGACCATCCATACTGCTTCAGAGCTGGGACAAAATTTGTTATATAAAACTTGATTCCAAGAAGATGGAAGTTTGACATACACACTAACAGTAATGCCATTCTTATGAGGTCATTTTTATACAAAAACTATTTACACGAACCTGGAATTGTTGTTAGGATCATGTATGGAAAAGATAAATTAAAATTTGTCGCTTCATAAATAACCAATAAAACAAAGTGTCTAATGTAACCCCTGTTCTGACTGCTGATGGTGTGAACCTACAACGGCTCTGTACTGCGCTGTCACTTATTCTTGAGTGAGGGCACTGTTGTCTGATAACTGATCAAAATGTTGTCTCACTGCCGATGAATTATATTGTGATATGAGAAACGGGGCCCAGCTTAGGGTACGTGTATACCGTTACGCTATATTGACGTCACAATGCAATCTAACATATTATGACGTCACTGTAGGCCATTTAATTTAGGTTTGAAAGTGTGAATAAAAAATCTTAGGCTTATCTGCCTCAATTTCACATATTATCATAAGACGGTTGTTTATTCCCACCACACGGATCAGTGTGTTGACTGAGTGGGATACAAAGGCAAGAGGGATCCTGTATCTGTTTTGGGTGGACTCTCAGTCGCTCTAAGGGTGTCCCCCCTCGTCTGTTCACTGTATACTCTGCTTTGCATCCTTCGCTTTGTATTACATGAACAAGGTTTTTGGAAAGACAGTACACATTTTCACGGATATAGAAAGTTTTCCCCTCTTTCAATGTTTAAGAAGTGCTTAAGGGCAGGCACCACAATTTGGCCTGTTACACTTTTGTAGTGTTATACATTCTTTTTCTCCTAGAGTGAAAGAAGTCCAAGTAAGAATTTGTAAATGGTTAAAACGGTTTTCTGATTTAGCGTTGTTTATTGCGTCTTCTACTATTTCTCTTCGGCTTAAGGGCAGGCACCACAATTTGGCCTGTTACACTTTTGTAGTGTTATACATTCTTTTTCTCCTAGAGTGAAAGAAGTCCAAGTAAGAATTTGTAAATGGTTAAAACGGTTTTCTGATTTAGCGTTGTTTATTGCGTCTTCTACTATTTCTCTTCGGTAGTTTCTTTCTGATAGTAAACCCTCAGTTCATTGGGTCTATATTATGCACAATCTGCAGTGGATACTATTGTGCAGATTCCACATCCTAAAGAGTAAGGGATACTGTTTGTGTTTGACGGAGTTGACAAGAATTGTCATTAAGATATTGTTTTGAGACCCGTGATGATCCAAGGTAGAATAGGTCTTCAGCAACCCATGCTTGCCGTGAAAGGCGACTATGCGTGTCGTAAGAGGCGACTAACGGGATCGGGTGGTCAGGCTCGCTGACTTGGTTGATGTACGTCATCGTATCCCAATTGCGTGGATCGATGCTCATGATACTAAACACTGGATTGTCTGGTCCAGACTCGATTATTTACAAACCGCCGCTATATAGCTTGAATATTGCTGAATGCGGCGTTAAACAAACAAACAAACAAACAAACAAAAGATATTGTTTGGAATCGGATTGTTTGTAATAAACTTCTGGATCAGTGTTATTGTTTGATTCGACGATAGAATGAATGTTATCGTTCATCTCTAATGTAACGGTTAAATTGGACGAAGTATCTGTAAAATATCTATCAAACACTGTAAGTCGTCCTCACTCCAATTCCACAGAACAAAACAATATAATCATCTGAAGACAATTTCATTTATTTGGAAATCCTGGCGAAACTCAATGCCGAATAGTTCAACAATGTTCTTGTACAAACATAGCTAGGTACAAGTGTCGCATAAAAAGAGCCATTTTGGTCCCCATTACTGTGCCTTAACTTGCTTGTTTATTATCCATCACAATGAAATCATGTATAATTGTTTAGAATAAGGTGAGGGTAGGGATGGAGGTGAGGGTGGCGGTGACGGTGGAGGTGGAGGGTGAGGGTGGGGGTGAGGGTGGGGGTTGGAGGTGAGGGTGAGTAATCCTTTCCGTTTGAACATGAGTAATCCTTTCCGTTTGAACATACTGGGCAAGTTATTCTATATTTTCTATCTGAAGATACTTAGCGAGTTATTTTATAGTATAGAACAAAATAATAATTTCCCAGCTAACCGGAAAACGTTATAAAAACATCCCTAAAACATTTTACGAAACGTTATTGAAATGTTTTAAAAAATGTTTTCTTCGCGTGATTTTGTATGGTCCCAGAAACGTTTTAGAAACATGCATCACACTGAATACAAAAAGTGGTACACCAGGAACACCCCAACCCACTTAACGGTCAGTGGCTGAGTGCGGATACAAATCCAATTCTTAGCATTAATTTAAAGCCACAAAACCATCAGAGGTAACTCGGTCTAGTAGCTCATGGTATTTAACAACAGTTTCTGCACTTAGGTTTGCATCCTTCACAGCCCCTGGTGTAGTTGTTGTATTCCTCAATACATCCAACATTTTCCGTGTGTATCTCCTGGAATGCTGTTTTCTCCTTTTGCAGCGAAAACCACAATGTTTCACATAATAACAAAGTAATAACTTGAAATATATTTAATAAGCTTGCGATTGTCAATCCAAAGATGAAATATATTATATAGGTTCATAACATTATTGGGGAAAAATGTTAGTGCACATTTAATATCAACATGAATAACGTCACGAAATAATACATGTACATCAGCCTACAGATTAGTAACCTATAAAGCAAGTACTATAATTAAGAAATAATCTAACATATTTTTTCCACATTACACTCCAAGTGGTCCCGTAAATAATGGAACCTGTGTGAGGCAAACCAGTGACTGGCAGTGGAAAACGTCCAATGAACTCCAGGAACCAAGACACACAATCAACCAAGCCTTTTGTCACCCATTACGATAAACATGGATTAGGGTCTGGTCATTCTAAACTGAAATCCAAATGGGAACAGATGTATGAAACACCCATTGTAACCTAGCAACGAATCATGACGTCATCGCGGAACAGTTAATAGCTAGAGAGCAGTTTCGTAACATTATTACCAGCTGGTAAACAGATTCGTTCAGTCTTTGATATCTTTTTTTCCCCTCATTGTCAAAAAGAGTGAATCAAGTATATGAACTTTATTTGGTCCAACATGTACTGAACAGAGCTCTAAATCAAGTTCAATATAATTCAACACGTCCATTTTAATTCTGGAAACCCATTTGTCCAGAAACTCTCCATGGTGTGGCCAGTATCGGTCAAAGGTATTTCCAAACTTCAACATGCTGTTTTTATGGGTACATACTAAGGGAAAAAAAATGAAAAAATAATATTTCGAAAACTCAAAATTTAAACTATGTCGTCCATGGGCCTGCCCATACACATACAGGCTGACATAGGCTAGGAATACTAAACTGCCCACTTGCAAACCATCTTTGTGAATGTTTGAAGGTCTTCATTGATGATATGAATTTAATTACGAGTTACCGGTCGTTGTATGTTGATCACATTCTCTTCTTTAGTCCCATCACATCTATCTTTACCTGTTGTGCGTGTGGGTGACAGGTGCAGTTGGTAAGACATACATAATGTTCTGTACAGTATTCAAAATATCAAGCAAGTCCACATTTAATAATGCGACTTTTACTAACAATGGATTGACGAAACGACAGACCATGTTTGAAAAGAACTTTGTATCAAACAAACCGTGACATTAACATTACGAGGCCATGAGAAACACCTGGTTGTATTCGTCAACTTGAGTACACCAGTAGCCCTCTGTATTTTTGCACAATCTGACCTCTGGAATACCTTTTAAATACACGTTAAGCTCTGCATTCAACACGTAATGTTGATGTGAATTTGATGATTGTTCAAGTACATAAGGGAATATATTTTCTGAATATGCACATTGAACTTTTAACTTCGATATTTATGTATTGTGTAGGTTGGTGTCTAGTGCAGTTGTTAGGCTTTCAGGAATGTTATTGTCTAACCGCCTCAGCCACCGTGGCTTCCACAAAAATGAAAGTCCGACAACCGGTAGTCTCGGGGCGCGTTGCAAGCCACGAATATCTTAGGGAAAGCAAATTAATCGCTCAGGCGAATCGCTGAACATCGCTTGCCAGCGATTCACGCTTTGCAACGCACCCCTAGATCACCCCTAGATAACATACTTTGTGTACCCCTCTCACAAGTGTAAATTGGCACGGCTCCCATGGCCGAAAGCTATGAAAACCATTTCGAAAGTGGTCAAATGTAACAAATCTTATATTTACACAATGCCATTTCGATACTGCTTAGATCAGCGGATACTGCTTTCTAAAATGAACTTACCCCCTAAGAAATGTCACAATGTCACTTGGATGTAGAGTAAACTTGAACTGATGATGGCGGGTGCAAAATATGGCCCACACCATGACAGCCTGCCACATACATAACATCGGCCCCTTGTAAATAGATTAGCGGAGGTATCAGATTAAGGGCGAATTCATTTGCGCAAATCGCAGTCATTTGAACTTGCATTGTTGAAGAGAGGCATTATGTAAGGCTTGACATGGTACGGTTCGACGACAACCGAGATAACAACAGTAACACATGGCAATGGTGAGTTACCCCCAACCTTACTGACCTCCCCAAGCTCCTTCCCAGCGTGTGACACTTTCGTCACATGCTATCGCTGTGAGGAGCTTGTGGCCTCCCACATTGACAATATCTCTTTAAAGGCGCATAGCAAAGTAGGTGGGGCATTTTAAGCTTTCAGTTTCTAAACAATTGTTTATTGGGGTTTCCTCAATGGACTTGTAAGGAAATGAATACTTTAGGTGCTTGCGTAACTATTGACAAAAGAAAACGTTTGATGCATTGTATCAACAAGGCGGCAAACTCTTTGTTCCTCAGATTAAATTTACAATAAAATAATTCACACCTTATGCAGTTGATTAAACATATACAAATGCATGCACTTTGTATTCAGTTTTCCGTCAGTCCCTTCGCCTTCTAAGAAAAAATGTCTCCCTCTCATAACTGCGGTTAACTTTCTAACAAATGTCATGTATTTCAGGGTTTGATATTACTTAAACTGATCTAACGAAATTTTTGAGAATGTTAAGAACTACCAGTGAGTGCGTGGGTTTTCTAGTTATATCACGGCAGGTCAGCTTAATGTGGCAGGAAAGCCCGAAGTCATTCAGGTCTCAGACGTTTACCACTTCGGTGAAACCCACGAGCACGGGTATGGTGCTGACAAACCTTGAAACATAATCGGGGCGAACCGGGATTCGAACCCACAATCATAGGTTTCTGGCGTGCCCAAGGGACGCAACTCTACACAGCAAATTGCGGCGCCTTAGGCGACTGGGCCATCCGTGCCTCCTTATGAACTACTGGACCAAGTGAAGGGATCAGCGTAGGCGGTATGTCTTGTATCAGTTGCAGTAGCAGATCCTAAACCTACCACACTAGTATAGTCCCACAGAACAGATATCTGCAGCCAACCGCCATACGTTGCGTCCAATCCGACATGGGGTTGTAGGGTTGAATTTCACATGAATACCACACTCAGACTCAGTATACTATGAGCCACCTTGTCCTTATTTTATGCCATTAATGCCGAGCGGCAGGCAGGGTAACAACAAGTACCATTTGTTATTTCCTTTTGGGATGACGCGTCGGGGATCGAACACCGACCTCCCACTCTCCGGACAGACGATCTGTCTACTAGACCACTTTGTGTTGAATGACGTCACTTCCTGTTGGGGAAAAAGACATGATGTCATTTTCAGTGACACACTAAAATAGAGATTCCCATGTCTCTAAGTACATTTGTAAGAAAGTTGACCCTGATCCTTGATTTCAGCCAATCTCATGCTCTTTTCCTCCGTCGGGATCCCGGGTTAGAATTGGTTGTCAACACCTATTATGGTGGTCGTAAGAGGTAAGAAAGTGAATCGGGAGGACGGAGTCTGTCACTCGGGACGCAAGTGAGGCTGCCAAATGCAGGACCCGAGCAAGCTAGTCACTACGGGTACATAAGAGAGGATGAAGATGGCATTTCATGTCAATCTTCATCTCCTAATTTACACAGAGAATCGCGGCGATACACTTGCATATTCCTTGTCACTCTGCAAGCTCTCTACCAATGAGGTCGCGTTGATCTATGTCGATCTGAGATTGACGTCCCTTTGTGATGACATCATTGATAACCAGCGAGGAAACCGAACACTTTACCAGCATGACGAATAAGTGTTGATTGGACCTGACTGAATCTCGCGAGATACTCGTATTTAAAAACAACACAAAAACTACATTCGTTACCATGTTTATTGTTACTAAAGGCGACAAAACATTTCCACAATCATAAGACATTTCTCGTTGTTCGATCCCGACTTTATCAAAGCATGTGTTTATGAATCACAAACAAATGAACACAAACACACCTATTTGATTGTTTTTTATCTCAATCACTAATTTGTCTGGAATACACTGGAATACTTAGAGGCCGTTGTCATAAATACGGAATAATGCTGAGCGAGGCCTAAAGGAAACCAAACCTTTGTCTTAAACTAAAAATATTTACTTACATGTAAGTTGTTACAGGTAAATGACTTCGGAAAGTAGGAGACACAAGGATAATAAACATATAAATCATGTAACATAATATTCAAACATTCGATCATAATGAAATGCATAAGGATTTCATAACATAAATGCAAATATCAAGCTGGTGAGCGCGTTATTTCGTTTGTTCATTAATTGAATTTGTTCATTATTCCGGCCGTCATATCTCCAAAATACTGCCAGACTGTAACAAAACCATACTTCGCTATACCTCACTTCCAAATAAGCAGACCTGGGTCCACTTGCATAAAGCGATCTTAGCGCTAAGATGATCATAACTCCCATACTTTAACATAGGCTTACGACAATCTAAGCGCTAAGATCGCTTTGTGCAAGTGGGCCCTGGTATCGAAAGTTTGTTATATTCTCTTTCGAAACATTGCTGAGGTAGTCGTAAAGCACACCAACCAAAAGTTTTATCTAAACTTCTGAAAGATATTTACGTAAGTGGTTTTCTTCAGGAAAATGACTTCGCAGCTGAGAAGGGACACGGACATTAAACAGACCATAAGTGCATATATATCAAACCAGTGAGTGAGTTACAACTTAACATCGGAATATATTTGCCACATGGCGTCGAAAACAAATTAAACATGTATCAAAAACATGCGCAGCCAAAATGTAAGGTAAATATCTCATATCAAATATACATCTAAACAGGTGAAAGGACAACATATTCGCACACGTGAGGACATTTTGAGTGATGAGAAAGCAAAATATTTTCGAGGCTTATTTTTTACAGCAAGTGTGTCATAATCATTCAGGAATGTAGATAAGTCTGTGTGGTCAGAACTAAACAACAACTCAACTGAATTATTATGGACATGGAAATGACAAATTCGGGTAATGTATTGAAAACAACTGAAAAATACTTTCCTCGTATTTTGATATAGCAATAACACAATCCCTTTAGCTATGTTGTCTTCTTTTAGAACAACTACTAATTGAACTGCAATTAAATATTGTGGAATCAAATGTTGAGCACGTTACTCTGACATTCCCGCCACTTACATGATGAAAGAGAAAACAATTTGTATTTTGTACACTAATATGGTTAACCGACAGGATATGTTCTTATTGCGTTTAAACACTAACTGAATCCAACTATAAAAAAGGAATTTTTCCTACATATTCTTAGGTTTGGTCGTGCAGTCTAGTGGCTAAGGGGTTTACTTTTCACGTGAACGACCTGCAGGAGTAATGTGTGAAGCTGTCACAAAACCTGAAAACCTGAATCAACTCAATTTATTTAACTAAAAGCAATTCTTACTTATTACACACTTCGAAGTGGGCATCCCTGATATCCAAACGTTCTATATTATTTTATGTTTCCCCCTTCATATTATCCGATACTATCCAAGTACCTCCCTTCATCCGAGCTGCTACTCTCGCCCAGCCATTTCCCCCTTCATCCGAGCTGCTACTCTCTCCCATTCCCCCCTTTATCGAAGCTACTACTCTCTCCCATTCCCCCCTTCATCAAAGCTGCTACTCTCTCCCATTCCCCCTTCATCAAAGCTGCTACTCTCTCCCATTCCCCCCTTCATCAAAGCTGCTACTCTCTCCCATTCCCCCCTTCACCGAAGCTGCTACGTTCTCCCATTCCCCCTTCATCAAAGCTGCTACTCTCTCCCATTCCCCCCTTCATCAAAGCTGCTACTCTCTCCCATTCCCCCTTCATCGAAGCTGCTACGTTCTCCTTTTCCCCCTTTATCGAAGCTGCTACTCTCTCCTATTCCCCTCTTCATCGAAATTGCTACTCTCCCCAATTCCCCCCTTCATCGAAGCTACTACTCCCTCCCACCCCACCCCCCTTCATCGAAGTTGCTACTCTCTCCTGTTCCCCTTCATCACAGCTGATACTCTCACCTATTCCCCCCTTCATCGAAGCTGCTACTCTCTCCCATTCCCCCCTTCATCGAAGCTGCTATCCTCTCCCATTCCCCTTCATCAAAGCTGCTACTCTCTCCCATTCCCCCCTTCATCCGAGCCGCTACTCTCTCCTATTTCCCCCTTCATCAAAGCTGCTACTCTGTCCCATCCCCGTTTCATCAAAGCTGCTGCTCTCTCAAAGTTCCCCCCCTAATCGAAGCTGCTACTTTCTCCTATTCCCCCTAATCGAAGCTGCTACTCTCTCCCATCCCCCCCTTCATCAAAGCTGCTACTCTCTCTCATTCCCCCTTTATCAAAGCTGCTACTCTCTCCTATTTCCCCCTTCATCAAAGCTGCCACTCTCTCCCATTCCCCCCTTCATCAAAACTGCTACTCTCTCCTATTCCCCCCTTCTTCAAAGCTGCCAGTCTCTCCCACTCCCCCCTTCATCAAAGCTGCTACTCCCTCCTATTCCCCCTTCATCAAAGCTGCCACTCTCTCCCATTCCCCCCTTCATCAAAGCTGCTACTCTCTCCTATTCCCCCCTTCATCAAAGCTGCTACTCTCGCCCATCCCCCTCTTCATCAAAGCTGCTACTCTCTCCTATTCCCCCCTTCATCAAAGCTGCTACTCTCTCCCAGTTTCCACCTTCATCCGAGCTGCTACTCTCTCCTATTCCCCCCTTCATCGAAGTTGCTACTCTCTCCCACTCCCCCCTTCATCGAAGTTGCTACTCTCTCCTATTCCCCCCTTCATCAAAGCTGCTACTCTTCCCATTCCCCCCTTCATCAAAGCTGCCACTCTCTCCCATTCCCCCCTTCATCAAAGCTGCTACTCTCTCCTATTCCCCCCTTCATCAAAGCTGCCACTCTCTCCTATTTTCCCCTTCATCGAAGCTGCTACTCTCTCCTATTCCTCCCTTCATCAATGCTGCCACTCTCTCCTATTTTCCCCTTCATCAAAGCTGCTACTCTCTCCTATTCCCCCCTTCACCCTAGCCGCTACTCTCTCCTATTTCCCCCTTCATCAAAGCTGCTACTCTGTCCCATCCCTGCTTAATTAAAGCTGCTACTCTCTCCTAGTTTCCCCCTTCATCGAAGCTGCTACTCTCTCCTATTTCTTCCCTCCATCCGAGCAACTGCTCTTTCCAAGTTCTCCCCTTCATCTGAGCGGCTACTCTCTCCCATTTTCCCCTTCATCCGACCTGCTACACTCTCCCACTTCCCCCTTCATCTGATCTGCTACTCTCTCCCAGTTTCCACCTTCATCCGAGCTGCTACTCTCCCAGTTCCCCCTTCTACGAGCGGCTACTCTCTCCCACTTCTCCCCTTCATCTGAGCGGCTACTCTCACACAGTTCTCCCCTTCATTTGAGCTGCTTCTCTCTCCCATTTCCCCCTTCATCAAAGCTGCTACTCTCTCCCATTCCCCCCATCATCAAAGCTGCTACTCTCTCCCAGTTACCCCCTTCATCCGAGCTGCTACTCTCTCCCAGAAGAGTACCCTTGCGTCTACATCTTCATCGTCTGCTGGCCACAGGATGTACGTCTGGGGATCCAGCAACAGCCGGATACTGCTTGACACAAACCTACTTGAGATCTCTTCTTTTAGTATCACAATCAGAGATTCTGGGCCGTTTACCAATGATTTTCTATGGGCATAATTGATGGAAAACTGACACCATTTACTCTGGATCGAGTTTTTAGACAGGACAATGAGAACCTTCCTGCTCTCCTCCACACTTTCCACAATGTTGTCAACGATCGCCCCTCCAACGTCAAAGTCTCTCTCATGTACACAAAGAGCAAGGCCATGTTTCTCCTCCAAGTTTGGAAGCACCTCCTTTATGATCCATGGCGTGTCATCTGTAGAGTACACCACATAGCCATCATAGGTGAGATGTTGTTCGTCGACTATTCGGTCATCGTGACGTCGGAGCAAGTACATGTAGTACCGTATTTGCCAACGCCATCTGTACAACAGTACACATACCACGAAGACAATGATGAGAGGAACGGTTCCCCCGAGAACAGCAACATAAACGGTTCTCTCAAACAAACAAGATTGTTCTGAGAACGAAATTTCTGATAACGATTTATGAAGTTAATATGCTGGAGAACTGCATTTGTAGAAATAGGGAAATTGCAGAAACTTTTTCTTGTCCTGATGTACCCATGAGAGAAACCAGCGAATGGAACATGTGCAAGAAAAAGGGTTATTGGCCAGATTTACATTTCTGAGTCGATTCCTAAGCTTCTCGGGAAAGGTATCCTCATCAAATTCTGGTATTTTGTTACCATCAACATACAAATGTGTGAGCTTCGTTAAGTTTCTGAATATGTCTTTGGGCAGGAACGTCAGTCGGTTGTTGAATAGTTTAAGATATACCAGATTGTGCAGCATCAGAGGAATAGCGTCAGGAACAGACACGAGTTTACAGTCACCCAAAGCTAGGCCTCCTAATCCACGAAGATCCTTGAACAGCCGCATGAAGAAACTTTCATTTACGCCGTACATATCACTGAATGATAGGTCAAGGCTCTTTAAGCCTGTGGAGTCACTGAATGAGTCTGCGTCAACGTTATTGTCACTGTACGTAAAATGACTGCCCTCCATGGTGAGTCGTTTGATGTTGCTGTTATTGAACGCATGATTCTTGATGTACATTTTGGATCCTTTAAGATTTTTTAGAAAGATGGTTTTGAGTCTGGATAATTCTGAAAAGGTGTTAGTTTCAATTCCTTCTATGGGATTAGCATTGAGTCCTAAAATATTGATGTGTGGTAAACATTTGAACATGTGTGGTCTTGTTTCAGTCAAAAGGTTGTGCTCAAGATACAGCTTCTGTAACTTGGGATAAAAACTTGAGTTAATGCCACAAAAGGATGGGACTTCTGTTATTACGTTGCCATCAAGGGACAGGATGCTCAAATATGGAGCGTGGCCCCACTTCAACGAACTAATCTTGTTCCCCCCTAATTCTAGAGCACGTATATTCCCGAGGAATGAAAACGCATCTTGGTTATATTCCTCCAGATGGTTTCTCTCCAGGACAAGATACTTAAGGACGTTATTCTTCATCCCATGAAACATGTTCAGTGGCACATGCTTTAGCTTCATACCTGATAACGTCAGGCCTTCGAGAGGAAGATTATCAAGACCTCGAAAAGCCGTCGCCAGATCTATTGGAGTAAGAAGATCATTTCCTGTGAGATCCAGGTGTTTGAGCTCACGGAGTTCAGCTAAAGCATCATCAGAAATGTTCTGTATTTTGTTCCAAGCAAGAGACAGGAAATGCAGGTTTAAATGGGTAATGTTGGCGAACGTATCATTCGAGATCCAATGCAAGTTATTATCTGTGAAGTTCAGTTGGGTAATGTTGTCCCAAAATGTAGGAATGTACGTCAAATGACCAAACTGACAGTTGGCCAGCGGCCCCGAACACATGCAGATGGTCAGATAGCAGAATGACCAATCTTTCCCCTTTGTGCTTGAGTCGGATCTGCTAGGTAGGACACTGATCCCGTCACTGGACGTCAATACACAGAAACAGGTCGTCGCACAGAACGACAAGAGCAGCGTTGTAGCGGTACATCCCATACTGGAATCTGTGGATATGAATAAAGGCAGGATCAACAATTGATGTGATCACATGACATGACACGCGGTGACTATAACTTCCACGTAAGTCAGATATATACAGGTGGAGCAGCAGAGGCCTTAAGACTGGATAGTTTTTGAGATACCTGTGATGTTTAGCAAGCCGGTAGGCGCTAACTTTATATTTGTACGTGGATGCACGTCGATATCTGTTCGGTTGAACAGAGAGAGGCAATACTTCGGCCATGCTCTTAGTTTTCTGATCCAAGGGAGATAACTCCTTCATACATAATCACCATGTTAAAGTGCAATGTAAAACACTACAATACCCAAACCAGCATAACCACATTGTCACATGTGGTTAGAATTGATGCTCCATCACTATGGTTAATTCAAAAAAATGATTGCGTATGAAGAAAATGCTACTTTTTTACAACTACCCCTTAGCAGGTTAGGTGTTTACGTGTGTGTTCCGACACGAAACTATCGGGATGTATTTGTCCCCACAGACTATTTTACATTGCTAATCGTTTTTCCCCATCAAGTGGGGTTATACATGGATACCTCCCGTGATTACCACACGAGAAAATGTGGTTAGGATGGTTGGGGACCACCCTCAATAGCTGACACCTGCTGCTCCACTTCACAGAAAGTGAAACTGAAACAATATTCGTTCTAGTCATGCCTGTTCAGCTATCCCACACATGTCAGACTCTGGTTGGTGTTTCATACTCATGTTAGTGTTATTGCAGCTGGTAAGAAGGTTCTACGTAAACAAACTTCATGTTTGTCTGTTTGTTTGTTGTTTAACTCCGCACTCAGCCATATTACAGCTATATGACGGCGGTCTGTAAATAATCGAGTCTGGACCAGACAATCCAGTGATTTACATCATGAACATCGATCCACGCAATTGGGATCAATGACATGCATCAACCAAGTCAGCGAGCCTGACCACCCGATCCCGTTAGTCTCCTTTTACAACAAGCATAGTCGCCATTTACGGCAAGTATGGGTTGCTGAAGACCTATTCTACCCCAGATCCTCACAGGTCTAAACACATTTTAAATGAAGACAGATTAGTTGATTCTATCACAGTGAACTGAACAAGGCCAACGAGAGCCTAGTTAAGAACAAAGGCACCGTACGCCCGTCGTTAAAAAAAACGCTTTGAAAGATCACAGTGTGGTCATGATTAAGACGTCCTTATTCGATGTAACCTCAACGGATTTGATTCAAATTTCATCCCGGAAGAGTCAAGTGCTAAAAATTCATGAAATAAGGTATATAATGATAGGTATGACAAACCTGTTGAAGTTTCATGATAGTCTATTACACACGTCGAAGTAAAAGGAATCGCTTGGCATGTTTGTTTGGTAAATGATAACATCATGTGATATGACAATTGCAGTGATGTCTTTGAGAAAAGGCGACAAATACTTGACTTGGCCTAGATCGCCTAGTTCGTTTAAGGTTCCCCTTTAGAACCCATCGTTTTTTAGGAGGTTGTTTTTCGACATGAAGTCATTCTGAAACGGCCACATATTTAAGAGGCGACGTAGGACATAACGTCGTGGCGCTAAGTGTCTGGCGAAAAACGATTCATATTTCAACAGCTTGTTCGCTCTTAGCGCCAAAGTGAGTGAGTACGGTTTTACGCCGCTTTTAGCAATATTCCAGCAATATCACGGCGGGGGACACCAGAAATGGGCTTCACACATTGTACCCATGTCGGGAATCGAACCCGGTTCCTTGGCGTGACGAGCGAACGCTTTAACCACTAGGCTACCCGACCGCCCCCCCCCCCCCCTTAGCACCAAAAAGGTTGATATTGAATGAATATGACAAGGCATAATCTTCATCATAATATTTTGAATTGGGTTTAAGGGAAACAAATGCAAGTAAAATGAATGAATTAGAACTTTGCATTAATCTTACACGTTTTGTCCGGTACTCAGGGATGTGTGAGTTCATAGTCTAACACTGCTAAAAATAGCTACGAATCACTTCTTCAAAACGTTAAAACAGCTATGCATTAGCGACTAGTAAATGTCGGATAGAAACGAGAGCAGAAGAAACATATTGTTTCGCAGCTAACATGAACCATGCATTATCCATGAATAGACAGTTGGTAGGTGTCGTTGTTTCGCCAGAGGTAGTTGTTTAGCAAACAAAGAAAAATACTGACCTTGTTATCAAATATCCGAAAACTATGTTGCCTTCTTAAACAAAAAGATGACGACCCGAGCAGTAAATCGTTATTTCTCGCATTGTACACTCCAAGTGGCCAGCAGGCCGAAACTAATGTGTGGCTTTCCCGAACTATTTTTACTTTCATAAACCATGGCTATCTTTGTCCTTCGAAACCTTTGACCTCAGTCGAAAATAGTACAGGATATGAATGTCGCAAAACGATGAATCAGCCTGCCGCCTCATAGATATATTGCAGGTATCAGATTGTGACTATGAACGATTGACTGTAATGTGATGGAAATGTGTTTATTCAAGAGCTTAAATTAGCAGACATATTAAACAACATATAGATGTACGCTCTCTAATACGTATATCTATATTATTAATATTGTTACATTACTGTTCTCTTATCCTGTATTAAGTATTTCCGGTATAATGAGACACTTCTGATGAAAGCTACGACATATGCCGATGTTTCGTACATCGGCAATGTTCGGGTAACGTAATACCGAGTAAGAGTTATGCCCCTTATCGTAAACAAAAATGGCGATTTACAAAACGGGGTATGTGTATACAATTTAATGAAACAGGTTAATTGAACGTTGAATGTTGATGAAACTTTAGAAATAAATCCAGGGAAGGATGTTGATAATAATAAAATATTGAGTTATATGATTTTCAACACTGTCCGTTAAACAGGGAATACCTTAATAAACAAAGTGTCATATCCTATTCCAACTATATGAGTGTATTTTTATTGCTTATGGCATCCACCAACATGTGGCCAACGCATCAACTTGCATACCCAGTATACGCGTGCACGTACGCACCGCCCCTAGAGAATCCAGTTCCAATGGGACTTAACGAACCTGGTGATCGGGGTAGGCGTCTTGGTTGATTACGTGATTCCTATAGGTACGACAGGCGTATTATTGCTGAGTACGGTGTTAAACAAGAAATACACTTATAATCACAGAAACCAGAAAATACATGCATATGAGTGAGTGAGTGAATGAGTGAGTGAGTGAGTGAGTGAGATGGGTTTGACGCTGCCTTGATCAATATTCCAGTTATATCGCGGCGGGTCAACTTACTGTGGGAGGAAAGTCCGAAGTGATGCAGGTGTAGGACGTTTACCACTTTAGTGAAACCCACGAGCACGGGTATGGTGCTGACAAACCTAGAAATATAATCGGCTCGAACCGGGATTCGAACCCACAATCATAGGTTTCGCGCCTGCCCAAGGGACGCAACTGTGCACAGCTTTTCACAGATCAATGTCAAATAGAAAAAAACCCAACAAAATGTGATTTCAGCGAGTGATCATTAAAAGTTTTTTCAGTAGTTATAACACTATTATTTAGAATCGAAGTAGTTCCTTATTTTCATGATTATCCTTATCTTCATTCTTCCAAGTAGTTATTGGACTCATGTAACATTATATAAATGGAAGATTGGCTTACATATAATGGTGAACGCAGAAGAGATGTCTAGACGTCAAGGAACCAAGCAAAGTTCCGGACCAAACAATATCAGGGTTGAGAGTAGTGCTGTAACATGTAAATATATCAAGCACGTACGCGTGGCTGCCAGCTACATGTAAAAATATCAGGATAATGAAAGGTTGATGGGTGCAGAATCCGGCAGAATACCATAAGGTATGTATTCTTCCCCCTTGACTCTTTTTGGAACATAGGTACACCCCCTTTCGAATACCACCGTTGATTTGGAATTAAATGATCTCCTTACTGGTGCTCGTCAAAAGTTGGTACATCTGAATCTTCTTATAACACAGTGCACGTGATGATTACCTCTCAACATGTGAACACTTGTATTGTGTGTATTATTGTCATTTAGGTGATGTTACCAGGGATACAAGTCAATTTTGGCAGAGACATTAATGTAATATTTTCTTTAAAAAATTAATAAAAAACCTTATGCAATAAATGGTTACTCAGATTTCAGATTCATAAAATTAAATGGGACATATCATGGCGTCAAGATTGATGTCATCATACTGTCTCTTACATCTGGGCGGTCGGGTAGCCTAGTGGTGAAAGCGTTCGCTCGTCACGCGGAAGACCCGGGTTCGATTCATGACATTGGTACAATGCGTGAAGCCCATTTCTGGTGTCCCCCGCCGTGATATTGCTGGAATATTGCTAAAAGCGGCGTAAAACCATACTCCCTCACTCACTCTTACACCTTCAGCGCCTCAACTTAGTTTAACGTGTAATTGTACAGTAGCACAAGGTAATGTGAAGAGTTATCTCCCCTCTATCATTTTCCCCACATTTTATGTTGATCCTCACAAACCAGAAGCAATGACGGTGTGATATTTGTTGAGCTTCTTAACAATTGTTGATGGGTTATTACACCATGGGCCTGAAAATAAATGGGCATTTGTCTGAAGCAAATAAATCATTATATGAGCGAAGTAGTAGTTGATCAGTTTTCCTCTCTTGATACGAGATCAATATTAGTGACTGTTCCTGTCACATTTGCAAACCTAAAACAAGTCACAACTATTGATCTGCTCTCCCGGCAGACGCTCCACTAGACCACAGAAGCGGTCGCTATAGGTCCTTGTACGAGTAGTGATAAATGGTCACACGGTAGTGTAGTATACAGTTCGTGTGACGGGTATGCATAGTGTGTTTTTCAAATAGTAATCCGGCGGTTGCCTATTTAATCGATTCTGAAGTAGAGGGCTGGCCCATAACTTATGAGCAATGTGTTATATGTCCCAGACACAATCCTAACTTGGATTTTATTCCTTTTCATATTGTCCATGTAGCGTGCAAATGTAATAACTCATATGAGATTAAACTCAATGTGTTGATAACTACAACGAAGTGACATGTGATCTCCAAAAAAACGCTGTGTACACAAATGTATATACTTCCTGGTGGTCCACAATTGGTTCATGTACACTGCATTCTAGGTATGGTTGTTACAACAAATATACAGAAATGACTCACCATTTTCTGTGCTGGACGTTTTAGACTCGACAGTGGAGAGAGAAAATTCATCTTACTGATTGTAGCATTGCATTGGATAAAAGGTGAGCGAACAACATTACACATCTGAGTAAACTTGAAATCAGAAGTAAATGCAATTTTACTGTGATCATTATTCAAATAAGTTACTTGTGATTATTTAGCATGATTGTATACAATTAGAAACAATTGTATTGTGTTTGGTTGTCATCATGTTTGGAACAGATGCTTCACACACCAGTAAGAATACCAATAGAATTCCGAGTATCATTATCACAGCGCCAGTTCGTGTCATCACAGTGATAACATTTTACGACTTCAGTCAGAAGTACATGATTATAACCTCTGTAGATACATAACTGTATTTCATCAGCTCTGTAAACAGGACGACCTGTACGACAGTAGCATCAGACTGCCTATCACTGTGCTCACTGGTGCTGCGGTTCATTGTACAGTATTGTTTGTTTGTTTGTTTGTTTGCCGCACTCAGCAATACTCCAGCTATAGGACGGCGGTCTGTAAATGATCGAGTCTGGACCAAACAATCCAGTGATTGGCATTATGAGCATCGATCCACGCAATTGGGACCCATGACATGCATCAACCAAGTCAGCGAGCCTGACCACCCGATCTCGTTAGTCACCTCTTACGATAAGCATAGTCGCCTTTTACGGCAAGCATTGGTTGGTGAAGAGCTATTCTACGCCGGATCTTCACGGCTCTCATTGTACAGTAATGCCACTGGACATGGAGCCCTTCGAGCCTTTCGGTAAGGCACAGGAGGTAAGGCATACATGTGCACAGAATAACAATATATAATTAGTTACACTGTTTATATCTTGGCCCTCGCATTTTGCATCACGTCTAGGATACCTGCCAGCTCCTAGTCTTATTCTCACTTATCACACCGTCTCGTGTACCTTCTAGTCGCGTCACTTCTTCCTGTGTTACTACTAATCATGTCTTCATTACATCATCTGTTCTTGTGTAGTTCCTTATCATGTCGCCATTATACCACAGCGTCTGTAGATCCCAATCACGCTGTTATTGTCCTAGTAATGTTGAACCACAATAAATACAATCATAGTGGCAAATAATAAAACAAAACAAAACGGCAACTCTCGGAATCTGATTCTGGACTCGATTCATTTGACAATAGTGTCCATGTTATTGTATTTCGAGAGAGATAATTGACCTCGGCTTCTTGTCATGGAAGCTGAATATATAAGTTTAACCGTACAGTAGCTTCGTATTCACAATTTGCTTTGGTAAAAGGGTAAAGCTGGTGAGTTAAAGGATGCTAAGATCTGGAGCTCTATTGATTGTATGTACCAGGTGAACACCAGTCATCAATTTAATGGCAAGAAATAAGTTTGATGATATAGATGTTAGATGTTCTTCTCACAAGACCCTTTCTATAAGCAAGGTGCGCGAGTGAGTTGGGTTTAACGCCGCTTTTAACAGTATTCACGGCGTGTCAGCTTCATGTTGGAGGAAAGCCCGAAGTGATGCAGGATTCAGACGTTTACCACTTCGGTGAAACCCACGAGCACTGGTATGGTGCTGACAAACCTAGAAACATAATCGGGGCGAACGGGGATTCGAACCCACAATCATAGGTTTCTGGCGTGCCCAAGGGACGTAACTCTGCACAGCGAATCGCGGCCCCTTAGACGACTGGGCCACCCGTGTCCCTAGTATAAGCAAGGGCATAATCTGAGACCGTGACCGCAGTCTTGCTGAAGAAACCATCGACGAAATTGTATCAGAACTTCGGAGTCAAGGTGTCACTGAAGCAAAACGATTCACATATATATCGCAAAAATGGATCTGTGTTTCCACATATATTTTGACTTTTGATACAACAGCTCTACCACGTTCAATTAATGTTGGTTGTTTCGTCATGCACCTCTACATCCCACGGCCAACACGCTGTTGTACATGTCAGCGTTTGGACATGGGCAGACTTCTGGCAGAGGTAAAGCTACTTGCTTCAAATGTGGTGAAATTGATTTTGGTGGAAATACTTGTACGAAGCCTCTGACCTGATTCAACTTCCATGGTTATCATATGACATCTGCAACTGACTTGATTGAAGTGCCAGTCCATTGTACAAGAAATTAAATGTGAGCAAAATATCAGCTGCACCGACGCCATGATTCAAGCTAACTTAGTCGCGTCTGCAAACACAACAGGGCATTCTTATGCATCTGCAGATTAAAGAGAAACGACTGTTATGGGCAGTAGGAGACACACCAACAAGTTTCTGAAATTGTTGCTAACCAACATGATATAAGCATAGTCACAGCTCCAACCCCAGCAGCCACAGCCAAATCCACATCACCATCAACAGAAACAACTCCTTAAACTTTGCATCCAGTAATGTTTACATTTTCGAAAAGAAAATTTAAACTGATTTACTGTCAAAGGCATTCCAAGAACCCGTGCAACTCTACAAGTATGGGTCGCTCGTATATAGATATGGAAATGCCCCCTCAAATGAGCACTTCTGATCGTACAAGTAGCCACATTCCTAAAAAGAAAGTCAGGAATCTATCCCCATTATTCCACCTTAACGAGTAACACCAATTATATAATTCAGTGGCATTGCAGTATTCAGTCCAAGGACAACTTGTAATGAGTTACACTTATTAATACAAGAAAATAAGCCGTTAGCAATCTGTCTTCAGGAGACACCTTAAACATACAGGCACATTTGACCTGAGCCAGTACAACTGCCATACTTCATTTAATGATAAAGCGACTGAAGGCTCAACGATTATATTCAGGCAGGACGTCATTCATAGCGATTTTCAACTGAATACTTATCTTCAAACTGTTACCGGACAATGCATACTGAATTTGCGTTGCCCTCTTTGTATATCCAACTTTCATCTGCTCTTTGACAAAGATCTTGAGCTCTAGTTGTGCTGTATCATCATGGGCGATTTAAATGGACATAACCATGTATGGGGAAGTCCAAATACAAACAATAAGGGGAAAGTTATTGATGATTTTATTTCTGATAATAATTAAAGTGTATTTAATGACGGTTCAAGCTCCTACTTACATTATGCTACTGGAACAACTTCTGCCCTTGATCTGTCCCTCACAGATTCAAACCTTAACAATTAATTTACAAGGTCTGTGCATGATGACCTATGTGGAAATGATCACTTCCCTGCTGTCCTAAAAGCTGTAAAAACGGATGATGACCAACCATCATCATGGTGGAGTTTTACTAAGGCCAGCTGGTCCTTTTATTATGTGCTTAAAATTTGAAACCTGACAATTTAAGAAATGCACCAGATCCTATCCAGTTGTTTTCGAGTCAACTAAGTCCTCACATTCATAAACCGTGGTTTAGTATTGAATGCAAACAAGTAAGAAAGTCGAAAAATATTCCAGAAACATCATACTGTTCATAATTTGAATTATTTAAAGTTACTTGTAAAGAGGCACGACATGCTTATAAAAGATAATTCCCAATATTGAAGGAACTATGTCTCCCATTTTAAATCACGCACCCCCATGGCCAAGGTGGGGAACATGGTACAAAAAATAAAAGGCAAAAGTTCCAAATTGTCTGTACATCATCTTAAAGAAGGTAACAAATTACTAATTGATAAATCTGACATTGCAAAACAATCTTCATCGTCAAACCTTTTTCACACATTATCAAGTATTAATGTAAATAGTCTTTCAAAGGTTTTTAGTGATTCAGTACACGGATCACTTTTCTGGGCTGAAATTGATATATCATTTTGTGGTAGAAATGTGCGTACCATAGAGGGGCAGTTGCAAATCTGTCTCAATAAAATTCACATGTGGTCCCTTGAAAATAGGTTTAAATTTTCTAAATCAAACATTTATTGTATACATTTCCGCAGAAAATGTAGGCCACATGTGGATCCCGAACTCATCTTGAATGGCACCCCTGTCAAAGTTGTAAAGGAGGGTTTGGGGCTTATGTTTGATAGCCACTTAACTTTCTCACTGTATATTAAATACTTTAAAAGCCAAATGTCTGAAGGCACGCGATTTGTTGAAAGTCGTGTCACATTCAAAGTGGGGAGGGGATCAGACAACCCTCTTGCACTTGTACAGGTCATAAACTTGATTACGGCTCCATCGTCATGCAGTTGCTAGTACCACTGTCATTGGATCCAGAACTATAACCTCATGTTTACCAGATAACAGCTCCATTTACACAGCATAAGCAAATGCCATTTTAACAGCTCAAAAACTACCAATAACCAGTCTAAATATAAACAGTACATAATATTTCAGATTCTCGTTCATGTTATTCTGGGACAAGCCGAAAAGCGACTCGTGCCCCTCTCATGATCATTTTTGCGACCGGGTTCCATCTTAGCGCAAACGGGCATACCTAAAACAATTGTGAACTCGTTGCGTAATGCTTTACATATATTTCCCCATATATTACATACATTTCAGATGCAATTTAAAACATACCGGGACTTGCGGAATTATACAGTATGATTGAACACATTTTACTGTGTCTTGGGTATATTTTTAGATGCAAAACATATGTAAATCAAAAATTATTACTGAGGGATTCATTGACGAAGAAAGAACTTGAAATCATACACGCATTCTGATGGGTTTGTCGTATTTTCGCACATAACATTCATCGATAGAGGGACGAGTCTTCTTGCAGGTTACGGAAAGGGGCGAGTAGAAGAAGAAGAAGAAGAAGTCTTTATTTGTACCAAGGCCACTGGCCCATATACAATACATACATTTGGAATAGTGTGGTACATGAAAAAAGGTAATGTCAGGTACAAATTTACAGGTTTACAGGCTTTTCATAATTACGTCTTCTTTCATAGCTGTAATACAGGTATTTACATAGTTTTCCAAGTAATTGTTTACACGAAGATGACAGTAGCGTTTTAAATTTATGCATATTTGGATTATGGCAAAATGTTGTTGGTAAATACAGATGTCTAATATCGTTGTAATATTCACATTCTAAAGTAACATGATATTCATTCTCTATACTTGTTTCACATATGGGGCAGAGTCGTAAACGTAAGTCAATATCAGCCCATCTACCTTCGTTTACCTTAAGTCTTAGTAGCCCGGCTCTAAGCCTTATCAAAACATTTCGATATTTTATTTCAGTAATAATGGAAAGGTATTTTTCTGGTTCCAGGAGACTTTTAAATTCTTTATACAGAATGTACCTAGAACTAGCCTTGATAGTACTATTCCATGATTGGTAGAACATATTTATCAAAACGTTTTTAAAACTATTCATGAATGATGGTTTGTCGCCAACAGCTTGACTGAGCCAAACTACTCCGAATCCGTGAGAAAATAATATGGAACGAATAGAAGAAGCATAGTTATGACGACCACACTTGTCGTTATATACAAGCATATTATAAGATTTTCTTGGTATCCTATCTTCGTCCATTTCAATCAGTTTTAGCCAATACTTTACAGAACGACACATAGCATTTACATGTAGTGGGTACCGACCGCATTCCCCATACACAACAGCATTTGGGGTTTGCAATCCAACGTTAAGAAACTTCTTACAAGCTATAATATGCACTTGTTCTATTTTTTCAAATCTGTCTACGCCCCATATTTCCGCACCATATAAAAGAATAGGTTGAATCTGAGTATCAAATATTTTAAAGAAAACTGAAGTGTCAACAAAACCAATCTTCCGTAGATTGCGAAATATTTCCATTAAAGCTCGTTTACCCCTTGATGCTAGATCTGAAACACATTGGTTCATCTTTGATGTATATGAGAATACAAACCCAAGATATCTATAGGAGTTGGCGGTTGAAATACGTTTGCCTTCATAGAACCATTTCTCATGAACAGATAACCACCCTCCTCGTCTAAATACAACAGGCAAGTGCCGATCTGGGAACGAGTTTTATTCTGTGATGAGAACAAGTTTTGCCTGTTTAGAGCTCATGGTCAGCAACGTGTTTACAGGCGTCCATGTGAAGTCCAAGTGTATGGAGGAGGTGGTGTCATGGTCTGTGGAGACCCGTGAAGATTCCGGGGTCTTCAGCAACCCATGCTTGCCGTAAAAGGTGACTATGCTTGTCGTAAAAGGCGGGTGGTCAGGCTCGCTGACTTGGTTGATGCATGTCATCGATCCCAATTGCATGGATCGATGTTCACGATGTAAATCACTGGATTGTCTGGTCCAGACTCGATTATTTACAGACCGCCGTCATATAGCTGTAATATTACTGAGTGCGGCGTTAAACAACAAACCAACCAACCAACCAACCATGGTCTGTGGAGGAATCTGTAGGGACTTATAAACAAGGTTGGTTATCAATCGAGGCAACCTTTATGCACGCAGGTATTGAGATAAGTTCTGCAACCCGTCTTCTGTCATGTCTCCACCGACAGCCACATGGTATACTCTTCCAGCGTGACAACCCTTGACCCAGTACCGCAAGGCTGACACAGGACTACAACAACATGAAGTCCTGTTTTGTCACGGCCCTCATGTTCTCCTGACATCAACGCCATCGAACATTTGTGGCATCACCTATAAGGCAACTCAGAAGGCGATCGGAACCACAGTCAACTGTCAGGACATTGAGCAATCTCTTTTTTTCGAATGGCAACATATTCCAGCTAATGTCATCCGGCTCTTGACGTCATCGGTGCGGCAACATATTGTGGCGTGCATTGATGCACATTTGGTTATATTTTTTTAATTTGACGTTTACACGATATACGGCTTTTCCATTGGACGAGAGGTCGGCCACATGACCGCGAAATTGACGTTCATTAGTGTATGAACGACACAATTTGACGTTCATACGTTTTTCACAAGACCGTGTTCTTGAAATGACGTAAACGCTGACGGACTACTTCCACATTCCCTGGGAAACCCCTGGGAATTTCCTAGCACGAAAACATACATAAACATTATTTCTGATCATTTAGAACCTTTAATCTTGGTCTCAGCATTTCAGTATACATTAAGAAACGTAAGAGAGCTTGACTGCATGATTGACTGCAAGCTCCGACGTTCATACAGTTTGGCCCTCACTCTATGAAGGTTCATGCTCCAATGAACTCACACAAAGTGAAGGTCAATTCTTAAATGTTCATCTCATTAATGTATATATTTTGAACAGGCAACATGTCCTGGCCTTTCTTCAGTAGTTTCTTCAATTATTTGTATTGTTTCTTTTGGACGTCAGTTTACGTTATTTCCTTGTAGGTCCTCGTCCAGTAGAGTGCCATGGATTACGGAAGGCTTATTCAGTTGTCAATAATCGGCGTCTTAGTGTTGGTTCTCTTAATTGGAGGATTTGTAATGTTAATTGTTGTCTGCGTGAGGGCCTGCCTTGAGAAAATTGTCAGGGTGGAGCCACACCCAGGGAATCCGAATCCGGATATCGTCACACCAGGTATGTGTATTAATCATACCAATACCGTCTGTAGCCAATCACTACAGGTATGTAGAATGCTGCCATTATATGTGCATTTGAAGGTCGATCACATATATGTATTATTCTACACAACATATGTACATGAAGTTTGATTTAGGTAACATTAAATACCACCCAGCACTGAATAGACACTAACACCAGGCAATTATGAAACTCGTTTGTAATTTTGTAATTCTACGAGTATAATGTGTGTCAGTAAAAAAACCCATTTCAAATACGAATTTGAGGTGGTAGGATAGTCTAGTTAGGTTAGGTCCAGTTATGTGATATATTCCTGTTTAGTGGACAAGCTGGATGTTATGATAATAATGTCTTGTCGGGTCCCAAAAAGCATCGTTTGTCTTGAAGCTCTGACTGAAAATATATTCTTTCTCAAACATAAATCCCCAGTCTATTACATAGATGTTCCCTTAAAACATAACCCGGGACTTTCTTCCCAACAGAAACGTATGCAGCACGTTCTATAACGAGGTATAACAGTCACTGTAAACATATAGATTGTCCACATCTATGAAAGCATTTATAGATGACATTTGTTGTTTAAATGACACAAGTCCCACAAGAGTATAAAATGACATATCTAAAACTTCATCTCCGCCTTTATCACTGTTCAATACATACTGGGTAACTCTCATCTATGTTTTTATTTTCTGTCAAAGACAGGCTGACGTACCCATGGCCCACCGTGCCAACATCAATCTCGACATCACCAGCAGGGACACAGGCACCGTCCTCATCGCCTGGTACAGACATGACCAGTCACTAGACCATCCATACTGCTTCAGAGCTGGGACAAAATTTGTTATATAAAACTTGATTCCAAGAAGATGGAAGTTTGACATACACACTAACAGTAATGCCATTCTCGTGAGGTCATTTTTATACAAAAACTATTTACACGAACCTGAAATTGTTGTTAGGTTCATGGATAGAAAAAAATAGATCAAAATTTGTCGCTTCATAAATAACCGGATACTCGATCTAGCAGCTCATGGTATTTAACAACAGTTTCTGCATCATTCACAGACCCTTGTGTATTTGATGTATTCCTCACTACATCCAACATTTCCGTGTGTATCTCCTGGAATGCTGTTGTCTCCTTGTTCCCCTGGCTGCAGCGAAAACCACAATGTTTCACATAACAACAAAGTTATAACTTGAACTTATATTTAATAAGCATTATATTGTCAATCCAAAGATGAAATATATTATATAAGTCCATAACATTATTAGGGAAACATGTTAGTGCACATTTAATATCCACATGAATAATGTCAGAAAAGTATACATGTACATCAGCCTACAGATTAGTAACCTATAAAGCAAGTTCTATAATTAAGAAATAATCTAACATATTTTTACCACATTACACTCCAAGTTGTCCCGTAAATAATGGAACCTGGGCGAGGCAAACCAGTGACTGGCAGTGGAAAATGTCCAATGAACTCGAGGAACCAAGACTCACTATCAACCAAGCCATTTTGTCACCCAGATTAGGGCCACACCATGGAGAGTTTCTGGACAAATGGGTTTCCAGAATTAAGTGGACGTGTTGAATTATATTGAACTTGATTTAGAGCTCTGTTCAGTACATGTTGGACCAAATAAAGTTCATATACTTGATTCACTCTTTTTGACAATGACATTTCATGAAATAGTTTCTGGCATAACATTTCTGCAACGTGTTCAAAACATTGTAATAACATGTTATGAAATAGTTTCGGCTATGTTATAGCATGATGTTCTTGAATAACATTTTGAAAACATTTCAATAACATTTTGAATAGTTGTAAAACATTTCTAAAACGTTAATAAAATGTTTTGACGAAAATGTTTTTAAACAACTACAATGAAACCTAAACTAAAAATGTTGTGAAAATGTTATGTGTTAGGTGGGTTCCATCTGAACATACTGGGGTAGTAACAATTTCCGTCTGAACACACTGTGGTGCTACAAATGTCATTCTCAACATTTTGGGAAAGTAATTTCATACTTTCTGTCTGAACATCCCGGACAAGTAATTAAATACTTCCCCCTGAACATATTGGGGGAGAAGTTTTACACGTTGCGTATGAACATATTGGGCAGTAATATGTTCTATCCGAACATATTTGGGGAGTAATACGTTTCATCTTAACATATTCTTAAAGTAATTCTTTCTATCTTAACATACTGGGGGAGTCATACTTGCCGTGTGAACGTAATTGGGTGTAATACTTTCCATCTTAACATGTTACTAAAGTAAAACTTTCCGTCAGAACATACTGGGTTGGTAATACTTTCCGTCAGAACACGCTGGGGGAGGAATACTAACATTTCAAAGCATAATCCGCTTGGAGTCCCTCATCGGTACACAGTAACACCGTCCTTTTTTTGTCCAGACGCAATTCTCAATGCCTCTCGTTCCCGATTCCAAATTGCAAACATTTGCGTCAAGATGTCTCACGGTTTTGTGCCAAACATTACGATGCAATGGAGAAGAAATAAACCTTGCAGCCATGGACCATGTTTATTTGGTTGTCAAGTAGAACATGTTATAACATAAGGACTGGTTCACGTTTGGATAAGCTATTTGTGGTGGCTCATTTACCGACCTACAATGAATAGAGCACAGCGCGATCGTGAAGGTGGGGATGAAGGTGGGACACGAGTGACTCAATTCAACTAAGTTGTACCAGATTTCTATGATTGTTAGTTCGAATCCCAGACACCCATGATTATATTTCCTGGTTTGTCTTCCTGGTGGACATCGACGACCTCAATCATTTCGGGCTTTCCTGCCGCACCCAACTAAAACCCTGTCATATCGTAGTGTCCACTCAGGCACTCACTGTAGAATCAATTATTCCTGTGCATTTGTAGTCGACTGTAGTCGACTCCTTCCTTAACGATCCAACATTTGAGTTTATACGTTAATGTCATGTAAATTTAAGTTCAGTATTTTGTAGAACGTGTTTTGTGCCCGTGTCATCTTGTAAACTGCAACCATATATGCATACACGTTTATGAAGGATCATTATCTTGACCACTGTTATGTATGTGTGTATAATTCAACATATACAGTCATTTGATTTAGATTGACTTACCTTTCTAACATACACTCAAAGGCTCAGTTACATCGTACCTCTTGTAATATCATAAAAAGGCTATATAACTAATCATAACTTACTTGATTCACTTATATTCGTGACAAGTGTACCTTCCTGCGCCGCGTCTTTAACGATCAAGTATTGATATACCGTCTGGTTTTTGTTTGACGCTCCACTCGGCAATATTGACACACACCAAGACAAGAGTTTGTTCACTGCTCAAAAGGCCAAGAGTACAATGTAACGTTCAAACACGTTTTATTAACGTATGTTATCTTATGTGATCGCATGTGATTTCAAAGTGCGGCATTCGACTCCTGCTCAAAGTTAATTGATCAAGGTTATAACATTCAAGGCCATTTTAAAGGCAAACATGTGGAGAATAGTTCCAAATTGTATCATCACTATTTGATAGTGATTCATAAACACAATGTCATGTTTATGACATAGTCGGAATCGTACCTGAACTTTTATGAGTGTGGAAATGATTTGTGTCGCTTTTATGTAAATGTAACAGTGATAAAAGTTCTATATTTTATTCAACTTTTGTGAAATTCGCCTTCAATTCATAAGTTGTCAGTTAACCATTTAAGACCTGTTGGTACATACTAGCGATAAGAAATTGTACAACAACATCTGGCACTTCAGATTTACGCCGCCACAATCAGGTCGGTGGGCTGAGACTTTAATTACATGTTGAATAACAACTGGTAGTGATCAGCGCGGTCGGCACTTACCAGTGTACCGTTATCACCTATTTAGCGGCAACTGACAAAACTAGAAAATTGAAAACGCGAAACCAAACACGAGCTGAGTGATTCTATCGGCATTTATAATCTTCTATTACTCAACCTTCCAAACTGACCGTCTGCTTTGGCTATTAACAGACCAAACCCATCATACAAAATTGTATAACACGTCCAGTCTTTATTAGTCCGAAGTCTCAAACTGGACATGCACGTGTAGACTTGCCTTCAGATTAACAAAGGAGGTCTCAGGTATAAATATAGGGGGAAATCGACTGTTAGTCATTCCTGCTTTGCCTGAGAACCTCTCTCTGTTTGTCTTTGAAGGTAAGTCTCTTTTACTTGTTACTTTGCCATTTAGGTTGAACTTTGCTTAAAATTGTCTTCTAAAATTGTCTTTAATTTTGTATGAATATCTTGCTTGAACAATGAACTTATACTCTATGTATTCGAAATGACGTTCGAATCTAAGCTGCATATTATTCAAGTTTTACTGACACAAATTAACTACAGTAATTTATATGCGTGCGTCTCATGTAGATATATTACTATTCCACATCGTATCCCACATGTTTATCTATCGGGTTAAAACTACTAGGCAAATGATTATTAATCACAGGTGTCGTGGATGCTTCATAATTATCATGTTTCAATGTGAATAGCATGCATTTCAATAATGTATGAATTATTTGTCCGTGAATCGGTAGGACCAGTATTCATATGTGTGTCGTGTTATTTACCTTATTCAGAGACCATATAATAGATTTTATATGGTCTCTGCCTTATTGTATGCTGTATCGTTAGTAGAGTGATTTTATAATGCAACAACGTTAAATGCGTCAATATGCATTAACATGATCCAGTTACTCGATATAATTTACGTTATGTATATTTGTTTGCGTTCTTATGCCTGATAAATACGGTTCTAGAATATAACTTATATCCGATGTTCATGCATCAAATATATTTTTTATATACAAAACCAGATCAGTGCAAGTACAGCAAAGTATATTATTCTTATCTGTAGCCCAAAATATATTTCTTATTAGGTAACTACTTTGTGAGGGCATAGCACTAGACCACAATACTCCAACGTAACTTTTGTTCTAGATAAATGCACGCAATTTAATCAATGCCTGATAAATTTATGTTTTCCAATTTATGCATATTATTTCCATTCGGTAAGATGAATCGACGTTGTATAGAATATCTCAGATACTATACTTTTAGCACAATTTGGACGCTACAGATAATGTTGTAGCTTTATGTTTTGAATAGTTATAATGAAACAGACTTTCCTACAGCAGTGTTTATATCTATTTCTAAATTACAGTTCACAAGCAATTTCTATGTTTGGCGAAATCTCCAATAAGGTTCATAAACATTCACAATAGAATATACGTTCACTAATAATCAGTTTTAATTCATATATATTTCAAGTTTCAAATACGGTATTCATTCATGTGTGATTTGTATAAGCTCGGCCCGCATAGCGCGGCATGCACAGGCGGCACCGCTCATTGTTACATAACGGCACACTCACCAGCGCTCGGCAGTGACGTCACGTACCGTATTTAATCATTTTGCGCAAAGCTGTTATCTGAATTTAGTATAGTGTATTCAGTCATTGAATGCGGATCCTAGTATTATTTACTGTATTAAATCTTGTATTCACTATTTAACTCTGAAGTGTACATCTGAACCAGCTATAGTTCATGACGTCACATGTACCGTATTTAACGCAGAACAAGTTATTAGACATGTCATTGTTCAAGAAAGGTGTTGTTATAATCTTTCATATGAATGCTTTTTGTAAACTTTGTTCAGATGTTATTTATGAGTACCTTAAATATATATCAAACATTATGAGTATGAGTATGAGTGAATTGATCATAATGTCTGCATTATATCAAATGTGCACTGCTATGATATAAATGAATATCCAATGAGTTGAGCTTACACTTTACACTTTGTTATTATTTCACAAATGGTATTTTAATTATAAATGTGTTACGTAATCTTATGCAATGTTATATTAGGCTGTAACTTCAATAGGTACTGAATTTAATGCATTGTTCTCAAAGTGAAATCTCATAACAAGCAATTGTTTATTAACTCGTGCCTATTATATAACAACGAATATCTTAACAGTTTTTGTATCACTGGTTAATTATTTGTCTGATTATGTCTTTGTGATTGATGATGAAGGAGATTGTCTGATTATGTCTATATGCTGATGATGATGAAAACATTTAATAAAATTCCTGCTTTGCCTGAGAACTTCTCTCTGTTTGTCTTTGAAGGTGTGTTGATCCCGTGGCTAATTCCCCGAAAGTCATTCTAGGTTTTGATCAGTTTTAGTGTAAAAGCTAACTCTGTTTCATAAACTTCAAGTATGTTTAAACAAGACACCAAAGTGCACATACAAATATTACTTTCTATTCACCTCGGGCAGGCATCCTTTCACTGCAGATATGTGATCGCCTCAACAACACGTACACAGTGCTCTGAGTGTGAACATGTGTAGCTGTTTATGATGGTACCCGCGAACACCTTGCGTCATCATTGTATGGTAGTGATTCATAAACACAAGCATATGATACGTGGTCGAAGTCGTACAGTCGACTCTGATTTGTCGTATTTATTTATTATAATATTCACTACGTGTTTAAGGAACACAACAACTGATCTTATGACATCTATTTCTTGGGAATATATCAAATGAACAATTGCGAGTGGATTACTGACAGTAAAGGTCTGATTGTAATGGTCTGTAAATAATCGAGTCTGGACCAGACCATCGAGTAGCAGACTTTTGCATTACCCAGATTTATTCCTGGCAGCAAACCCGGGTACTCACCCAAGGTCAGTCAACAGATGAGGTACCAAATTGGGAGTCCGACAACTTGGGATGCAAGCGTGACATTTCGTCCGCATAACTGCCATGTGTTTTCTGAATCTTGTTAATCACATTAGTGTCAAAAGGGACAGAAAGTTCAATAATATAAATGATTGCTTGGGATTAATAAAAAGGACAAGAACAGGTTTGTTGGCCTGGATAGGTCTTAGACTGTATACGTGCCTATTCCAAAGAATTTTGTATTCATCATTCTTTCCATGACGCTGTCCGCATATTCTGGGTCGTACCATGGATGGACCTCTGTGTCAAAACCACAAGCATGGCGAAGACTGGAATAACATGATTGAGCCAGTCCATCATGTCGCTTAAAATACTGTGTTTGTGCCAAAGCTGAGCATCCACTGACAATGTGTTGGGCAGCCTCATTAAATTAATTGCATAATCTACACTTCATATTTACATTTTAATGCGAGATTACACATTGACACAACTTAACAATTATAACATTTCATGACGTATGTATGCAGAAGTAACGGTGTGATGTTTAAGGTGACGTTCACATTTGTATCGATCCGAAGCTGAAAACGACCAGAACTGGGATAAACACCATAGAGAAGTATACGTGTCGCATGCAACTGTGTATATATATAATGAGAACAAAATCACCTGCACTTCTTGTGTTTTTTTCATTTTAACCCCGTTTTGCAAAGTGCGCAAATGGCACTGCTTGTGACTCAATGTCAACCATAATAGCTAAATATAGTAGAGTATAGCATAAAAAGTGGTAACGCGGAACTAAAACGGAATATAATTTCTTCTTTTTATTCAGATCACTAATGAATAAGTGCAAATTCGTATAAAAATTGTCGTATTGCACACCCGATACATACTACATCTGTAGACCACAGAGCGCACACTTTATAATCCTACCCCTGCAGACTACAGAGGGCACACTTTATACATCCTACCCCTGCAGACTACAGAGGGCACACTTTATACATCCTACCCCTGCAGACTACAGAGGGCACACTTTATACATCCTACCCCTGCAGACTACTGAGGGTACACTTTATACATCCTCCCCCTGCAGACTACAGAGGGCACACTTTATACATCCTACCCCTGCAGACTACAGAGGGCACACTTAATACATCCTACCCCTGCAGACTACAGAGGGCACACTTTATACATCCTACCCCTGCAGACTACTGAGAGTACACTTCATACATCCTCCCCCTGCAGACTACAGAGGGCACACTTTATACATCCTACCCTTGCAGACTACAGAGGGCACACTTTTGAATCCTACCCCTGCAGACTACAGAGGGCACACTTTATACATCCTACCCCTGCAGACTACAGAGGGTACACTTTATACATCCTCCCCCTGCAGACTACAGAGGGCACACTTTATACATCCTACCCCTGCAGACTACAGAGGGCACACTTAATACATCCTACCCCTGCAGACTACAGAGGGCACACTTTATACATCCTACCCCTGCAGACTACTGAGAGTACACTTCATACATCCTCCCCCTGCAGACTACAGAGGGCACACTTTATACATCCTACCCTTGCAGACTACAGAGGGCACACTTTATACATCCTACCCCGGCAGGCTACAGAGGGCACACTTTATACATCCTACCCCTGCAGACTACAGAGGGTACACTTTATACATCCTCCCCCTGCAGACTACAGAGGGCACACTTTATACATCCTACCCCTGCAGACTACAGAGGGCACACTTTATACATCCTACCCCTGCAGACTACAGAGGGCACACTCTATACATCCTACCCCTGCAGACTACTGAGTGTACACTTTAAACATTCTACCCCTGCAGACTACAGAGGGCACACTTTATACATCCTACCCCTGCAGACTACTGAGAGTACACTTCATACATCCTCCCCCTGCAGACTACAGAGGGCACACTTTATACATCCTACCCTTGCAGACTACAGAGGGCACACTTTATACATCCTACCCCGGCAGGCTACAGAGGGCACACTTTATACATCCTACCCCTGCAGACTACAGAGGGTACACTTTATACATCCTCCCCCTGCAGACTACAGAGGGCACACTTTATACATCCTACCCCTGCAGACTACAGAGGGCACACTTTATACATCCTACCCCTGCAGACTACAGAGGGCACACTTTATACATCCTACCCCTGCAGACTACTGAGTGTACACTTTAAACATTCTACCCCTGCAGACTACAGAGGGCACACTCTATACATCCTGCCCTTGCAGACTACAGAGGGCACACTTTATACATCCTACCCCTGCAGACTAAAGAGTCTTCCCATACCTGCTGTTTACAAAGGGCACACTCTACACATCCTACACCTGCAGTCTAAAGAGGACACACCCAACTGATTCTACATCTGCAAACTTCAGTGGGCAAACTTTATTCACCCTTCACCTGCAGACTACAAAGCAAATCAGAGGCCACTCATCATAGCAGGGGGGGTCACTAGAGACCAATGAGCATAGCAGGGGTTTTAATGGCGACCAATGAGCATAGCACAGGTCTCATTGGAGACACTGAAAATAGCAGAGGCCTCACTGGAGACATTGAGAACAGAAGATACCTAGGTACATGTATAGGATAGTAATATATCATGTAAGGAGAGATCAGGTTGCTACAGGTATAGGATATTAATAATTCTTATATACTGATTGCTTTCACGAAGGACAGCACGTTGTATTTTTTAACATTGTGTTTTAAATATCCCGTTTAGACAGGTATTGTTGCCTTACATTTAGGGCTTTATGGACAAATAATTGTAACTTTTCAATAATTGACTTCTTTAGTGAAGACAATAGATTTACCAACGACTGTAAAGAACATTGTGCGATATACTTTGCGTAATACGAGGTACGGCAGGCATGGGTTGCTGAAGACCTATTCTACAAGTGTACCTCTTTAATTATTGTCTCGACATTTCAAGTTTTTTCTCGTTACTTCGATTTTTTTCTCGATAATTCCTCGTTGCTTCGGAGTTTGTTTCTCGTTACTTCGATTATTTTCTCGTAATTCCCAATAACTTCTCGTTATTTCAAGTTTATTTTAAACTCGAAATTTGAATTTATAACAAGAAAATTAAAATAATCGTAGTAAGGAGAAAAAAATCGTAATTTTGAGAAAATAGTTTAAATATCAAGAATTGTTTCCGAAATTTCGAGTTTTTTTAAACGATCGAATTCACGGGAAAAAAATCGAAATTTCGAGAAAGTAATCGGAGTAAGGAGACAAAACTCGAATTTAGACTTTTTGAAATAACCAGAAAAAACCCCACGAATTCAGCAAGAAAATACCCGTATCTACGCGTGTATGTGTGTGCGTGTGCGTGTGCGTGTGCGTGTGCGTGTGCGTGTGCATGTACATGTGCATGTGCATGTGCATGCGTGCGTGCGTATGTGTGTTTGTGCGTGTGTGTGTTGTATTGACAACTTGATGGGATTTATCGGTCAGCATATGAAGGTTTCTTGCTGTTTGGAACACGAAATGTTGCTGATTTCTATCAACCCAAACACGACAGAACATGGAAAGGTATAACATTATGAAGCCTGTATCAGCAGCTTTTATTTGATATGTAACATTGTTGACATTGAATAATTTAAAAAATTTGAAAATTTATATATTTTCTGTGAAAATGCTAGTTAATCGCCATAGATGTTTTTGGATTTTTTATATGATGTTGATGAGGATTTGTTTAACATGAATCAATCAGTTGCAATTTATGGTAGGTACATGTATATCGTTATATTGACTGGACTAACAAGTAAACGGATTCGGTGGGACATTTGTACGGATGTCTATGGAGCTTTGGAATCCAGAACAAAAGAGGAACGGACATGTTTTAGAGTCAAGTCAAAAGGTGATAGTCCTGATGCATGGTTTGGCAGATGTCGTCCTCGGTAAACCTACTGTTCATGTGTCATTATTTGATAAGTTCTGTGTTCAAACAATTGACGCTTTAATATCACATTATCGTTCATAGCAAATAGGTACATCACTACCTTCAAACAGTACATTGACACAGTTGCACATATACATGTACATGCACATATTTCACCGGTGGCACACCTAGTTGGCCCTGCAATTAGCACCTGTGCATGAAGACAGACATCTCACTGTCGTTGACGATGATGTCTGTAGTCCGAGGACCCGCCGCCGCAGCTGCTGCACCAATACCACGAGAGCCAACCACAATAAGATCGGCACCTCGTGTATTGGCAACTTCCAGGATAGCGTTTCCAGGAGCTTTGTCAGTCTCGTCGAGGAAAACCTCACCAGGTACCTGTTACAACACCAGGAAAGGACATCACAGATAACATCACAGAAAGACGATGTCCGTTTGACGTTGTTAAAGGACAAGGTGAAAGAGTCATGTCTCAATTTTAATGACTGTAGTTGTGGTTATAGTGAAGATGTTAGTGGAAGGACATAGAAGTTTTTAGTGTATAGAGGTACGGTCAGTTCATGAAATGACAGCTGAACTAACTAAAATACTGTTGAACCCAACTTACTTTTATCACATTCTCTACCTGGGTTGTCACTGTCGCAACGGCAAGGAGTTACCTTCTGGTAGTCTTTAATGAAACAGCTGCTTACCTTCAGAGTTTCAGAAACTGACTCTAACATTAAGACCATTTTTGTGTGCTGTTTCTTTATCATTTTTATCAATTTAATTTGTCAAATCACAAGTGCTTGTATTTGTCAAATACATTTCTTATTCTATTCTCTTCACCTGGTCATATACAAATAAGCATACACGAACAGTTGCCATACACCTCGCACAATCCACCATTGCAGCTACATATAAATAATCAAAAGTGCTATACCTTAAGCTCATCTTTGATGAATTCCTCAAGAAGATCGCCATCATCCCTATATAGTTTAGCCATTTCCTTTCCAATATCCTCTGCCTGTGTTATAGCTGGATCTTTAAGACGGAATAGACGGATGATTAAATATAACAGTGGATGGACACTATATCGTCAACAATAATGTCAGTATTATATTATGAGTTGATAGTATTACAGTGTTAACATATAAGTTAAGGGCAAATAAAAATGACAAAACCATGTCCACATGTTCACTTAATAGCTTTGCTTAAAGCAGAGTCCAGTGTATGGTCTCGGCTACATAATGAGCATGTGTCTGTGAATCACTATCAAATAGTGACGATACCAGGAGGTGTTCACGGAAAGGTGAGCGTAACCTCTCCCACCGGTGGCACCCATGCAAAGATGCAAAGTCAATTGTTTATCTGAAAACAAAACCCACGGGAACGTATGGTACAATCTATTATAAGCAATTGCATCGGACATCATTTTGGTCACTGGTGCGTTTTTTGGAAAAGTCAACTTTAAAATGTTTTGAAAGCTTTACTGAGGCCTTGCATTTTGTAACCTTGATCAAACAACTAATGGACAGGAGTTGTATAATGCTCCTTGAAATAGTCGTGGAAAGAGCATGCACGTTTTGTACCTCAAAATTATATTGACATGTAGACACCAAAGGCTGCAGCTGTTGGAATATTGCTCGGTTTATTTAAGTATCAAAATGCTTCAAAACATACACATCAGTCAATAGAACTGTCCTTGTGTTTATCCACCTGTGACAGTTTTAATATGGAACAAGCAGGTGGATATACCTACGGGAGCTAGCAGAGTCTTTTGTTCTGGACACAGGAATGTAGACCACGAGGAGGTAGTCGCCGTCACGGTACATGTGCTCCTTGAAATCTGCAATAACACAGATATAATCATCATCACGATAATGTGCTCCTTGTCATCTGCAATAACACAGATATAATCATCATCACGATAATGTGCTCCTTGTCATCTGCAATAACACAGACATAATCATCATCACGATAATGTGCTCCTTGTCATCTGCAATGGCACAGATATAATCATCATCAAGATAATGTGCTCCTTGTCATCTGCAATAACACAGATATAATCATCATCACGATAATGTGCTCCTTGTCATCTGCAATGGCACAGATATAATCATCATCACGATAATGTGTTCCTTGTCATCTGCAATAACACAGACATAATCATCATTACTGTACACCTGTTCCTTGTCATCTGCAATAACACAGATATAATCATCATCACGATAATGTGCTCCTTGTCATCTGCAATAACACAGATATAGTCATCATCACGATAATGTGCTCCTTGTCATCTGCAATAACACAGACATAATCATCATCACTGTACACGTGTTCCTTGTCATCTGCAATAACACAGACATAATCATCATCACGATAATGTGCTCCTTGTCATCTGCAATACCACAGATATATTCATCATCATGATAATGTGCTCCTTGTCATCTGCAATGGCACAGATAGAATCATCATCACGATAATGTGTTCCTTGTCATCTGCAATAACACAGACATAATCATCATCACTGTACACGTGTTCCTTGTCATCTGCAATAACACAGACATAATCATCATCACGATAATGTACATGTGCTCCTTGTCATCTGCAATAACACAGACATAATCATCATCACTGTACACGTGTTCCTTGCCATCTGCAATAATTGAGATAAAGTGATCATTGCAATATATGTGTTCTTTGTCATCCACAATTATTGAGATAAAGTGATCATCGCGATACATGTGTTCCTTGTCATCTGCAATTATTGAGATAAAGTGATCATCACGGTACGCGTGTTTTTTGTCAGCTGCAATCAATGAGATAAAATTAGCATCACGATACATGTGCTTCCTTTGTTGTAATCTGCAATCCTCATCACGGCACATGTGTTGCTTGTAATATGCAATCTTAAGAGTTAAAATCATCGTCGCGGTATATGTGCTACTTGTTATCTGAAATCAGTGAGATAAAACTATCATCATGGAACACATGTTGCCTGTAATATAAAGTTTAAAGAGATAAATTCGCTATGATGAACTCCATGTAATCTGAAATTACAAGAGATGTTTCCTCATAGAGGTACATGTAGTGCTTGTAATCTGCAAACGTAAGAAAACAAGTTTCCGTCACGTACATGAGTTATTTTTCATCGTAAGAGATAATTCCGTTGTTGACCATTTACATACCATTTCGTGTTTATCATTCAGAGATACAACATATTTTAAAGTAACCAACATTTACACAGTCATAAGGAAAAGTCATCATCACAGTGCATCGCCTGGGCGATTGCAGGTTGTGTTTTAAGGACTTACATTTAAGCGCCTCAGTGGCATGCAGCTCCCCATCGGATCCAGCCACAACAAGTCGCTTCACGTCCCGTCCTCTGATCTTTCTTGAAGCTGTTTGGGCCTTCTTATGTTTACACACCAACACTGGTACATTAACGTTACGAATGACATATCCTTTCGTGCTTCCTGTCGACTTCCGGAGGTTGCTGCCTAGGCGTCTGGCGCCCAGTACAATGAGGTCAACCCTTTCATTCTTAGTTGTGTCCACTATGACCTCCCCTGCAGGGACACCGACCACACCAATCTGAACACTACCATTCAGCTGAAATGAAAACCATTCTATAGAATACAACCCTGACTGTGGTTTCTTCATCATAGTCCTAAATGCAGGACGACTGGTGTGAAGAATGGGCCATCCCTTGATGAGAAAGGCATCATTACATTTCTTGATGCGCGCCAACATCTTCCCTTTATGTAAAACCAGCAAGAGTAGTTGCCGCCAGTACAAGTGCCAGTGGTCTTCGTTATATTATGCACCAACCATGCAGGAGTGGCAGATGGACAATACCTGGATCGGCTAAAGTATGATAGCAAACTCAAGGGGCACACACATTGTTCAACCAAGCCCTGGCCATTCTTGCTCCAATCAAGTAAACAGGACTCTGATGTTGCGAAGGAATTAAGTACAATTTGATTATAAAATAATCATATAAAAGAAAGTGTTTTGTGCGTTTTGTATTTCGTTTACTGTATCCCACACGCCATGGGTAATATCTTAATATTATTTGAAAAACACATGTTTTGATCTTATACAGAGCAATGTTCAGTTTGTGTGCCAAAAATGAAAAACGCAAAAGACTTCTGTGCTTACCTTGTTTTCTTTTATTTTTTTCTCTATAATTTTTGCGTCATTTTGAAACCGTGCAGCCTCTTCATGTGCCAGCTTCCCCAAATGTATGGCCAGGTCGCCTTTCCGCACCAATACTGCAATATGAATTCATAACCCACATAAGCCCTGGTTGTAAGGATAGGTAGATATACACGCCTAACAACACAGAAACGCATTATCATTAGTAACAGAAGTTTATTGCACATCTGACATATTGCAAATGTGAACACGTGTCTAATATGAAGACATTACGCGGAATATGACAATGTAAAGGTCATGCGAATACAATATACCATGTGTCCCCCATAAACGGTAAGTACGGCCTGACACTTCCTGACCTACCCACGGACGAAATGACAGTATGGGATATACGTTGGAGGATTTTAGCTCACCCTGCCTACATGAGCAAGCTGTTGCTTGTTTGTTTTGTTCAGGCTGATCTTAGCATGGTCAAACTGAAATATCATACAGCTGTAGGAATTCATCACAACAGTGTTGGGGGGTTTCCTTGCATGTGTAATAGGTTTGTTCTAACAGTGTCGGAGATCGCCGCCCACAGTATTACGCTGCCTGCACCAAATATGATTACCTCCAGTAAGCAGTTGGTGGCAAAACTTTCATGACGACGTTGGTTCTAACAACAGCTCAAAAGTTATACTCGTCGCTGAAAGAACCAGTTATCTATATCTGATTAGGTTTTACTCTTCGTGACTACATCACTGACACTCGAAGTTGGTAGTGGACGAGGGCGGTTCCACACTGTCTGCTTAGATATGCTTCCTGGAATTGCTGCTGTTGTAGATGATGCTGTTGTACACCTCTTCCGCAAATGATGTTGTGGTATGAAACGGTCTTTGACAGACACTGTAATACAGTCCTGACCTTGGTCGGGTAAATGACGTTCCGACCCGTGAAGATCCGGGTTGGAATAGGTCTTCAGCTACCCATGCTTCTCGAAAAAGGTGATTATGCTTGTCGTAAGAGGCGAGGAAAGAGGTCGGATGGTAAGGCTTGCTGACTTTGTTGATGCATTTCATCGTTTCCCAATTATGTAGATCGATGCTCATGATGTCAATCACTGGATTGTCTAGTCCAGACTCGATTATTTACACACCGCCGTCATATAGCTGGCATATTGCTGAGTGCGTCTTTAAACAACAAACAAAAATGACGTTCCATGTATGGTACCGATACCAGTCTAGAGGACATATTGAAAATCCTTGTTACAGCCGATAAGGATTACCCCGCTTCCAAACTATCCGACGTTGTGCTTCAGTTAATCTTGGCATGACTTCGCAGATGAACAATTGCTAACAGACAACGTATAGTCAACGGAGAGAATGGACTTGCATCAATCCTGTGGTTGTCACATGGTGTTTTCTGTATTGCCACGTTTGGGTGGCATTGTCCTCATTAATTGGCGTGAGAGAAGCGGTGAGGTAAAAATAAGATTGTGAGCGAGGATGAGGATCGAGGTAAGTAGAATAAACAGAATGAGGGTAAGGGTTAGAATGGGGGTGAGATGAGGTGAGATTAGGTTGAGGTGAGGATGATGGTTGGATTGATCTTTTAATCGGTTGCCCACATAGATGAATTTTAACTGTATAAGTCACATACCGTCCATCTCTCTTTTCTTCTCGTCGATCATTTTTGGACAGAACAGCATTATGACGACATCCCACGGCTTGTGAACGTGTTTACAGTAGTCTGTGTGAAAAAAAGTCATTATAATATTTATATTATTTACATAAATAAATAGAAAATACTACACTTCTGGCATAATATTTACGAAACGAGTGAGGCTTTTAGTTTTTAGATAATTCACAAAAAATTCTATTATTATGATATTGCATGTCTTACCCACGTGAAAGTGAGGATGAAGTTATGGGTGGGGTTGGGGGTTGGGTAATGGTGAGTTTGGGGTGAGGGTGAAAGTGACGGCGAGGGCGAGGGAGTGAGAGTGAGGGCGTGGGTGAGAGTTGGGGGAAAGGTGAGTGCGAGGGTGAGGGTTGGGGGTGAGAGTGAGGGTGAGAGCGAGAGCGAGAGTGAGAGTGAGGGCGGGGGCGAGGGCGAGGGCGAGGGCGAGGGTGAGAGTTAGAGATAATTGTGAATGCGAGGATGAGGGTGAGAGTGAAAGTGACATTCGTCACCACTCGCCTCTTTCCGTAAACTGCAAGAAAACTCGTCTCCCTATCGATGAATGTTATGTGCGAAAATACGTCAAACCAATCAGAATGCGCGTATGCTTTCAAGTTCTTCGTCAAAGAATCCCTCAGAAATATTTTTTGATTTTACATATGTCTTGCATCTAAAAATATAGTTATATTACCTAAGGCACAGTTAAATATGTTCAATCATGCTGTATAATTCCGAATGTCCAGATGTGCTTAAAATAGCATCTGAAATATATATAATATATGGGGAAATATATGTGAACCATAACGCGACGAGTTGACAATTGTTTTAGGTATGCCCGTTTGCGCCAAGACGGAACCCGGTCGCAAAAATGGCCATGAGAGGGGCACGAGTCGCTATTCGGCTTGTCCCGGAATAACACGAGTTGGTCACGAATGTGAGAGTGAGAGTGGGGGAATTAAAGGATGAGAGCGAGGTTGGGTTGGGTGAGAGTGAGAGTGGGGGTAAAGATGAGAACGAGGGTGGGTGAGAGTCAGGGTGAGAAAAAGAGTGTGTGTGTGTGGGTGAGGATGGGCGAGAGTGACGTGGACTGAGGGTGTGCATGGGGGTAAGGATTAGGGTGAGGAGGAGTTGGCGTTGATGTGAAGTGGGGATGAGGGTGACGGTGGGATGAGGATGATCGTAGGGTAAAGATTAGGGTGAGGGTGAGGTGGCGGTGATGTGAGGGTACATGATGGTAGGTGTTAGAATGAGGGAAGGGTGGGAGGCAAGGATGAGGTCTGAGGGTGAAGGTGGAGATGAGAGCGGGGATGACAATGAAGGTGAAAATGAGGGTGAGGGTGAGGATTTCTGGGTGAGTACAACTTTCCGTCTGAATATACTGGGGTAGTAATTATAATACTTCCATTTGAACGTACCCTGAGAGTATTACTTTCCTTCTTGACATACTGTGCGAGAGATACTTTCCTTCTGAACATACCGAGAGAGTGACGTACTGTCCCGGAGCTAAACTCCAGTGGTCGGGGTGTAATTTAACAAGAACAAAGTTATAATGAAAACGTGGTAATATGTTCACAGGTCTATTATTAACAGTTAATTGTACCAATGGATGACAATAAGAGGGATCAAATAAATCCATCCTGCACTGACAAAGATCACAGATTAATCAAATCAGCGCAAATACACAAGCGGTTTAGCTAAGCAACTGTATTAATATAATGAGAGTAGTTAGTAACACTCTAATGAGTAAATGATCTCGGCTGGTTTGAATAACAAGAAATAAACACAGAGGGCTCATCCCTAAAATAAGTCACTTGGACAATAAAATAGACGAGAACGTCTGAATAGCAAACTAGTCTAATAGACTAAAGATTCAGTAACTTTGACTGAGCAAGGAAAAACTAAAAATCCACAAAAATGGAAGGTTGGTTATCCACGGATTACTAGAAACCCTAGTTACTGAGGTTAGCTCAATTCAACCAGAGTCAGTACCAGATCAAAAGTGCCGGTATTCACTTACTAACGAAATCTGAGTTTCGCGTGACCACTTACTAGCAAGACAACCGTAAACGATCTAACGAAGCCTGGTGGTAGCGATGATGATGATGATGATGATGATGATGATGATGATGATGATGATGATGATGGAGATTTAACGAGCGCTTCCGGTCGTTTCGATTTCGCACTCGGGGCATACCTAGGAATAAAAAGTAGCTGACGGAATTGATGTGAAAGTATGATTTGGGGTTGCTTTTGTTTGTTTTTGTGGGTAGGGCATTTAGATTCAAGCGTTTAATTTGGTTTTGATTAGATAATTGTCAAGGAGGTAATAGTTGGAGAAATTATTGAGGAGTTGCTGCATTGTGGTAAAACGTGTGCCTATTTCACTTAGGAGATGTTTGGGTGTATGTTGTAGTGTTTACATTGTAAAACGAGGTGGTTAATGTCCTCCACAATAGGACAGTGGAGGCAGTGGCCTGTACGATGCTTTTTAATTTGGGGCCTATGGCTGTTTAGGTTTGTGTGACCAGTGTGCAGTCTAGTTATAGCCCTGGCCGTTGGTTTGATTTAGTGGAATGTTGAGACTTTGTGTTAAGGTATTTTTACTATAACACGTCCCATTTTAATTCTGGAAACCCAAAAGTCCAGAAACTCTACGCTCTTTGCCCAGTCTCGGTTAAAGGTATTTACAAAATTAAACATGCCGTTTTCATCGGAACATACCAAGGAAGAAAAAATGAAAAAAAAATTGTTTAAAAACTCAATATATTTAGACTATGTCGCCCATGGGCGAAGTCTGGCCCATGGGCGAGAATATGTTCCTTTACTTAAAACTCATGTTTTTGTTTTGCAAATACATTTAATGTATTCATTCAAGTATCATGACACAATATTTAATTCATTTTAACTTAATTCAACGATTTTATAGCGATATTGAAATATTTCGCCCATGGGCGAGAAAAAGGTTTGGCCCATGGGCGAGAATATGTTCCTTTACTTAAAACTCATGATTTTGTTTCGCAAATACATTAAATGTATTTATTGAAGTATCATGACACAAAATTTAAACTCATTTTAACTTAATTCAACGATTTTATAGCGATATTGAAATATTTCGCCCAATGGCGAGAAAAAGGTTTGGCCCATGGGTAGGTCCATGGGCAGGCCCATGGGCGAGAATATGTTCCTTTACTTAAAACTCATGTTTTTGTTTCGCGAATACATTAAATGTATTTATTTAAGTATCATGACACAAAATTAAACTCATTTTAACTTAATTCAACGATTTTATAGCGATATTGAAATATTTCGCCCATGGGCGAGAAAAAGGTTTGGCCCATGGGCGAGAATATTTTCCTTTACTTAAAACTTATGTTTTTGTTTCGCAAATACATGCAGGTGTTCTTACTATTTTCAAGGCACATAATGTAACTCAATTTTACTCAATTCAGCTATTTTACAGATTTATTGAAATATTTCGCCCATGGGCGAGAAAAGGTTTTGCCTTCGAAATCCTTGATTATTATATCATGCCAGAGTTCTGAAATTCAGTGACAATGCTGTTGAACAGTAGAATCTGATTGACGTATTGTGCAGAACCTGTTTGACACTATGGGTTCCAGGACCACTTACACTCTGAGCTGAAAAATGTTGGTCCTAACCGCACCCAACATCTTTAATGAACCCGGCCTTATCTCTCAAAACGTTTCGGCAGTTTATCATACGAATTCATGTGCGTTTACAACATTAAATTTTAGTTAGTTTCTATTTCATTTCCCATTTTATGACCCGTTGATACATCCCACTGTGCAATTACGTGACAGGTACGCGTGCGCGTATTTTAATGGAAAGAAACTATTCGTCTTTTATTGCATAACGTTTGGCTGAATATCTTACATTCTAACGAAATCTCGAAATAATTATTTAATTACAAGCAGTGTCGAACTGACCAGTAGGAATTATGTTTCAATGCGATTGAGGAAAACGTGAGTGAATATTGTGACACTAAAGCAACTTTTAACTGCATTGTCACTTTTGGTATGAAAATGGTAATAGTTAAGAAAAACGTAACAGCCTTCTTATGATAATTCTCATATTCTCATTAGTACGTTGTGTCTAATTACAGTGTCGGCCTTATTTACAGGTGATTCTACAATACTTGTTGTCGGTCAATTACAATCTGCCACACCACGCGTGAATAAACAGTTATGCAGGTGTTGCTGTGGGCAAATACCTAGCCTGTACATGTATATTTTTGTGGATACATGTATTACATATTTTCGTTGATATGTGGATATATTAAGCACCAAGACACAAAAAGTTTATGAAAGATGAATTTGTGCCTTGATATATATATTCAACGCGAACGAAGCTTGTATTTTCTCCGCGATCCTGATGTGTATCATCGTTTAATTGGTCATTCATTAAAAGTATGTTGTGAGGCGATATCAAAGGAGCCGCTCAATATACACAGTGACGTCCGTTTCGCGTGAACTACCACCCTACCCTGTCAGTAAGAGTTATGTAATCGGTACACAAATATATTTGGAGCGATGTCAGTGTGGAAGGAGTTTGAATTACGTCCGCCAGTGGCCACAGAAAGTATAGTACCAATCAACAAGGCCAATGCCGTACTAATAACCTAGTGACTCGCGTAACAACGGCTGTCAATATGTCTGCTACATCTACCATACCATCATCCCTGTCACAACTGGCGTATTAACGGCTTATTCAAAATATTAATTGTAGAAATGTCGTTACCAGACTAACGTACGTCGTATTCAGTCCTCAACTGGATGTTACATTCCTTATATCAGTTAACAGCCCTGTTTGTGAAAATATTTACTAGACATAAGATTTAAAGACTAATAAAATCAATTGTAAGACCGCATAGACCATAAAACCGAATAAAATATGTCTTGGTATCATCTCTTGTGTATTAGATGATGGCAATGACCGGAAATGTTATAACGTTAGATTAAGAAGGAGAAACATTAAAGTGTTTTACAATACTTGGAAACATGAGCAATAAGATGTAGCAACATAAACATGCATGGAATAGGGAAAAAGGATGAAAACAAATTGTAAAGGATTTTAATACAAAATTATCGAACTAAATAACTTGCCTGAACAGAAGGGGTACCCAAACTTGTTTGACAGTTATTCGTGTGTTGTAGACTGTCGAATGGGACTCATGTGTGTACGTAGGGTATGCATATCTATTGCAAGTTTTAGTACTCATACACTTTCTCTTTTTGTGTTTTGTTTGTTTGTTAGTTGTATAACGCCACACTTAGCAATATTTCAGCTGTATGACGGCGGTCTGTAAATAATCGAGTCTGGACCAGACAATCCAGTGATTGACATCATGTGCATCGATCCACGCAATTGGGATACGATGACATGCATCAACCAAGTCAGCGAGCCTGACCACCCGATCCCGGTAGTCGCTTCTTACGACAAGCGCTGTCGCCCTTTTACGCCAAGAATGGTATGTTGAAGATCTTCACGGGTCTATTGAATGCAGGGATTTGTGTAAAGTCATTCAGACAGCATACAATGCCAACTAAAACATTATACTCAGTGTCTCCGCAAAGTAATATAGTACGGTACTTAGAGTACATGTGAGATTATACTCAGATTAGGGAGATGTTTTATCCATATAACGTGTTATTATTCTACCTAACAATGTATTTAATGAAATGAATGCAAAACAAACTCAACGGCTAAAAGGTTTCATTGAAAAAACTACCCCTAGTCTTGACTAATAAAACAATTGCAACCCGACACAGATTAAACGCAACTTACAAACACAATCATAATCTGGTTAGTCTGTATCACTCAACGAGGCCGCTTACTTTGCCCACAGTATGAAAGTATTGGGCAGTTCAGTAATTAGGAGCCAAAACCAGGCAGGTACGCTGGTCACACTTGACTGGTCTGACTGATGATTAGGTCGTCTGACAATTGTGAGTGAACCATAGCAAGAAGTATCTGCGAAACTATTTGCTCCTTTTATGGGACCGATTAGTTTTATGACCATGGGCCTCGTCACAAGCGTGGTGTTGGAAGACAAGTTATACATGTACATCCGATATGGTAACTGTTTTTCGCTATTCATATTCTAAATACATTCATAATACCACAACATTTTAGTACTCCTTGAAACTTTACAATCACTTCAATATGTACAATAGATTGAACGAGAACACTTGATATATTGCAGATTATTAAATCATTGTCTCTATTATCAGCCGCTACGTTTGTATCGTTTGCATTGTACAAAGAAATATTTTATCTGTCCTTTTGCAGATTTAGCCTCAGAATGTGCTCATTGGAATAAGGAACGAAAATAATTGCTTATCATGAGTATATATGATACAGTTAAAAGTTACTTGTACACTGTAGACGTATTCACTTTAAAGTCGCATACGACCTTCGCGAGCGAGTTGAATGATCCAGGTTAATTGGAACAAAGTCTAGAGAGGGTTATAAAGTTTTGTATTTGGTAATGTGTAGGTTTGTTAAATATAATTTTTTAAATTCCTTTTATTTCAATATGTAAAAACATAACTATGCGCTTAAAAACAGAGCTGACTTGATGGGAGATAGCCACCTCAGATTGTCTGTTGGACACGGTTTAACCTTACTGTGTCCTCACCCTGGTTGTTGTTACCGTTGTTATAAGGGATTAAGAGCTACGGCTCATTGCATTTTTGGTTACAGTCTGTATCACTAAAGTGGACATGTGCAGGTGAACTCTGTTCAATTAGTATATGAAATGCCCCAAAATGTGAACTCCAGATAATAATAACCTGAGGGTAAATCCACGTGCGTCTGCCTTTCCCCTCGTTCACCTTCGAAATCCTTGATTATTATATCATGCCAGAGTTCTGTAATTCAGTGGCAATGTTGCTGAACAGTAGAATCTGATGGACGTTTTGTGCAGAACCTGTTTGACACTATGGGTTCCAGGACCACTAACACTCTGAGCTGAAAAAGTTTGGTCCTAACCGCACCCATCATTAAGAAGTAATTAACAGTCCCATGCTGAGACCTTTCTCAAAATTCAGACCGGTGGCAGGCTGCCAACAAAGAGAAGAAAACATCGCAACCCCGACACGAGTGTGCTCAGTCAAACAATGAACTTACGACCGGCAGAAAACAACTCCAGTTGAGTATGCCGATGCTGTATCTCAGCCGTGTTGGCCTGAAAATTTACACATGCTAATTAAATCGAAAATCGTATAATTATTTTTAATAGAAACCGTATTTTAATTTGTTCTTGCACTGCATCATATCGTGTATTTCATCTGTATATGTGTAATGTGTATATGTATCAATGACTACACTTATACCGCATATTCTGCAACAGACTATAATTAATCACCTTATTATTGTCTCCATTTACCATGGGTGACTGCACTAATACCCTTTTAACAGTGGACACCGATATCAGTATACATGTAGGCTTTTTGTTCAAAAAGGAATATGCAGGAAATTATATGTAACAATTAACTGTGTACTAATTACATGTTTAAATGTCATCAGTTTTACGTTCTGAGATACAGTGATGTAAGCATCTTCTAAAATCTTCTAAAAATATAATAAAACACAAAACTCTCTGCCGTAATTTTTTGTGGAAATCATTCGATCAAGTAAAAAATGACTGCGTGACAAGACGAATCAACTATTTATACCCGATAAAAGAAACTGCCGTATTTTAGGAACAGTGCTATAACAAGACATTTGAAATTTCTAACAAGCAGATACATTAGAGACAGTGACTAGACTACAGGTACGTAATCCGTATCAATCAAAGGTGTAAAAAAACTGAAAATCATATCTGTCGGAGACCTACCAAATTACCAAGTTTTGTATAACTGAATTTGTATATGGAACCATGCGTACAGCATGACAATTACTTGCTATTCGTCAGTTTACAACACACATAACACGGTCAAACAATTTTAGGCACCGCTTTTGCGAGTGATGTAGTACAATAATGTTTTATTAAAATCTATTTCAATTTGTTTTCACCATTTTCCCTATTGACAGTCGTTGTTACGTGCGTCACTAGGTAATTAGTACGGATTGACCTTGTTTATTGTTTCTATACTTTGAGGATTTCTGTGACAACTGGCGGACGTAATTCAAACTCCTTCCGCACTGACACCGCATCAAATATATTTGTGTACCGATTACATAACTCTAATGGACAGGGTGGGGTGGTAGTTCACCGGACGACACTGTGTATATTGGGCGGCTCCTTTGATATCTCCTCCAAACATACGTTTATTGAATGACCCCATTAAACGATGATACACATCTCGATGAATATATCAAGGCACTAATTCATCTTTCATAAACATTTTTTTGTCTTTGTGCTTAATATATCCACATATCAACGAACATTTGTAAAACATGTATCCTAAAAAAAATAAACATTTTCAGGCTAGGTATTTGCCCACAGCAACACCTGCATAACTGTTTATTCACGCGTGGTGTGGTAGATCGTAATTGACCGAGAGCAGGTATTGTAGAATCACCTGTAAATAAGGCCGACACTGTCATTAGATACAACGTACTAATGAGAATGATCATAAGAAGGCTGTTGTTTTTTCTGAACTGTTACCATTTTCATACCAAAAGTGGCAATGCAGTTAAAAGTTGCTTTAGTGTCACAATATTCACTCACGTTTTCCTCAATCGCATTGAAACATAATTCCCACTGGTCAGTTCGAAACCGCATGTAATTAAATAATTATTTCGAGATTTCGTTAGAATGTAAGATATTCAGCCAAACGTTATGCAATAAAAGACGAATAGTTTTTTTCATTAAAATACGCGCACGCGTACCTGTATATTGCATACCTGGTGTCACGTAATTGCCCAGTGTGATGTATCAACGGGACATTAAATGGGAAATGAAATAGAAACTAACTATAATTTAAATGTTGTGGAAAATAACTCCAATGAATTGGAGTACACGCACATGAATTCGTATGATAAACTGTCAAAACGTTTTGAGAGGTAAGGCCGGGTTCATTAAAGATCGCTACAATATGTAAAACAGGTGAAATTTGTAGAACTAAAGGAAACATCCAACCAAATGCCCTTTTTAAATAGTAATGTAATGATATAATATAAAGTATATTTCACATGATACAATATACTTTGCAAACAGTTAGTTGATGCTTGAAAGGGACTGACGAAAACATGGGCGAAATATTTTAATAACGCCGTAAAATAGTTGAATTAAGTAAAAATTAGTTAAATTTTGTGTCATGATACTTGAATAAATACATTTAATGTATTTGCGAAACAAAAACATGAGTTTTGAGTAAAGGAACATATACTCGCCCATGGACCAAACCTTTTTCTCGCCCATGGGCGAAATATTTCAATATCGCTATAAAATCGTTGAATTAAGTTAAAATGAGTTAAATTTTGTGTCATGATACTTGAATGAATACATTTAATGTATTTGCGAAACAAAAACATGAGTTTTAAGTAAAGGAACATATTCTCGCCCATGGGCCAAACCTTTTTCTCGCCCATGGGCGAAATATTTCAATATCGCTATAAAATCGTTGAATTAAGTCAAAATGAGTTTAATTTTGTGTCATGATACTTCAATGAATACATTTAATGTATTTGCGAAACAAAATCATGAGTTTTAAGTAAAGGAACATATTCTCGCCCATGGGCCAAACCTTTTTCTCGCCCATGGGCGAAATATTTCAATATCGCTATAAAATCGTTGAATTAAGTTAAAATGAGTTAAAATGAGTTAAATTTTGTGTCATGATACTTGAATGAATACATTAAATGTATTTGCGAAACAAAAAACATGAGTTTTAAGTAAAGGAACATATTCTCGCCCATGGGCCTACCCATGGGCCAAACCTTTTTCTCGCCCATGGGCGAAATATTTCAATATCGCTATAAAATCGTTGAATTAAGTTAAAATGAGTTAAAATGAGTTAAATTTTGTGTCATGATACTTGAATGAATACATTAAATGTATTTGCGAAACAAAAAACATGAGTTTTAAGTAAAGGAACATATTCTCGCCCATGGGCCTGCCCATGGGCCTACCCATGGGCCAAACCTTTTTCTCGCCCATGGGCGAAATATTTCAATATCGCTATAAAATAGTTGAAATAAGTTACAATGAGGTAAATTTTGTGTCATGATACTTCAATAAATACATTTAATGTATTTGCGAAACAAAATCATGAGTTTTAAGTAAAGGAACATATTCTCGCCCATGGGCCAAACCTTTTTCTCGCCCATAGGCGAAATATTTCAATATCGCTATAAAATCGTTGAATTAAGTTAAAATGAATTAAATTTTGTGTCATGATACTTGAATGAATACATTAAATGTATTTGCGAAACAAAAACATGAGTTTTAAGTAAAGGAACATATTCTCGCCCATGGGCCTGCCCATGGGCCTACCCATGGGCCAGACTTCGCCCATTGGCAGGCCCATGGGCAGGCCCATGGGCGACATAGTCTAAATATTGAGTTTTTAAACAATTTTTTTTTCATTTTTTCTTCCTTGGTATGTTCCCATGAAAACGGCATGTTTAATTTTGTAAATACCTTTAACTGAGACTGGGCAAAGACCGTAGAGTTTCTGGACTTTTGGGTTTCCAGAATTAAAATGGGACGTGTTCTATTTGTTTGAGGTGTTTTGCTATCGCTGAGTTTTGGTATTCAGATGTCCATTTAGCCCCGAGTCTGCCCAGAATAAATGATTTGACTGACAAAAGTAAATACAAACTGGGGGGACCCCTGAAGATCCAGTGTAGAATAGGTCTTCAGCAACCCGTGCTTGCCGTAAAAGGCGACTATGCTTGTTGTAAGAGGCGACTAACGGGATCAGGTGGTCAGGCTCGCTGACCTGATACATGTCGGTGATCCCAATTGCGTGGATCGATGCTCATGATACTAAACACTGGATTGGCTGGTCCAGACTCGATTTTTTACAGACCTCCATCATATAGCTTGAATATTGCTGAATGCGGCGTTAAACAACTAACCATCCAACATTCTGGGGGAAGATTACTCACATTTCAAAGCATAATCCGCATGGAGTCCCCCATCGGTACACAGTAACACCGTCCGTTTCATTTCAGATGTCATTTTCAGTTTCTCCTGTTCGCGTTTCCAAATTGCAAACATTTATGTCAAGAGATCTCACAGGTTTCTGCCAGACAATAAGATGCAAAGCCGAATAAATATCCTTTGTAGCCAAGGACATTGTTTACTCGGTCGTCAAGAAATACGAGTACTTGCATTGTACTTGTTTATGACCTGTAAACGGATTTCTGTTCGCCGGGATATCTATTGTCGCCTGTTTACCGACCTACTTCTATAAAAGAGCTTCGCCTCCTTTCACAAAGTTATTTTTGATCAACGACTGTCGTGGGTCATTGTCAAACCATAACTTCCTGCTCTGCGTTGTAGATAATAAATAGTCTTCGCAGTGTTCGAAATACCTGCCTGCCCGACCGTCCGAGACGGGTTGATTTCAACTCGGGCTGCCAGATTTTCAAATCCCCCTGCCCAACGGTCGGGTTATATTTCATATGTGAAAATATTCTAAATATTTCCCGATGACAAGCATTAATTCACATGTAAAGATGAATGATAAAATGTAACCAAAAAGAAACCTCGTTAGCTTATCCTGAGAAACATATGATTATAGTGGGCAGGCAGGTTTTGGTCAGGGCTGGCAAGTATTTCAGCTAGCCAGTCCTGTGGTCTGGCTGAAATCTTTAGGAGTTTCATACCCTGGTCTTCGACATGGTCTCAAGTAGGTCTGAAGTTGGTCATATCAATGATATCAGATCCGTCTGCTGAACAGAAGTCACGTTTTGTGTTTAACGCCGCACTCCAGAAATATTCCAGTTATATGAGGGCGATCTGAAAATAATCTGCACCTGACAATCCAGTGATTGACATTATGAACAACGAACCACACAATTAAGAAAGAAATTATTGTTATTTTATGTGGAGGAAGCATTGAGTTCATACATCCACCCGCTTCATATCATCCAGACTTATTTGCAAAATCCATGTGAGCAATGCTTGTTTGTAAACATCATATAACCACGTTTATCACTAATGGTCGGTTTCTCGGCAGGATGAGGCCAACGATTAAAAGTGATACCCGTTGGGGTCATTTGCGGATAGAGGGGCAAATATCAAAGGTAAAGTAGGGAGTACTTTTAGTGTTTACAACCAGACATGGCGTTGCCCTTGTCATTCAGCAATCGCGTCAGAATTAACCATCGGGGATCTGGAGAAACTACTGGGATAATTGTTATCATTTTCAAAAGAATAGTCTAATATACTGAAATCAGCGTTAACTGGGACGCAGCTCAGGCATTTTACAAGGCAACTTTGGATATATAAAGTTTTTAATTTTAACAATGTTAGCGAGGACTCAAGGCAAGAAGTATCAGTTCCCAAATCTGTGCTTTTAGACCTCTGCGGCTTGGAACATTTTCCGCTAATTGTTGATTTGGCCGAAATATGTCCGAATTCTTGCCATGTTTCGTATGGCGTTGTGTGTACATCTGGTTGCACTTCGTAACGTTATGACAGGACAAGCAGAATCTAATCAAAGGGTTAGAGTAACATCCCTCTGATAAATGGCAGTTTCTTTAAAGGACAGACCGATGGAATGCCGCGAAAAGAACGTAGAAACAATTTGTGTAGGATGTCTGACTGACACATCAATTACCTTCTGACGCAATACTAGTATATATTAATACGCACATTCAAAGGAAAACTTGCAATGTGTTAGTAATGTTTGTTAGAGATGGGAAGATATTTTTCGAGCCCAGAATTGAAGAATGACATTATATGATGAAGCTGTTATCACGCTTATATATTAGGAATAAACACCATGTATTTAGATCACAAAGGCTCTCTAAATACAATGTTTATTCCTCATACTGGATATTTACCATTACCAAACACACTCGGGTGAAAGCCTTTATTTATTTGTAAACATCATATAACCACGTTTATTTGTGAGCATAAAAAATATATCCATGTTTATTTGTAAACATCATATAAACACGTTGGGACTTTTGGTGTTTTGGTTAGTTCACAACAGCACTTTATTTCAGTTCAGGCCGTGTAAGTTAAATATAGCATTCAGAAAACAGGCATGAATTATGTAGATAATATTATACAATAAATATAATATAAAACAGCTTCGCGACTAATCGCAAAGAGCAATGAAGAGCGAAGCGGGGTTTATTTCATGATAAAACATTGTTTCTGGAGATTCGAATATGCGCTCGCAACTTGATTACGTCACATAATGGACGACGTTGTTCCCCATAGATGTAGCTGGGGTACAGATGTAGCAGATAAACGCAGCTGCCGAATGGTCGCATCCAAAAGTGGGAGAAATATGACAATCAGTTTAAGGAGCAAAATGTACAGATAATTGTCGTGATGATTGTAAGAATATGCAGGAAATAGCAAACTTAACCCACCTGTTCATAAAATGGACTTACCCGATATTGCCGAGGTCGGATTCTGTTTTGGGAGTCATCAATATTAAAACTAAAGGTAACTATTTTTAAAGCTTGCACATTTTATTAACATCCTTAAAGAGGTTGAACACCATGTGACCAAGTTTATTTGTAAACATCATCTAACAACGTTCATATGGAAGAAAATTGTTAACTTGAAATGACCCACGTTTATGTGTTAACTTGAAATGACCTACGTTTACGTGTTAACCTAGTATGACACACGTTTACGTGATAACTTGATATGACCCACGTTTACGTGATAACTTGATATGACACGTTTACATGTTAACTTGATATGACACACGTTTACGTGATAACTTGATATGACACACGTGTACATGTTAACTTGATATGACACACATTTACGTGATAACCTGATATGACCTACGTGTACATGTTAACTTAATATGACACACATTTACGTGAAATGACCTACGTTTACGTGTTAACCTAGTATGACACACGTTTACGTGATAACTTGATATGACCGACGTTTACATGTTAACTTGATATGACCCACGTGTACATGTTAACTTGATATGACACACATTTACGTGATAACCTGATATGACCCACGTGTACATGTTAACTTAATATGACACACATTTACGTGAAATGACCTACGTTTACGTGTTAACCTAGTATGACCCACGTTTACATGTTAACTTCATATGACCCACGTTTACATGTTAACTTGATATGACACACGTTTACATGTTAACTTGATATGACCCACGTTTACATGTTAACATGATATGACCAACGTTTACAATGACGATGTTCATGATGTTAATATGCAGAACTGACGATGTCTTCATTGTGATGTTCACATATCACAACTGAGATTATCAACTGAAACGGACATAAAATATTCCTAAACCATTTCCTAAACCATTAATAGTTTCCAAATAGTTCTCGGCCATTCAGCCCGGTCGCACATTGGTTATATCAATGGATATGGAATACGATATGGGCCATTTACCTTTAATTCACATATGCAATAATATACAAACATTTACGTAAATATCATAACGAGGTATTCTATTGTGAAATGGTGTGTTATTTGGGTCAACACAATTTAGGTTTTAAAAAACTGAAATAATCGCAACCATACATACCAGAAGTGGGACAGAATGAGGCATTACTTCTACGGCCAGGTGTCACAAGGCTCTGTTATAGATCAACATGCACAGCTCGGTCGCTGTGCAAAAATCAGGCTAACAGTTCTTGGGTTTTTTTTAAAAAAGAATTTTTTCAGCTTATGTTTTGGGTTCTGTTTGTTGTTTAACGCCACACTCAACAATACTCCAGCTTTATGACGGCGGTCTGTAAATAATCTGTAAATAATTGACATAATGAGCATCGATCCACGCAATTGGGATACGATGGCATGCATCAACCAAGTCAGCGAGCCTGACCACCCGATCACTTTAGTTGCCTCTTACGATATGCATAGTCGCCTTTTACGGCAAGAATGGGAGGCCGGATCTTCACGGTTTTGGGGTGGTCGGGTAGCCTGGTGGTAAAAGCGTTCGCTTTTCACGCTGAAAACCCGGGTTCGATTCCCCACATGGGCACAATGTGTGAAGCCCATTTCTGGTGTCCTCCGCTGCAATATTGTTGGAATATTGCTGAAAGCGGCGTAAAACCATGCTCACTCACTTGTCATGGGTCTGTAACATAAGGGAGTATATATATATATATATATATATATATATATATATATATATATATATATATATATGTATATATATATATATGTATATATATATATATGTATACTTATATACACTGATTATAAATCCTGACACATGAAACGCTAGTATTGTCCTTCGACAGACATAATATAAGTTACTTCAATTTAATTCCACTCCTTTCATCTGATTAAACAAACTACCTAGTCAAAATTTTTATGATAGATCTTGACCTTGACCTGTCCCACATGGACCCACCGAAGGTTGACCCCATCGACTCACACGTGACACGTCGGAAAATGTCGACCGAGCACTGCAGCAAAGTTCTGATAGCCATGGATGGCAGCGACCACTCCAACTATGCATTTGACTGTAAGTACTCGACTGCAGTAGGTAAATAAGCGACCACTATGTGCTGCACACTTGCCTGTATAACAGTACAGCGTCACTGACAGGATACCTGCATTGTATCTTGCCTGCGCCAGGTGCATTCACAATGACAGGTGGGCGGTTTCCTTATAGCAATCATATCTCCATCGTCCGCGTTTAGATTGATAACTTCTTGTCGTTGTTCTTCTGGTGCAATTCTGATTTATATCAACGTCTGACTAAATAATGCTTGTGTCCTTTGAACCTTATGCCCTGCTGCACACTCCGTGTGTTCACTATCGGCCCTATTTATATTCACGCTACCATTGCATAAGCCTCCTCGACGCGTAGCTACCCGTGATATATGTAAACAGTGTCAACAATGTAAACAACTTGGATAACATGCGTAATAGCCTACTAAATACATTGTAACTTCTGTACCCACCGTTCCTGAACAATTGCATTATTTAGTCATACATGTTAAGAACTAAGTATACTTTATATTTTTGTATACATTACACGTGCATAGTAGCCCCCTGAATTATAACATTCATGGAGAGACACCGCCGCATTTGACTCGCAGGGAGAGATGTTCGGTCGGACCATACATATACAAACGACACGGGTAGCGGGCTTGTCATTTCATTGTCATCAGATATTTTCTGTTTTGTGATTCATTTAAACATTCCGGCTATGGTGAGGCAGTATATATATCTACATGTATATTCTGTACTCTTAGTGGAGTATGTAAAGTGTAACATCATAGCACATAGCTGCGGCAATTCCGGTATGTAAGGTGCTCGTATGTAGAGCTGAAAAACTGAGATATACATGGTTCGCCCTTGCAGAACGTGTTAGGCGAGAAACGTCGCCTCCAGCATCGCGTACATTTCCATCGCTGGATGGTTGTACAATGTCAACCACACATAACGGACGAGTGTCAAGTTATATCATATCAGTCCGTGTGCAAGTGCAAGAGTAAACGTTGCTGACATACACGAAGAGTGCCTAATGACAAACGTGGGTCGGAATCTACACCGCTCTGGGAATCTGATCGAATATGTCAATAGTTTATTGATGCATCATTCTTGTTGAATAGCTCTGACTCTAACGAGTCGATAAAATGCGGAATATATACAGATTGCAAGTGATAGAAAGCCATTTGGAACGCAGTTGTGAAAAGTGGGCGCTATGCAAGAATGATCCATAAATAGCGCACGAGCGCAATATACACACTTGGCTGCCGGAGGGGGCACGGGTGGCCCAGTCGTCTGAGGCGCCGCGATTCGCTGTGCAGAGTTGTGCCCCTTGGGCACGCCTGAAACCTATGATTGTGGGTTCAATCCCGATTTTGTTTCTAGGTTTGTCAGCACCATACCCGTGCTCGTGGGTTTCGCCGATGTGGTAAACGTCTGAGACCTGCATCACTTCGGGCTTTCCTCCCACATTAAGCTGACACGGCGCGATATAACTGTAATGCTGTTAAAAGCGGCGTTAAACCCAACTCACTCACTCACTTGCAGGATTCTGTTACTGTTGACTGTGACACTCTTACTGCCACATTGTCTGTGGCACCTGTCACTTCTTATATGTTCAGAATACTGGTAGATGTATCGATTCCGTCAGTTAAATGATCAACCTATATCATCAATATAACGTTCGTCAACGGTCAATCGTTGCGATCAATTTAACACGTACTCCTGTCAAGGTATGTATACCCTTAATGATGGTGAAAATATTTGCGAGAATCCAGATTCAATTTCCCGCCAACCGTTGGCGTAACGTCACATCCATGTCTAAAACTATTGTTGCAACGTTCTCACAGGTAAACGTCTGTTGACAAGCAACAAAATGTTGAAGTTCATTTATTAGTTTTATTCAGGATATTACAATTGAATGGTGTATGTTCTTTGCATCACATATATATGTAAAATCAACACCTAGTTCCGCCTGTAGTTTCGATCTTCTGCTGATTTTCAAGATAGTCTAACAGTTTCATATGTCGTCTTGTCAAAAGTATTCATGTTACTAATAAAATAATCCCAAGACGAACAATTCCTTAAAAACAGTTTTTCCTTTTTATTTTAAATGTATTGTAATTCCCAAATTTCCTGATTTATTTTGTAGATCGAAATCAGTAGTCAATTGTACATAGTCAATTAAGCACAAATAACACTTATGTTTTGCAAAGTTTATTTGAAATAAGAAGAGTATTTAAATACTAACTTGAGTCTAATGTCCTGTCCCTTGAGAAAGCAATGTGGCTTCACTTGAAACTTGTCAAAGATTCTCTAACCTTATCTGTTATATTATTTATACACACTGACCAGCTTGAGTATATTGTGGGAGCAATAACAAGACTTAGTGTTTAAGCATGAAAAGTATCAGGGGGAAAAGTATAAGTCATAAAGTATCAGGGGGAAAAGTATAAGTCATAAAGTATCAGGGGGAAAGTGTCCAAGACGCTGCAATACGCTGTGCAGAGTTACGTCCCTTGGGCACGCCAGAAACCTTTGATTGTGGGTTCGAATCCCGGTTCGTTCCGATTACCTGTTTAGGCTTGTCAGCACCATACCGGTGCTCGTGGATTTTTATAAAAGTTGCAAACGTCTGAGACCTGCATCACTTCGGGATTTCCTCCCACATTTAAGCTGACATGCCGCGCTATAACCGGAATACTGTTAAAAGCGGCGTTCCAATAACTCACTCACTTATAAAGTATCTTTTACAGTCTTGTGTTTTTTCTCCTGTGAGACTGGGTAGCAGAAAGAAAATAAGAGTTATATAGAAAAAATGTTGAAAAAATATATCATAGTATAATACCTCTGACGATACTTCACAATTAATACTTCACACCTGAAATATGAATGAATATGAATTATGAAAAACAAGCAACACACATACCCCACAAACCGCAAACGCCAAAAAGGTTATATATTTATACACATTGGAATAGTAAGGGGAGTGATTGGAGCGCGGGGAGTCATTTGGGCCTACGAGGGTGGAGTACTCTGAGCTAGGCGGTCATGATCAGAACCTAGGCTCTGTCTCAGCATGGAGTCATCTCTATATCTGCTCGGGGGATGCACTAAAGTGATTACCGCCACCCCCTGCATCATGTTGGTTTCTTCTCCCACATATAGCTGTCACGCCATGGCATAACTGAAGTACTGTTCAAATCGGTGTTAAACACACCCATCCACTCTTCCCGATTGAGTGAGTGTGAGTGAGTTTGATTTTACGCCGCTTTTAGCAATATTCCAGCACTATCACGGCGGGGGACACCAGCAATGGGCTTCACACATTGTACCCATGTCGGGAATCGAACCCGGGTCTTCGGCGTGACGAGCGAAAGCTTTAACCACTAGGCTACCCGACCGCCCCTTCCCGATTGAGGGTCACATGTGCGTCTATGAGTTGGGTTTAGTTAACGCTTTCACTTTATTGTATCATTACGTATTGGACCGCCTCCGTGGTCTAGTGGTAGAGCGTCCGCCCGGAGAGCGGAAGGTCCGGGGTTCGATCCCCGACCGCGTCACACCAAAAGACGTTAAAAGATGGTACTTGTTGTTACCCTGTCTGGCGCTCGGCATTAAGGGGCTAAAACAAGGACTGGTCGGCTCGGAGTCAGTATACTGTGTCTGAGTGTGGTATTCATGTTAAACTGCGGCATGGTATCTCAGTGAGCTAGCACTATAAATCGGCATCAGTCCGGACTAGTACAAGCAGCCACCCAAACACACACACGTACATGCACGTCGCTATATAAGTGCAATGATCTTGGACGCGACGTTAAACCCCATTTCACCTCACCTCACCATTACGTATTGAATTCTCACTTCGGCTTTGTGGGTATATGTTTAATGTCTACCTAGTAACACCTTCAGATGTCTTATCCTTGAAGTATTCTGCAGGGTACATGGACAGGCTCCACCGGAAAGGGAATAACGTAGTGGTGGCGCATTGTCCCGACTACAGCGCCATCTACCACACACGTGAGTAGCAACCTTATGGGTCCGACATTGATCCTGTGGAAGTCCCAATCATAACACAAATATGATTATAGAGCCAGTCAATTTTGTAGGTGAGAGTTTTCGTCAATTTCAGCTATATTCTAGCAGTGGCGCGTCGGGAGACCTCAAACAGGTTTGCGAACGCTTAAACAAGACCACGTTATCACCGTCCACGGTCAAATGGAACAAGTCTATATAATTAGGACTGATTTCAATTTGTAATTAGATGGCGGAATGACAGTATGTGTTCATTTCCGCGGCTAGATGATTGATGAACACTCTAGTGTATAACTAGGCGATACTCCCCATCTTCTCTGCAGCTGGTATCAGTGGCGATGCTTCCCTAATTGCCGAGATCTTGCGAGAAGAGGCTGTGAAAATGGAAATCATCATCGATAAACTCCGGGAGAGGCTGACGAAAACTGGGGTGAGATCAGTTCTCAGACTGTATTAAAATTAACCAGATTATGACTCTATGTGCGTGCGTGCGTGCGTGCGTGCGTGCGTGCGTGCGTGTGTGACACTGGTATTAGGAAACGAAGGTCATGATGTCAAGGTGAGCGTATGTCATGGGCTATCTTTCGTCGCCCCTCTGTCCGTTCATATGTCCGTCCGCTAGCAATGAAAACACTTGAACATAATGGTATAATCCCAGAACATGTCCCTGTATTAATTTCATTTTCAAAATTTCTAAATTTCTAAATGACCGCCGATTACAATTTAGTGGTCACGCCAATGTCTTCTCTTGTCAATTATTGAAACATCCTTCATTACAATAAAGAAAGGATTCATTCTTGAAATATCAAACTTCAAATAGAGTGTTTGAAATCGATTGAATTTCAAATTTTGCCTACCACTCTGCGAGCCCATTGAAATATTAATGCCCCTTGTACTAGGATAACTTTTCCTACTTACAACAGCCCCTACATGTGGTACATTTCTGACACATCATATCATTATGTATTGATGCTGTTGTATATTTGTATTGGTTATTAGAATCATACATTAGTGTTGTGTTAAAACAAATAGAATATTATAAGGGTAACGCTATTTTTCAGGGCATTATCATTTGCAGAAGCCCGAGGTCTTCCATTAACTGCCCGACGAAGGAGCGCAGTTGAAAAGACCGAGGGCTTCTGCAAATGATAATGCCCTGAAAAATAGCGTTACCGTTATTGTAGCTACAATGGATAGAATTTGGTATCGAATAAAAATAAACAAAATCGGTTTTGAAACATTTACTGCAATCAACGCACAACGAATGTCACTGACCCACTTTTACAAATAAGGAAAGGTCACAGAACAAACCAGATGACGTCACTATGGAACATCAATATGACGTCACCTAACAACGGGCGTGATAATGACCCGTCGTCAAGCAATATGAGGGCATTATCAAGTTTCAGTGTCCCGCTCATGTCTGATAACATGCGGGCGGTTTAATGATAATTCTATCCATTTTAGCTGTAAGAGTACATAAGACTAGGTTTCACTTCTGAAGAGGGCGGTTGGGTAGCCTAGTGGTTCAAGCGTTCGCCCTTCACGCCGAAGACCCGGGTTCGAATCCCGACATGGGTACAATGTGTGAAGCCCATTTCTGGTGTCCCCCGCCGTGATATTGCTGGAATATTGCTAAAAGTGGCGTAAAACCAAACTCACTCACTCACTTCTGAAGATTCCATCAGTATCTTCTGAGATGAGCTTCAATACATCTGGTACTCTCTGGCTGTATTTCCAAATGAGTGAGTGAGTACAAGAGTACCAGGAGGTACTGGAATATAAATACAAGAAAGTTCAAAATGACGTCAATAATGATTAATATCCTATACATAAGGTAACGATGTTGGCTTGCAGGAGGTATACATGGTACACGTTGACTCTTTGATATTGACTTGTGTTATATGTGTAGGTGCCGGGTCGTATTTTGCGTTTGACTGGTAAACCTGGATCGTCCCTGGTGAAGGCTGCGGAGGAGGAAGAGGTTGATTACGTCGTCACGGGCACGCGCGGACTGGGCAAGGTGAGTAGGGCGATACTCGGCAGCGTCAGCGACTACATCGTACATCACTCACACGTGCCCGTCTTCGTTTGTCAGAAGCCCAAGGAAGAAAGCCACCATCAAGTGTGATTGAAGGAGAACATACGTTCTTGAGTGATGAGGGGAGCCATCAGCACCTTGGTCGGAGGACGTCATCAGTCCATTTGGATGAAGACAGAAAGGGAAGGGGGACATCATCAGTCCTGGGGCTGAGGACATCAACGGTCCTAAGATTGAGGACATCATCATTCTTGGTGGCTAGTAAGGCGGAAGGATGTGATGACGTCATTAGTCCCTTGAGGATGTCAACAAAAGTTAATGCAGTAAAACAGTATTCAGTTTTGTTACTTGTATTTACCTTAAATATCTACCACAAGATGTCCATCTTTCTCACGCTTACGATATGGATTATACTGGATGGATTGGTAGCATAGTCCTTAATGTATTTGCCACGTGTGTGAAGCCAATGTCTAGTGTCCCCGCCGTGATTGTGCTGGAATATTGCAAGAAGGGGCGTAAAGTCAGCATAATTACTCGTAGTAAAGGGATAAATGACTGAGAACTCTTATTATTGATGTTTGATTATATCAACGAAATAACATTATATATAATATACAGCCTGCTATATTTGTCTCATTTTATAGGGGCACGTTGACCCACCGCCCATAGAGGAAAAGTCTTAAAATAGTCAGATGTCGCATTGACTGTGAAGAGTTGCGTTCCTTATAAGGTGTGATAGAATTCCATGGTTGCACGTGTTAATCCAGATTCGCCCTGATTATATATTTTTAACCAAAGTTGTAAACGTTCTGCATCACTTTGGCTTTCATCGCACATAGAGCCCACATGCCGACATAAAAGAATTGTTTTATTAATTGAACGAAATTTCATATTTTGGTATGTGTTGTGTTAGTAAGGGCACTATCATCTTGTCTGACCGTTGTTTTCTCTGCTTCCTGTTTAACGCCAACCTCTTCAATATTCAAGCTTTATGACGGCGGCTCTTTAAATAGCCAGACGTCAGCAACGTCCCATTCCGCCAGGATGCGATGACCCAATATCAACCATGTGACTGAGCCTGGTAACACGATCCATCTGGTCGCTTCATGTGCCGGGCATTAGTGCCTGGGAGCCAATTGCAACCCCCACTGTGCGCCATTATGTTATAGTAATTAACTGTCTTCACTATGTCAATATGTGTAAAAGAATTAAAAGACCCATAATATTATAATTCTTGTTCTCCAGTACGCAATGTTCTTTTCTTGTGCATGAAATTAAATACATATTAATGATTAGTACTCACGAAAAATGTTTGTCTATCGCGCCGTCATTCGCTGTACATAGTTACGTCCCTTAGGCGCACCAGAAGCCGATTACCGTGGATTCGAATCCAAAGTTCTCCCTGATTATGATTCTTGATTTATCAGCACCATACCCGTGATAAACGTCTGCTACCAGCCTCACTTCGGGCTTTTCGCCCAATTCCGTCCGTCGTAATGCAACCGGCATGCGCTTCAAAGCAGGGTCAGGGGGGCACGGGTGGCCCAGTCGTCTAAGGGACCGCAATTCGCTGTGCAGAGTTGCGTCCCTTGGGCACGCCAGAAACCTATGATTGTGGGTTCGAATCCCGGTTCGCCCCGATTATCTTTCTAGGTTTGTCAGCACCATACCCGTGCTCGTGGGTTTCACCGAAGTGGTAAACGTCTGAGACCTGCATCACTTCGGTCTTTCCTCCCACATTAAGCTGACACGCCGCGATATAACTGGAATACTGTTAAAAGCGGCGTTAAACCCAATTCACTCACTCACTCACTCACTCAAAGCAGGGTTAAGCAAACCCACTTAATCACCACTTACGAAAAACGCAGGTCGAAATACCACTGGAATCTGGTTAGAGATACCATCTCTTGTTGCCTGTTAAATCTTGGAATAGGGTAATTGGAGCGCTTGGTTAATGAACTTGGTCCCGTTCCACAATACAATAGTTAGTTAGTAAACTCCCATACTTGCTCTGAGATAGCGTTGTGGACTGGTGATAGTCATAAACCGAATGCTTTTTGATTTCAGTGTGAATGGTTTTGCATTGTTATGTTTGTAATACAATGTATCAAAAGATAATAAATGAGTGATATGAATAATGGTCATAGTGATTGTGATTAAAGGATATTGTGACCTGGTTTTGTCCAGTAAAGACCATCACTACGACGGAGAAGACCACTGTCGTGACACTTTGACCCGGCTGAATGGCCCGGCTGAATGGCCCGACTGAATCAAATGTGATTAGACCCCGATCTTGAGAAGATAAACTAGGTGAATTGTTCCCCGTCAGCCTCCTAAAACTCAGCTAACTGGACAATGTTGGAATGTTCACCTGAAACTGGGTGAATAAGGCCTTGTGCGAATGTTCACCTGCAACTGGGTGAATAAGGCCTTGTGCGAATGTTCACCTGCAACTGGGTGAATAAGGCCTTGTGCGAATGTTCACCTGAAACTGGGTGAATAAGGCCTTGTGCGAATGTTCACCTGCAACTGGGTGAATAAGGCCTTGTGCAAATGTTCACCTGAATTTGGGTGAATAAGGCTCTGTGCGAAACTGAAACTGGGTGAATAGACTTTGTGCGAATGTGCACCTGAAACTAGGCGAATAAAGTTTTGTGCGAATGTTCACCTGAAACTGGGCGAATAAGGCCTTGTGCGGCCTGAAACTGGGTGAATTAGGCCTTGTGCGAATGTTCGCCTGAAACTGGGCAAATTAGGCCATATGCGAATATTTGCCTGAAACTGGATGAATTAGGCCTTGTGCGAATGTTCACCTGCAACTGGGTGAATTAGGCCTTGTGCGAATTGTCACCTGAAACTGGGCAAATTAGGCCTTGTGCGAATGTTCACCTGACACTGGGTGAATTAGGTTTTTTTGGAATGTTCTCTTAAAACTTGGTCTTGTGGGGAATGTTAAACTGAAACTAGGTGAATTAGGCCTGGTGGGAATGCTAATCTGAAACAGAGTGAAAAACGAAAAACGAATGGTCCGATCCCAGGAACTCTTCTGTAAATATGCCACTCACGATGTACAGTGCCTATGGTGGAAATGGGCTCTGTGTCAAAATAACATTTTGCTGTATGCGACATGGTACTTAGAAAATACAAGTAGTCCGGTGTAAATGGTGATCCTTAAAGGTTTTGCCTTAAAGTAACCGCCGTCGCCGCACTGTTTTGAAACCACGCTGTGTTTGGACACATAAGGAGTCTAGGTCATCCCAAGGGATGGAGGAGATGATATACTGTAGGTTAATGGAACCTGGCACTGTACATGTTGTCTTCCTTATCGCTCGGCCGAGACCTCAAGAAAGTGACCTTCGGGTCACAGTTCAAGGTCACTGGGAATAACTTTGATAACAATGTTTACAATTCACTAAACTACCTATTTCTCCAGAGAATATTTATGTTTGTGCTTTTAGTTGTTATATTAGTTTAATACATGTGTATGAAAACGCTTGGTGAGTCAGCACCGCGATAGAACTGAATTACTGACGACGATGGAATCAAACTCAATTCACTCTCCTACAAACCCATGAAGATCTGGGTTAGAAAGGTCTTCAGCAACCCATGCTTGCCGTAAAATGCGACTATGCTTGTCGTAAGAGGCGACTAACGGGATCGGGTGGTCAGGCTCGCTGACTTGGTTTGATGCATGCCATCGTATCCCAATTGCGTGGGTCGATGCTCATGATGTCAGTCACTGGATTGTCTGGTCCAGACTTGATTATTTACAAACCGCCGTAATAGCTGGAATATTGCTGAGTGCGGCGTTAAAAAACAATCAAACAAACACTCTCCAACATTTGGTTAACTCTCGACTAAACATGGATAGATAACTGCTTGAAGCAACGCGAGCCTCAATCATCCATCAGCTCAACCACTCATCCTCACTCAACGTTCCAGGGAGCAGTTAACAAAGACACACATCATACATCGCTTACGCCACCTGTATCGCGTTATCTTGACCGGTGAGGTTACTCTCAAAAAGTCGTAGCTCCAACCTACTTCGTGTCACGTGATCTACGACAAGATGGCGGGCAGGGACGACAAGAAGGTTTTGGTGGCTATGGATGGAAGTGACCACTCAGTGTACGCATTCGACTGTAAGTATACCCACAGCAGCAAGCTATTTCCCCGTCACATGCATCTTGTCTCGGTACAAAACAGGAAGTAGTAACGCTTTTAGCCAGCTGTTTACTTGAGCCAGTTTGATCGTTAGTTGTTTGTATTTCTTCACCATGGAAATACATTCTTGCCATCAAAATGTATTTTTAGATCTATGTTTAAGCATCTAGGTAAATCAAAACGCATGCTTATCAGATATATCGGAGCTGCCGGGGCTGATGTGAAATACACACCACTCGATTGCATGATAAGTCATAATGGCCTTGTTTACACTGAGAAATAGGCAGATCTTGTGTTACCCGTGACCCGTAAGATCACACCATATATATGACCGCGTGATAATGTTGCCCTATGTAGTCATTATTATATGATCAATATTAACTGATCACGTTGCTGACAGGGTTTGTGTTGATACGTGCTGATTGAAACGTGGAAGCCATTTTGAACCACAGACCGTGAACTGACCCATTATCACCCGTCACGTGCAGAGATACTGGCCGCCGCTAAGCTGATAATGCTCTTTAGAATTAGGTGCGCATGTACAGTCGCTTCCTGTTACTCGGCCGATTACTTGAGCTCAGGAACAGGTGATTTAGACGCCTCCTTTCAATTTGCTGGAAATAGCTAGAAAGAAATGGATGCTTAAATCCCGTTGAATGGCAATGGATAATGAACGCAGCATGTGCGTTGATGGGGATGATACACGTGTATATTAAGTACAAGCATTAAACATTCTACAGTGAAACTTCCGTGAAGATACTGGGAAAGTGTTAGTCATAAGCAGTCCATGGTTATCACAAGAGCCGACTTTAATGGGGATCGTATGGTCAGGTTCCGTGACTTGGCTGATTGACACCCACCTACCCGTGGCTTTGCTTATATTATCAACCACTGTTTATTTGACAGGCCGCTGTGAAATAGCTTAAAACACTGCTGACCGCGGCTATAAACAACATTCACTCACTCCCGCAAAATGTCCAGGTGGTGAAGGGCGTGAGACCAGGTAGCATAGAGTGAGTGAGTGAGGGGGTATGGTTTTACGTTGCTTTTTGCAATATTCCTGCAATATCACGACGGGGGAAACCAAAATTGGGTTTCACACATTCTACCAATTTTGGGATTCGAACCGGGTCTTCAGCGCGACGAGCGAACGTTTTAACCACTGGGCTACCCCAGTGCTCCATTCATAGCATAGAAAGACTCCCTGCATACCTAAACTATAGGTAACTCGTTATTGATATTTCACAGTCGACTTCGAAGCTAAGTATCCAAGAATGGATCTTTTACAAGATGCGCAGAATAATTCTTGATCTGTGATGGTGTCAGACAGTTTTATGATGTTCACATTATATTTATGATGATGTGCACTGCTATACAAAAATCCCTGTATTTCAGTGTTTAAATGGGTTTGGGAAATAGGTTCGCAACACTGATTTACCAGAATCTAAAGGCCCTGAACTCAACTCTTGTTCCGACACTTGGTCATTCTGCGAACAGGTCAAAGAGGTCACTTGGTTTTGGTAAATGTCCGAGACTTGCATTACTTCGGGCTTTCCTCCCATATTTAGCTGACACGCCGTGATATAACTGGAATACTGTTAAAAGCGGCATTAAACCAAGCCCAATGTCATCTTCGTTAGTGAGTGAGTGAGTGAGTGTGGTTTTACGCCGCTTTAGCAATATTCCACAATATCACAGCGGGGGGGGGGGGGGGGGGGGGGGACACCAGAAATGGGTGTCACATTTTCAGAATGAATCGCCACAACATCAACAAAGCCCCAAACGTGCGGCTACGCCAGCTCCACCAAGACCCATCATCATTAGAAGGCTTGCCTCGTTTCCACTCTCGCATCCGATATGCGGTGACGTCGTGAAGAAGTGCGCGAGTAAGTGATAAGGGTGTGCTTACATACGCTATATACCCGACTTTGCTTTGCAGGGTACATGGACACTGTGCACAAACCAGACAACGAGGTGATCATCGTTCACTGTCCGGACTACAGCGCATTGACACATTCCCGTGAGTACCTAGGATGGCTGATTAACACATATCGTTGATCCATTTGACTTGTTGTTGCGTCATGGCAGCCATCAGAAAGGACATCACTTCCGGCTTTTCTGCCAAATGAAACTGATCATAATCGACTCTACGCTGCCATATCGCCATTCTATCAGGCACACATACCCTCGACACATTCTATACCATTGCTTCGCTTTGCGTCCAATTGAACTTGTGTGTTGACCCGAGAACTGGTCTTCAGCAACCCATGCTTGCCGTAAAAGGCGACTTTGCTTGTCGTAAGAGGCGACTTACGGGATCGGGTGGTCAGACTCGCTGACTTGGTTGATACATGTTATCTATCCCAATTGCTTAGATCGATGGTCATGATGTCAATCAAAGAATTGTCATATAGCTGGAATATTGCTGAGTGCTGCGTTAAACAACAAACCAACCGACCAACCAATTGTTTGTTTGTCTGTTTGTTGTTTAACGCCACACACATCAATATTCCATCTGTATGACACTCACTCACTCACTCACTCAAAAGAGAACATGAAAACAAATCTGCCTGTATGACAGCGGCAGAACGGGGCCCACTTGCACAAAGCGATCTTAGCGCTAAGATGATACTCCCATACTTTAACATAGGCTTACGATAGTCTTAGCGCTAAGATCGCTTTGTGCAAGTGGGTCCAGGTCTCAAATAATTTCAATATGTACGTGCAAGCCGTTTTGTTACAAACATAAATATAAATTAAATAATATGAAAAAACATTGAAATAAGATTACTGAATACGTATGTAGCTGCTGTCACCTGTTACCGGTTACTTTTCTGTTTTATTTCTGCGACAACAATAGCCGTTGTCCTCTATTGTTGTGTTTCTATGACAACCGTATAGTACACTGTTCTATTTCTTTTGCTGCCGTGTAATCCACTGACATATCTGAGATAACCTAACAGCTGGAGCCATGTGTCTATTATACAATTCATTGTTGTTTCCATGACTACCATATACTCCAGCGTCACGTTTCTAGGACTAACATTTACCCAACGGTGTTTTCAGCGGTAATGTTTATCTGACAAACATTTTTGCTGCCAATACCGACGTTTTACAGTATGTTTGCTAACATTATCTCAATTAAAATAATTCTGCATAGGCACGTAAACGTATGTAAACGGCTGGAAGCAAATGTGCAGTTGTACTCCAGCATTGCCATGACTACCGTCTGTGTTGCAGCTGTGATGTCCAGCGATCCCTCCCTGGTGGCACAGCTGATGAAGAAGGAGGAGCAGCAGATCAACATCATCATCGCCAAGCTGAAGGAGAAACTCACAGGTTCTGGGGTGGGCGCCCTACATACTCTTTAATCTGTTCGCTAGAGTAGTCTCCCTTCCTATTTACATACACAAGCTCCTCGCAACGATATCCCGTTCGCAGAGCTCTCTGTACTATCGCTGCCACCAAAAATCCCCACTGTGATAGGTGGCTACAACCATGCTTGGAGTTGAACTCGCAACCGACTGACCGTTCTGTTTACAAACAACGATTGACTACTGTTACCCTGAATACTCTTACCCCTGCTAAATTCTTTTCTTTGTTTGTCAATTTGAATTTTGGTTTCATTACAACTATCATGTAATTGGTATAGTAAGAATGTAAGGGGGGGAGATGGTTGATTTTCCGTTCGTCTGCAATCTCGAACCAATGTGATCAAACAAACAAAAGGTAAATTCATCTGGGAAATATGGTCAGTCGTAAACCTTTTCAAAATGAACTGTGATGGCATTCCCAAAGACATAAACAAAAGTATAAACGTTACTACATTTGGGGTCAGAAGGCAAATTTCAAGATTCTTGTAATGGCCGCGGCCACACGTGTGGCAGCGATGTTACCGAGAGTGTAACGAAGATGTCACGCGCTGAGAAGGAGCTTGTTACACACAGTGATTCCAAGATGGCGGCCTCGGTACGTTTATTTTGGAAAATTCCAAGTGTAAGTGGTTCCAGGTGCCGTCATCCGTTGTGAAGATGATTGACAAAGATGATATCCAAGATCTGTACTGAACAGAACATTATCTTGTTAACATGTTTGAATTCCATCATAAAAAAACATTCGTGCGACACTGATAATCTTTCACTACATTAAGTGAAGATAACATGTTTTGATATTCGAAATTCGAGTCCCTGATTCAGACATCGTATTTTGACCACATTTCCGAGTTAAAATACAAACAGTAAATCGACAGATCATAATAACTATCTTTGTGGTGTTGCCTTTAGAAAAATTTCTCACCCGTTAAGATCCGGAGTAGAATAGGTTTGCTGGCCGAAAAAAAGCGACCATGCTTGTCGTAAGAGGCGAATAACTGGATCGGGTGATTAGGCATGGGTGCAATAGTCGTCTCTGGTATCGCAATTCTCTGTGCAGAGTTGCGTCCCTTTTGGCATGACAGAAACCTATGACTGTTTGCCCCGATTATATTTCTGGGTTTGTCAGCACCGTACCTGTGTTCGTGGGTTTCACCAAAGTGGTTAACGCCTGAGACCTGCATCACATCGCATTAAGCTGACACGTCGTGGTATAACTGGAATACTGTTCAAGGCGGCTTAAAACCAAACGCTTTCCGTTTGACCCACTTCAGCTGTGAAAATCAAAATGATAAATGGAATAGTAATCTGCGCAGTAGATCTGCTCTTAAAAAGGTCCAACTACACCAATAAGTGCCAAGCCCCCCTTCCTCCAGTGTGGTAGACGCCGACTCATTAGTCCATTCCCTCCGATTCCATACCTCTCTGCATGAAGATCTAACAGTCTCCATAGGAGGTCACGTTTACTATGGTTAAACTCTCAGTCCCATACGAGTGAAGAAGCAGTATACCTCGTTCGTTTATCATTTGGACGTTTTCCCTCCAGATCAAAGGTCGAATTCTGCGTCTGTCGGGCGACGCAGGGCACGCAATCGTGAAGACGGCGTTAGCGGAACACGTGGACGTCATAGTCACCGGGACAAGAGGTCAAGGCAAGTTCAGGCGGACGCTTCTCGGCAGCGTCAGTGACTACATACTACACCATTCACACGTACCTGTGCTCATCTGTAAGAAGCCACACGACGGATCAGAGGAGAAGCAATAAGAAGTTTCAGTGTCAGGAATATATAACATTGTCAGGCATATACAACAGTGTTGGCAATATACTTCAGCGTTAGCAGTATACAACAACGTCAACAACATACAGCAGTGTCAGCAACAATCAGCGTCATCAGTATACTACATCGTTAGCAACATACAACAACGTCAACAATTTTCAGTCCCTCGGCAACCTGCTTTTTGAGTCGCCCATTACGATTGTCTATCTGACGATGCACTCGCTTTCTTGGAGGGGCGTATGATGTGCAGAGATTTGACAATAACATTATATAGCAAACGTTGTAATATCATCTTCACTAACTAAACAGAGTTTACTCAATGACTGTCAGTTACTGTTTTTCTCATTATAAAAAATCTGTTTTAAAAATTCTTTGATATCAGCACGGTGTTGTTTTGAAGTGCTTGTTTGTGAGCCATTCTACGAAAAAGATAAAATCTGTATTCTGGAAGATTCCATTAAACAATTAGATTCTAGAACAATCTCATAAAAATCAGATCTTAGTTCTCGCTATCGCTAAACAAAGATCTGAGGACATCCCATTACAGGTCACGTCAGAACGACCTTTCATCCCACCAATCAAAGCGTCGCTTATCAGATCATGAAAGTGACAGTCGGAATGTGTTTTCTAATCATGCAACTTCAAAAGCGTTAACACGGGGTATTCCGAACGACAGTTACGACTGATTCCGTCAAAATTATCGTCTATCTCTCGCTTCCGTGGGATATACATTTGAACGGAGGGGGCGTTGGACAGTACGTGGGAAGCACTGCCATACAATCTCAACCATATATTAGACATTCCGGAATGTTCGTTTGATCAGTTCTCAAAAATTTAATCGAGAACTGTTTTCAAGCGTAGTCTGAAATGGAAGTCGCCAGGTTGAAACGAGTGCTGTAAAGCTCGAGAAAGCTGCTTTCTAACTGACTGATGTCGATTTCTTGTTATTCATTTCAGTGATCGGTCAAAGTTCGCGAAAGTTCGCTCTGAACTTAGATCTGATTTGAATTAGATTGATTCTAGAACTGATGATTATTCCTTTCATCCAAGTATATATGGTACAAGTCTCATTTTTCTTCATTGTGACAGAATCGAAAAAGATAAAATTTGTATTCTGGAAGATTCCATTACACTGTGAGGTAGACCGGTCAGTCCCATCTAATCCACAAGTCTCCAAAGTAGGGTGTCTGCAAAATGGGGTTGAACGATATGAACAGAACAATATACACGAGCGGCAGCGACGTACAGCAGCGTTAGATATATACAGTGTCAGCAGTACACAACAGAACAATATACACGAGCGGCAGCGACGTACAGCAGCGTTAGATATATACAGTGTCAGCAATACACAACAGTGTCGGTCAAATACAAAACAGTTTGGTTTTAGAGTGAAGCATTTCGTGTATATCAGCCCACCTGTTTAAATGCACAAGTGTTCCTAGGACTGAATGTGTTAAAACTTTTACTCGCTTACGAATATCGTGTCCACACGACTGTTGAATCTCCAACAGCTTATTAGAATGAATTTTATAATTTACATAATAATGGTTTACCTGTTAAACTACCTCTTTGTAAGCATGCGTAATGCTATAATAAAATGGGAATCCAACGACATTGTTCTCTGTTCTAAGAATTTGCATATGCATAATCATATAAAACGAGCAGGATAATTCTTATCAAGTTTATGGCCCGAGTGAAATAATATGTATCGAGCTTTATTTGTATTTGTATGCCTGGTTATCACAAGAGATAGGTCACGAGAAGATGTTTAACAACGGTTATGTGATATAACAAAAGTATCTTAAGGGAGGGGAATACCAACATTTGCACTTCTAGCAGTCACTGCCGGCTCGCCAAAGAGATGAAATCATAGATGTTGGGGCGTGGCTTCCCAATACGGTTTTTCAGACGATTGTGAAACCCCTCGAGAAGATTGTCGGTTATTGGTCCAATGTTCTGATGTTGATGATTCCGTATCTTAATGGGGAATGTGGCGTCATAGTCCATCCAAGTGGCTGTCACATGGTCATTCAACCTATCCATGTTCTGGTTAACTTGTGACAGTTTATTTGAGATTAATGAGACCACAAAACAATCTGACAATGTGATCAGAAGCAGTAAACCTTTTTGACTCAGTCTGTGAGACAAAGATGTAACAACCGCCATATTATGTAGACTTATCTACTGTGAAACATTTTAATATTTTTTAATAAATGTCATTAATGACATGTACGGATAGTCTATTCTTGACATAGGGGTGCACACAATCGCCTACATAGAACCTGTATGCATATTGACGTGTAGGCGATATGGGTATAACCTAACAAACACCCCTTCTCCATTGATTAGATATTTAAACATCTACATTTTGCCAGTCATAAAAAGTATGACTCATAATCATCTCCTTTTTGTCTGAAAATGGCTAGCACGACACGGTCCAAGGCGGAAGTGAGGAATGTCACGTGGTCTTGACGCCGAAACTGATTTAAAATACGTCTGTGACGTCATTCTCTCCATTCCATAAAAATAATAGAGCCGAGGCCCTGAGCTACGAGGATAATCCACAACACATCCCTCATTTGTTGTTGTTTGTTGTTGGTTTGTTGTTTAACGCCGCACTCAGCAATATTCCAGCTATATGACGGCGGTCTGTAAATAATCGAGTCTGGACCAGACAATCCAGTGATTGATATCATGAGCATCGATCCACGCAATTGGGATCGATGACATGCATCAACCAAGTCAGCGAGCCTGACCACCCGATCCCGTTAGTCGCCTCTTACGACAAGCATAGTCACCTTTTACGGCAAGCATGGGTTGCTGAAGACCTATTCTACCCCGGAATCTTCACGGGTCTTTTACACTTTGACGAAGCATTGTCCATTATATTTAAGGAATGGAGAGTTACTCGGACTTTCCCCTTTACGTAGGATACCCCTCCTACACATAGGATACTCCTTATCTCCACTACAGCCTCGTGCAATCTACCAGGCAGAATAGTAAATTCGCTGTTTACGAACCTTATGGCTACTGTTACTTATTAAGTTAGTAGAATTCAATCGCCCTTTTTCTGAATGCAGCCATCAGTGCATACCTGGTGTCACCTTTAGGGGTTGATGCTCCTTCCGTTGCCACTGTTAGGAGGCGAGCAGCAGCGGACTTTGGGCGAGAGATCCTCGATGATGATTCCAGGTCGGGAAGACCTTCAACTGCCACCACTAAGGCAAATGCTGATTCAACACATTAAATACATAGTCAGTACAGTAGGCATGATCCCTCATGGGAGAGTTCTGACAAATTGAACTGGGGGCGACAAAGGGTTCCAAGTCTTCTGACACCTGATCACAAAAGCGCGCCAGGTTCATCAGAATTTCTGAAGTAGGCCCAGCTGATTTTGTTGAGCGTTGTGTGACAATGAATCAATCTTTTGTTCAACACTATCACCCAGAGAGTAAGTAACACTCTGTTCCAACAGCTGGAAAGGTGATGGCTTTGGTTTTCTGTGATCCCAAAGGAATACTACTTGTGGACTACTTCCCGATAGTTCAAACCGTTAATGACCAGTATTATGCTCATCTGCTTAGGCAACTGCGTTCGTAAAAAATGCAAAAATGAGTTGTCTTACCAGGACAGGGCACCAGTGTACAAATCTGTTGTCACCGTGGCTGCATTGCATGAATGTGGCTTTGAACTCATTGAACAACCTCTGTTTTCATTAGATTGGCACCGTCAAATGTCCACCACTTCTCAAAATATGTCTGGCAAGAATTATACATACTTTGCAACCAGCTCCACCCCTCAGTCCTCATAGTTAGGTTTAGAACATTTCAGCCGTCCCTTGTTATGTTGCAGACCTTACCGTATAGTGGATCATCAACAGACTTCTATCAACATTTGTGAGTGAGTGGGTGAGTTTCATTTTACGCCGCTTTTAGCAATATTCCGGCAATATCACGGCGGGGGACACCAGAAATGGGCTTCAAACATTGTACCCATGTCGGGAATCGAACCGGGATCTTCGGCGTGATGAGCCAACGCTTTAACCACTAGGCTACCCGACCGACCCTTGAACAACATTTGTGGATATGGTGTCAGACATAAGGTTGCTCGCAGTGTGATGGGTGTGTTACATGGAGTCAAGGTCAAACTCGCCATTAGCATTGCCATTATGCCCATGTATAGATGAGGTGAAATGGAAGTTTAAGTTTATTGCACTTATATATTTATTAATATTATACATTTATACACCGCACCTATCCAGATACTAGTATCTGCTCAATTGTGAGATATTTGTTTCCCGACCAGTGGATTCGTATGCTTTCCAGTTACCGTTCTCAACCCCCTGTGAGTGTATAATAACCCTGGCCTACAAATGCTACATGGAAACAGCCCCATTATATCTCACCGAACTTCTGCCTAAATACAAGCCTTCCAGATCTCTCCGTTCTCAGAATGACCACCTGTTACAAGTCCTGGAAACCCGTCTCAAAACCTTTCCAGATCTTTCAAATTCTGCGCTTCCTCGCTATTGAACAAACTACCATCTGATCTTAAGATGTCGCCATCGCTTTCATCCTTTAAGGCTCATCTGAAAACACACCTTTTCAGACAACACTAACAACTCTACTCTCCTTTCATTAGCATTATTTGCTAAAACAATGTAGCGCCATGAGCATTAACTTGATGAATGGAATCAGGTGCAGTATAAATGGATTATTATTATTATTATTATTATTATTATTATTATTATTATTATTATTATTATTATCAAAGCTGCCTACGAGTTCTGGGGATGTTTAAATCCACGTCACGTATTGGATACTCATTCCTTGTTGTGTGAACAGAGGCACGTTTGAACTAAGTCACTTGCCCAGGGTAACACCACACGTTTTGACACTTGTGTCACGGGTGTATGAACCTATTCGTGTTTCCACTATCTGATCATTTACCATCGGATGAGTGGGTTCCTTTGACACGAGGACAGTGACAACACTAAAAAAACCTGTAAACATTGTTGGTCCAAAGGCTGAATATAAAATGGTCACTAGCGGGATACGATTTCAGCACCTGGTTTTTGCTTGCGACGAGTTCTTGTTTTATCTCCTTAATGTCAAAAGCTAGGCAGGGTAACAAGATCTTTTAATGTCTTTTTGTGTGCGCGACCGCTGACCGCTGACCGCTTACCGAAGTGGTAAGACCTGCATCACTTCGAGCTTTCCTCCCACATCAACCTCACACGCCATGATATAACTGGAATACTGTTCAAAGCGGCGTAAAACCCAACTCACTCACTCAGGATACATCAACTTCTAAAGGAAGGGAAATAAACGAAGGACATACATTTTACTGAAAAATGTAGTGAGTGAATTGGGTTTATCGCCGCTTTTAACAGTATTCCAGTTATATCGCGGCGTGTCAGCTTAATGTGGGAGGAAAACCCGAAGTGATGCAGGTCTCAGACGTTAACCACTTTGGTGAAACCCACGAGCACGGGTATGGTGCTGACAAACCTAGAAAGATAATCGGGGCGAACCGGGATTCGAACCCACGATCATAGTGGTGTGCCAAATTACGTATGTAACAAGAGATATATATAAATGTATGTGTATGTATGTATGTACATATGTTATATTTCGTTTCTTTCTTCTTCTGTAGAATAATATTCTATAACCCCGTGGAGATCCGGGTTAGAATATGTCTTTCAGCAACCCATGCTTGCTGTAAAAGGCGACCTTGCTTGTCGTAAGAGGAGAAAAACGGGATCGGGTGGCCAAGCTCGCTTGCTTGGTTGATGCGGATCCTTGTATCCCAATTGCGCAAATCGATGCTCATAATGTCAATCGCTAGACTGTCTGGTCCAGACCCGATTATTTACAGATAGTCATCATACAGATGGTATACTCACACGCAAAAGAAACGCAAGTGGTTTTAAGCAAATAGGTAACAAACACGGAACCATAAATTGATACGAGTTTTAGCATGTAGTGAAGCCTGATGGTGTTATCAATATTTTTGGATGCATTTTGGAAGCCCCGAGTAAAAACGCAACATAAAAAACGAATCGCAAAAACGCACTATTTCAATGAATATGTGGGTATCATGCACCCATTTCTCGCGAAATCGAAAATGCACGAACTGTCACGAACTGTAGTGGGTATAAAACTGTGGCCGATTCTTGGACCTACCACTCCTTGGTCAACAATGCCACGCCTAACTCAAATTCAGAGAAACCTATCGGACGTCTGGAAGCTGGAGAGTCTGTCCAAGATGTTGCCCGTCATTTCAACGTCAACATAACCACAATTTACCGTCTCCTGCATCGATACAATGCTACACAGACCACAGATGACCTTCCTCGGAGCGGTCGTCCTAGGGTCACCACACCTCGACAAGATCGGCAGATCCAACACCAGCGACATCCGTTCCTAACTGCAAGTGAAAGTGCTCGACAGACCATAGGAACACATAATCGACACATTAGCCGTGACACTGTGATCCGACGTCTCCGTTCCAACAACCTCAGATGTCGCCGACCAGCACGTCGTCCTGTTCTCCAACCACGGCATCGACAAGCACGACTTCAGTGGACACAGGGTCCTCACAATTGGCGTCATCGTGAGTGGAGGAGTGTCATCTTCTCTGATGAAAGTCGCTTTTGTGTCTCCCATGCAGACGGAAGAGTCAGAATTTGGCGGCGTCGAGGTGATCATTTTGCTGACAGAAACCTTGTGGAAAGGGATCCATGGGGTGGACCTAGCGTCATGATATGGGCAGGGATTGGACTTACTGCGAGACTTGGACCCATGTGCTTTCTGAATTTGGTCAGGGTCGGAGACACGGCGTCACTGCTCAGCGGTATATCGACCAAGTGATCAGACCCCACGTTGTTCCTTTTTTTTTGCACAACATCAACAACACATTTTCCAGCAGGACAACGCTTGTCCCCATGTTGCCAGAGCTACCATGGCCTTTCCGCAACAACACATTCTACTGTGGCCAGCCCTCAGCCCTGATCTGAACCCCATCGAACACTTGTGGGATGAGGTTCAAAGGCGTCTGCACAATGTGCGCCCAGTCCCTACAACTGCCGATAAACTACGCACAGCTGCTCTGGATGAGTGCAGGAGGATCCCTAGGGCCTTCACAAATCGGCTGATCCACGCACTGTACAGGAGATGTGTGGCAGTGATCAATGCTAATGGTGGTCACACCAGGTATTGACTGACATTTTGGGTATTGACCCGAAACTGTGTAAGCCCTTAACATTTGAAAAAAACAATTATGTCATCTGCCTTTTAATCCATTAAACTGTCTTCAGTCAAAAATTTTTCAGTCTTGCCCTATTAGTATTTCTTGTCTTTTCTGTTGAAAATAAATAACATGTATACTGCATACTCGACTTGCGTTTCTTTTGCTTGTGAGTATATATTGCTTCGCGCGGCGTAAAATCTTATCTTATCTGAGCGGGAATATTCACACAACATTAACTAATATCAGCCTCCATATACACCAGCAATTAATTGAATTGGGTCATTCAGTTGCTCTGGCACTATCCGTCAACGTGCACAGAATTCCCGTCAGGCTGAGTGCACACTGCACGACTCCCCTGTCGACTGACATCGACTGCAGCACGCTGATACTGGAGGGCACACGGAAGTTCGTTCGTACACGTTGACCACCGTTATATTCGAGTTATCGCATCGTGGATTATTCAGGTCGCTTGAAGGAGGCAGACGACATACAGTGTCAAACATGGCCGCACACTCGCACCCAGCCCGGCGAGTGGTGATAGCTATGGACGGCAGCGACTACTCCGTGAGAGCATTTGAATGTGAGTACATGTAGATGTGTGAATCACCTGTTCATGTGCAGTGCCTTTGTAGCGATCAGCGTCCCAAACAAAACATTCGCATGTGTTCTACCTGTTGGCACGTTTTTACTTACACTGGCAGCGTGTTGCGGGTATAACAGTATCGGGTAAGTCAGGCGTGAAACCACACAGATAGGCTGCTGTGCGGCGTAAGGCTACAAAAAAAAATGTGCTTTTTAATGTAAATTGTTTGAGTGGAAGTGCTATCGGCAGGGCAGGACATGCTTACCCTTATGCAAAGACACCTGGTGTCATTTATTTTCAGTTGTCCTTTCATATAATTTCCAAAGGTATTTTGCCCTTTACGCCCAGGGGAATTTGTTGTTGGTTATTCTCTGGCTTTGACGTCTTATATTTATAAACCCTGTCCGGTTTGAAATACAACATACGCCCACTTGAGACTAAGCCCACATTCAATGCTGATCCAGTCGACTCCTCGACTTTTGGTAAGTGAAGGGCATCCTTGCACGGATTCAGTAGAAGTTGGGTACACATGAAAGTTGAAGAATCCCCTACCCCACCCCCACCCCCACACCCTACATGCAGGGATGCAGTACATATGTAGCGTGTACGCCGATTTGGAGTATTGTCCCCATACACCGGTACAATATGTATAGGGTACATGCAAATGAAAGAGTATTGGTATGTATGTACACTTGACTTCTTTGAGAGGCATTTAGAAGTTGGAGAACTGAGTAAGGATAAGATATATGGATGAACAACTTCTTTATTACAATTAGGAGCGACGTTTCGGTGTAGGTTCTCACTTGCTTGATAACGGTGTTAGAAACTACACCGAAACGTCGCTCCTAATTGTAATAAAGAAGTTGTTCATCCATATATCTTATCTTTACTTATGTACATTTGGTAACAGAGGCACCAAATTGCACGGATGAGGTATAGGTCTGGTCTATACACTTGGTAAGAGAGGGACCAGATTGCACGGGTGAGGTAGGTCGGGTCTATACACTTGGTAAGAGAGGGACCACATTGTCCGGGAGAGGTATAGGTCTGTATATACACTTGATAATAGAAGGACCACATTGCACGGTAGAGGTATTGGTCTGTATATACACTTGGTAAGAGAAGGACCACATTGCACGGGAGAGGTATAGGTCTGTATATACACTTGGTAATAGAAGGACCACATTGCACGGGAGAGGTATAGGTCTGTATATACACTTGGTAAGAGAAGGACCACATTGCACGGGAGAGGTATAGGTCTGTAAATACACTTGGTAATAGAAGGACCACATTGCACGGTAGAGGTATAGGTCTGTATATAAACTTGGTAATAGAAGGACCAAATTGCACGGGAGAGGTATAGGTCTGGTCTATACACTTGGTTAGAGAAGGACCACATTGCACGGGAGAGGTATAGGTCTGGTCTATACACTTGGTAAGAGAAGGACCACATTGCACGGTAGAGGTATAGGTCTGTATATACACTTGGTGTGAGAGGGCCCACATTGCCCGGGAGAGGTATAGGTCTGTATATACACTTGGTGTGAGAGGGACCACATTGCACGGGAGAGGTATAGGTCTGTATATACACTTGGTAAGAGAAGGACCACATTGCACGGGAGAGGTATAGGTCTGGTCTATACACTTGGTAATAGAAGGACCACATTGCCCGGGAGATGTATAGGTCTGTATATACACTTGGTAAGAGAAGGACCACATTGCCCGGGAGAGGTATAGGTCTGTATATACACTTGGTTAGAGAAGGACTACATTGCACGGGAGATGTATAGGTCGGGTCTATACACTTGGTAAGAGAAGGACCACATTGCACGGGAGAGGTATAGGTCGGGTCTATACACTTGGTTAGAGAAGGACTACATTGCACGGGAGATGTATAGGTCGGGTCTATACACTTGGTTAGAGAAGGACCACATTGCACGGGAGAGGTATAGGTCGGGTCTATACACTTGGTTAGAGAAGGACCACATTGCACGGGAGAGGTATAGGTCGGGTCTATACACTTGGTTAGAGAAGGACCACATTGCACGGGAGAGGTATAGGTCTGTATATACACTTGGTAAGAGAAGGACTACATTGCACGGGAGAGGTATAGGTCTGTATATACACTTGGTTAGAGAAGGACTACATTGCACGGGAGATGTATAGGTCGGGTCTATACACTTGGTTAGAGAAGGACCACATTGCACGGGAGAGGTATAGGTCGGGTCTATACACTTGGTTAGAGAAGGACCACATTGCACGGGAGAGGTATAGGTCGGGTCTATACACTTGGTTAGAGAAGGACCACATTGCACGGGAGAGGTATAGGTCTGGTCTATACACTTGGTTAGAGAAGGACCACATTGCCCGGGAGAGGTATAGGTCTGTATATACACTTGGTGTGAGAGGGACCACATTGCACGGGAGAGGTATAGGTCTGTATATACACTTGGTAAGAGAAGGACCACATTGCACGGGAGAGGTATAGGTCTGGTCTATACACTTGGTAATAGAAGGACCACATTGCACGGGAGAGGTATAGGTCTGTATATACACTTGGTAAGAGAAGGACCACATTGCACGGGAGAGGTATAGGTCTGTATATACACTTGGTTAGAGAAGGACTACATTGCACGGGAGATGTATAGGTCGGGTCTATACACTTGGTTAGAGAAGGACCACATTGCACGGGAGAGGTATAGGTCGGGTCTATACACTTGGTTAGAGAAGGACTACATTGCACGGGAGATGTATAGGTCGGGTCTATACACTTGGTTAGAGAAGGACCACATTGCACGGGAGAGGTATAGGTCGGGTCTATACACTTGGTTAGAGAAGGACCACATTGCACGGGAGAGGTATAGGTCGGGTCTATACACTTGGTTAGAGAAGGACTACATTGCACGGGAGATGTATAGGTCGGGTCTATACACTTGGTTAGAGAAGGACCACATTGCACGGGAGAGGTATAGGTCGGGTCTATACACTTGGTTAGAGAAGGACCACATTGCACGGGAGAGGTATAGGTCTGGTCTATACACTTGGTAAGAGATTGACTACATTGCACGGTTGAGGTATAGGTCGGGTCTATACACTTGGTTAGAGAAGGACCACATTGCACGGGAGAGGTATAGGTCTGGTCTATACACTTGGTAAGAGATTGACTACATTGCACGGTTGAGGTATAGATGAGGTAAATGTGGTAAATACACGCAGTGAGAGAAGTGTTCAGTATCTGTACTCCCTTTGAAAAGAATTTCCGTGTCCTAATTATACAACAGTGTCTGATGCATAGCACATGGAACTAATCCATCAATATATCTTGTTTGTACGTGCGCCAGGCTGAACATATTCCCTTCTGATCGATGAATTGGCGGCCCGAGTTCAGACTTCTGTAATGCATTTACGTTGATTTACGCCTTATTGAATTGTATGGTGTCGACGCGGTCTGAAGCATTTTTTGTGAAATCTCTTTTAACATCACATATGCAGATGTTTTCCTACATCACGTGGGTCAAACAACACGGGTTTTAGCGTCATATCATACCCTGAGATCAGACACCGTGACGGCAATTATTCCTGACTACGTCTTATTACATTCTGTGTGGGCAGGGACGACAGGGACGTTTGCATAACACTGGTGTTATGTTCATTTTGGGTCACACTGACATCTTTGCAAGAGCATCCGCGTTCCGTGTGGACAGAGCGTCTGCTCGAAGAGGGGAAGTCATTCCATAAGATGGTACTTGTTGTCACCCTGCCTGGCGTCGGCAGTAAGAGGATAAAACAAGGACTGGTCTGCTCGAAGTCAGCATGTGTCTGAGTGGGGGTATCCATGTTATAATGTGGGGGACTAGAACTATGAAACCGGTATTAGTTTGGACTTGTACAAGCATCCACGCACGCACAATCAGAAGTGAAAGAAGCGAGAACCTTCTAACAAATACCCCCAAAGTTGTATTGTAAGTACATAGACGGCCCCGTAGTGGAAAGAACGTCGACCAAATGATGACACTTGTTGTTACCCCGGCGTTTGGCATAAAGGAGATAAAACAATGCCACTTTCGTCTCTCAGTAATTTTATTGTGTTTGAGTGGGGTATCCATGTTTAACTGGGGTGGGCTAGAACTTTGAAACCTGTATGAGTTCGGAAGTGGACAAACAAGCGCCAGGTGCTGAGAACGTATACCGTTAGTGACTAGGTTAATATTCAGCCTATGGACTAACAATGTATACAGGTCTTTTAGTATCGTCACACCCCTAGTGTACAGTACATTCGCCGTGTTTATTCAAAAGATCCCACTCATCCGATGGTAGATGATCACACACACAACCACAGACAAACAACCCCCCCCCCACCCACCCACACAAACACATGGATGTCGCTGATATAATAGCAATAATTCATTTCATCTTACTTCACCCACGTCTTTGAGAAGTCAAATTTCACATTTCCGGCTGGCGTAGTGGATTACAGCTAATACACCATTAGATGCTGGGATTCAAATCGAAGTAATTATATGGCCAACAATTCCCGAGAGGTGGATATAAACTTGATGGAGAAAGGATGCATACCCCAGCGGTCGATACACGATCAATATCTTCATACCATGACACAGGGTCAGTTACACAACAATAGCAAAGCAGCAACACAACATGAACACCTCTTCACGCCTCGTGTCCTGATTGATGGTCAATCTCACCCATGACAATTTGTCGTGCAGGATTATCCGGAGAGAAATCATGGCCTATCGACCCCTTTCGCCAGGTTCTCGTGGTATCAACAATAGCCAGTCATAAACACAATGATGCCATGTTTTCATAATTTTCTTTGATAAATTTGATGTCTGTTATTTTAAATTCCTAGAGGCTAGCTATATTCCCATATTTACAAAGTTATTTTGCTATAATGTCCCTTTTGCTGATAGTATTTGCCAAATCTGAAATTCGGCTGTGGTAAGCGACGATTACCGTTATATTTTCGAGTTGTATTTTAC